TGCCCTTCCCTAACCCAACCTCGGTCCTATCTCGCCTGTCGCCACCCGGGAATCCTCATGCAGGCGCCCACTGCGCTCTGGCATTTCCGCGCTTTGTGTTTCTCAGATAGACGGCCAGTTCCCTTTGTTAGTCGTCTTTTCGCGGGACTGGAACGTCGATGAGCCTCGGACTCGTTGGTTGGAAATAATGTGGATGGGATGGAGAGTCGCCACCGCGTATCGAATACTACCCTGCAGATCTGTTCGAGCTGCAGTGGATTCGCAATGCGAACGGATTGGGGAAGCTCCGATCCAAGCGCTGCGAGACGACACCCGACTTCCCACCTTTCTCCAGTCTGATCTCGATTTCGAAGTTGAATTGGAGCTCCTCAACCACAATTCGTGAGGAACGTGAACGAAGACAGCGTCGGCGAGGGTTGAATTTTTTTGTCAGTGGCACAGGAGACGTAAGAAGACGATCTCGACGGTCCCACGGACATCTACGTCCCCACCGATGGATGTCGACCCTCAACCTCAACAGATCTTACTTGTCAAGTCTCTCCTGAGTATCACAATCCACACCAACCCATCTGTCCTGAGTCTCCTCCCACTCGTGCTGTCTCATCCGCAATGCCCGATGAGCGCAATCTGACCGCATTTCCTGGATCTTGATCACCGTACCGTCGACTCGTTTACATCGTCTCTGGGTACCTTTGCCCTAGTCATATCCACATCCTGTCAGCCGTTTATCTCAAAGACGCTGGGAGGCACGCTCACAAGAACTTAGACTCTCTCTACATACCCTGTGATCCAGGAATTGACGTCCGTATGCTCTCTCAAAACCCAACGAAGATTCTCCTACCTCCAGCCACGGCTCACGGAAAGGTGTGCACTTTCCGCTACCATATTTTTGAACTGCCTTTCACGACACAATCTACGGTGCAGTAGCTCAGCTCGTACAGTCGGTCGTGCTTGAAAGTTCTGATTAGGCTGAGACTTTACTGGTGAACTGTGCTGGGAGCTTGAGTTTCGTCGAAGCCTTCGATGTTCACTGGTGAAGATTAGTGACGACGATACTTGAAAGAGCGCTCGCAGGCGAAGGGAGGCTCGTGGTCTTCAAATTCAACTTCAGCCCAAACGGCTTTGATTCATCAGTAGACATCGTATCGTGGAGACTTCCCGAGTATGGCTCTCTCTGTTCCCATCATGGCAATGGCTCATGAATTTATAGACGGCTGAGTCCTAGAATGAGAGACGCGTGTCGACTATCAGAGTCCTACCTGTTTCCTCTGTCGCAAGATCAAGCGCGAGATCTACTTGCTTCCCTCAAGTCAATGACAGACGACGGCAATCTCACCTCTGCAATTCTTACACGCATTACCCCGCTACAGTCTCACCTCTCATGTCCTGGTCTGTTTTACTACCACGACGGGGACACAAGCCAGCACCAAACGCCTTATGCTGGACTCGTTGGGACCTTTCACGAACTACGGATGCGCCGCTTCGAGGTCTCGTTATCGACGTGGATGTTATTGGGCTGTCCTTCGAGCTCTTGACGGACTTGACAAGGAAAGCAGTGATCAAGGACGTTGTGGACTCGTGTCATTCGGATACGATGTACATCCTCAAGTTGCGTCGCCCTGCACGCGCACTTGCAGGCATCATAGAATTTCCAGTCAATCTCTGCCAATTGTAGCCCATCGTATAGCCATGTCCTTGAGAAACAGAGTCAATTTGTCTAACTAGCATGATATCCATCTAACGCCCATCACAAGCAAACATTAACGCCATCCGGCTTTCCTCGAAAACTCACGAAACCAGTCAAATAACTCCTTTCAAAGCCCCTCAAAAACCCCATTGAACTATCAGTCGAAAAACTCACAATGAAACCTGTCTATAATAACGCAGAGAACAATCTCAACACCCCCGGATCAGAGGACAGCTAGCGGTATAGTGCGACGTGCCTGCCCAAAAACTCTGCAGGAAACTCGCAGACTCGGTGGTAGCTGGAGAGAGGACGGAGCATCTTAGTTCCCTTCGGGAGCTGGTGAGTACTTACTTGGGTTTGGTGCATATCAACGACATGATATATGTCCTGATTCTGTCTAGTTGTTCACCCCTTTGGCTATACGTATTGTACGTCATGAGGCCAAATTCTACACCAACGCGCAATGAAAACGACACGTACGAACCGAGTCCCCCCTCCGTCTCGGACCCCAACCCCCTAGAAGCCAACCCACCCGCGCCGTACTACTTTCAAAGGAGCAACAAACTGTGTTTGGACGGCAACTCAAACACGCCGTTAGCCTGGGACCCCACTGGTGATATTTATTCATGAAGGGTAGGGGCGATACGTGGCGGATTTCGAGGGGAGGTGCCGAAAGAGTTCAAGGTTCGTTCCATCCTGTTTGCTATCCTTTTCCCAGTTCTTACGAATGCAGACCAATGTCGGAAATTTCCCAGGCACCTGATAAGGCTCCGGCCTTGCAATGTTGATCACCGACATAATCAGGCCTTGCCCAACCCTTGCCAGCCCTTGTCATTTCACGGCAAACCTGACGAGATGATGCCGGGAAAATCCGGGGGGCGGTTGCCTTACAAGGCGACCAGACCTCTGATGTAATGATTATTTCCACGTTACAAGCTTGATGATCTCCGATAAGGTGTGATAAGGCAAATTGGGTCTGATAAGATTTGTCCAGCCTCGTAACATAGGCTCCAATTGCCTCTGCAGCCAGGTCAAGGCTATGAACCAATTATTGATTTTTTGTGTGTCTTATAACGTTATCTGTATCCTTTTGATCCTGTTCAGCTCAAAATGATACCAAATTCCATACAGAGAGTCTGTTGTAAGGTAGGCTTAAATACTAGATATATGAATGACCTTGGGAAGTTTCTTATATGCCTTTGTAGTGTAGTGGTATGTTGCGACTACAAATTTGTAGTCTTCACGTGAGGATCGCACGAGCCCCGAGGTTTTTGGTTCAATCCTTACTTGTTGCATTTTAATTTGCCACGTAACATTGTTAAGTCTAGACTGTGAATATTTATAATTTGGATAATCTTATCAGGCCTGATAATCTGATCTTATCAAGTTAACCCAAAACTTAATAAAATAACTGCAACGTTGTAAGCCATTATTAGGTTAGGGGTGCCTTGGGTGCCTAATAACCCTTATTAGGCGCCAGGGAAATTTCCGACAAACACCGCAGATTTATGTACCCTTATCCTCCGATATGCTAGAGTTCGCAGCGTTACGATGGAGGAGAGGGATAATGCGCGGGGGGTATGGAGGTCTTGGCTTGGGTGCATTTGAAGAAAGATCAAGCTGCGCGTCATCGCCGAACGCCCCCTTTTTCAGATCAAAATATTATTTACACCACTTATTAGATGGCCACAAATATTCACATTACACGAAATATTCTTGATAAGTGGGAAGAAAAATGGAGCTATGTGGCGCCTGTCCGATATTCAACAGAGACCAGGATTCATGGTTAGATGTAGTCCTGTGTTTACCGCGCCCCCAAAACCGCGCTAGAAAATGTTTATGTAATCTTCGGACTTTGAAACCGCGTCGCGTCAACATCGCCTCGTTGCCCTTTGGTTGCCGTGGACTCTCGACGCGTTTTTTGGCGCATGACTTGTCCTATCTCCTCAAATTCAACTGTAGTTTCTTCCAACTAATACTTACTATGGATAACAACGCTCGAATTGTCCGGTCGTGCAGGAAAACTCTGCAATTCAAGTACCAGCAACACCCAATTGCATTTCGCCAACATATCACAATCTACACCAATTTCCACAAGTCCTGCAGTAAAATCACTCCTCACATTGTTTCCTGATTGTCTTTCGGCCTCGTTATCCGCTAATTCCTTGGCTGCCCCCGGTTCTCTGTTCAACGCGCTTGGCCCATCGAGTCAACCAAGGTTAATTCAGCCTTGACGAAATGAAAAGGCGAAGCTAGAGGGAAGGTTTAAACGAATGTAAGGGTTTCTAGGCAACTCGGGGATTGACTCTATCCGAGGTTTTCTGGAGATCCTGTTCTGGCCGTCGCTCAATATTCAATTCCTTCAAGGAAAAACAATGACGAAAATGTTCGAAATTATCAGCCTCAAATATTCTCACAAGCACAGTGCCCCGTCGCCGAGATCTACACAATATCACAAACATTACACCTCATTCTCGCCCTCCATCTCGCCTGCGGCTATCAACCATGCGCGTCCTTCATTGTTTACTTGGGTAACCAATCTCATCACCATTAAAGACGATGACACTCAGCTTTAGTGTTTGAAAGTCCGGTTTGGTCCGGTTTTTTGATGCCCAGGGGCATTAACCGTAACCGTAACCGGTCTGCCTTTTCCCCAGAAGTCAAAAGACCAGACCGGACCGCAAAAAGACCGCAGACCGCGGTTTTTTGCGGTCTATAGACCGGTTTCGGTCTGCATCGGTTTTAACCGGTTTATGACCGGTCTTTAGGCCAATATTTTAAAATTATGAATCTGTAAATTTATTAACATCTCTAATAGCTTCAAAACGAGCCCAAGAACGTTAAATTCCATTAGGAATTGGTGCTTCTATAAAATAAGTCTGGTACATCTATTATTCCCAAAAGTAATTTACATTTTAATTCATATCTCTCTCGTTTTTTTACCAAATCGTACGTTCTTGGGTGCGTTTTAAAGGGTATTTAAGGGGCTACAAAAGACCGGTCCAAACCGGTCAAGACCGGTTCACGTTAACCGGTCTTTACATTTCAAAAATAAAAGACCGTAACCGCAGGTCCGGTCTTTTGCGGTCTTGGTCCGGTCTGGTTACGGTCTTTTTCCAGTCACGAGACCGGACTTCCAAACACTACTCAGCTTCGTGCATCCACTAATGACCAACGCCCAGAGGATAGCGGCGTTAGACTGGTTACTTGGAAGACTTGGGGAAATTTAGCATTGCTTAACTTTGTGAGAAGTACAAGATGCGCGCGCCTGTTTCTTGCTATCTCACCGAGTCTATGGCTGCCTCACGCAAAAATGGTGCTTGATTACAAAGAAGTGGCGCCTCCAACAGGGCTTCTTTGCAGTAAGAGAATCCGGAGATGATGAGAAGTTTTGTGAAAGCTCGTGAACCTAGCCCGAAATTTGTGAGTGTAACAACAAAAGATGGAAAATAAGCGTACTATGTTATCTGTCAGTCCCTTGGTTGGTGTGACTACCACTCCGATTGGTCTCTTCCGAGTTTGAAGGCCAGGTACATGCGCGTTCAGGTGTTTGTTGTAGCACAAGAGTTGGTATTGAGAGGCCGCCGACTCTCCATCTCCAGCTGCGGTACAGCAAAGCAAACCTTTTCCATCCAGAATAGCGGAAACGAGCTCAAGTTGGATCGCATCCAGTCCGTTCGTCCAATTCGGTATGGGTTTCTTCACAATGGTATTGATCATATCACGTTCTTCTGGCGGGGTTGTCGAGCTGTCATTGAGTCATCATAATAGATTGGAGATCATACAAGATGTAGAATATCAAGTTTGATGTGAATTGGAACAGAAATGCATGGGTTATCGCGTCGAGAGCAAAAGGCAAGGACGCAATATTGACGCGACGCGGTTTTAAAGTCCGAAGATTACATAAACATTTTCTAGCGTGGTTTTGGGGGCGTGGTAACAAACAGACTTCATATATTGTGAACCAAGGTATGACTTCACATATATCGAAGTCTGTCTACGAGAGACTAGGTTAGATGGCACTTTAAGCCTCACAAGAGAATTCCAAACAGACGGGGCTCCCTTGATACCTGAAAAAACTTCATTGTACACGGCACTTCATGGTAACACAAACTTAAATAGACACGGTACTTCATAAGTTGAAATCATACTTATAAGTGTCGCATCTCAGCTTAACTTTTAACATAGCCTGCACAGGGTAGATCGGAAGCACATGACAGAAAAATCATTACAAATATTGTTGACTCCAGGTTGACTCCACTTGTTACTCTCCTGGCTTCGCTGGGGCTTCAGCACCGTGCGACAGGCACTCTGGTATTGCCGAGTCCCTTCGTGGGTGTTTGCTTCGGCACAGCTGTGGGAGTTTCGATGACAGCCCTTCAGCACGACCAGCTTCACCATCTCCAGTGAGTACCGTTTTACTAGCTGCAACAAGCCAAACTGACACGCGAAACAAACAAGGGAACAATAACACATACACGAGCAATTCAACGTGTAGACGCCGCCGAAAGGACTCAGGAGTGCGGGGAACAGACACATACATTATGGCGAGGTGGACACGCTGAACGATGAAGGTACGTCAGTACGCCTCCATAGGTTAACATTACATGACCGACTTCAACAGATCTTCGCGCCGCCGTCCTCCACTTGACAAACATGCCGAACGATTCACTATGTGGCTTGAAGCTACAATCGTGTATACCGGCCGTGGGGCCAAAACCTCGAAAGGAAAGGGCGGCCTCTTGCTGAGACAAGGTGTAAGTGCACACCTTGACCATCAGAGCTACAAACATTGACTAACCTTCTTCAAGCAGAAGAGTGGGTGCGCGAGGTGTTGTGCACCTCTTGAGGACTCCGTTGACAACAACGAGTAACAACACGTAGATACAAAGAGCCTCTCCGATATCTTTCGCCGACTTGTCCTACCTTGCCAACAACACCAGCAGGTCTCTACTACATGAAGCCGCATCCCAGAAGGACCTCCGCTTGATTGAGCTGGCGGTGCTGGGGCCGACGTGTGTATTCGGAATCGCAAGGGAAATTTGGCGCATGACAGCTGGAAAGGACAATCACGTCCACATGTTCTTTAACCAATGTAAGGTCCATATCACTTGTTGCAACTCACACTGATGAATCTCCAGTTGCAAACCATGATACAGCCCTCCTCTTAATTCAACACCAGCTTCTGTATGTGTAGCTATGCAACGTCATATATAAATCGTATGTATTATGAATGGTGAAGCCCACTTCAGTTCGGTTGTTCACCGATTGCTAATAAATATGACTGTTTGCACCTTTCATGCATCTCCTGATACATGGCTGAAATTTCTGCAGCATACGCATTGGCACCCAAAATAGATTGTTCTTCTGATACCTGGATGGTTTGAGACCATGCTCTTGACATGGCAGCAAAAGATCGGAGGGTTCGTTCAAATTCTTCCTTCAAAATGTTGACTTCCTCATGGTGATGATCGCGCAAGGCTCGCTGATGAAACCATCGGACGCGATCCACTGAGAATCTAGGTGAGCCACATGTAAATCAATCAGAACATAAAACGAACCTTCGAGCATCCATTCCTGCATTTCCTTGTCTGTGGCATTACCAACTGGTCGCATGGTCCAATACCATGGTTCCAAACCTTCAGAACGACGGGTACGTGAAGTGTTGAAGCTATACATCCAAAGATCGTCTTTTGTTGACAGGGGCCGAAAGGTGCTGTCATTGGCAGAGAGCCCAAGTAGGAGAAGTCGTTCGCGAATGAAATTGTACCGATTCGCATGCGTGAGCGTAAGATTTTGTGCACGCTTGAGAATTCCCTGTGCACGTGTGTTCGCTCCCTGATTGCGGATAACCTCATCCTTCAGTTGGAGGTAGGCCTTTTTGTGCTTGATGTGTTCACGAACAGCTGCCAAGGCATCATGGGCCAGCCCCTCAAGCAGGGACTTTTCGATCTGGGCAAACGAGTCAAGACAAAGTCGTTCCCGATCCCCCTGGTCAAAGTCAGAAGGTAGTCCCAAATCTTGATCCTCAGGATTCTCAGCGAGTTCCGGTTCATCACTAGTGGACAATGTCGGCATGTATGCCACTTGAACATTTCGCCATTTGTTGATCTCACCACGCAAAGAGCAACGCAATGCTTCAATTGACGATCACATGGTCTTCTTTGTCGATTTTGTAAGAATTGCATCATTCTCCCTCAGTTCTTCCTGTCGGAGAAGGATGTTTCGTCTTGTACAAAGTTCATGAGGGAAAACATTGGGTAAAAATTGATCAACTTACTGACGAAGCAACAAAGTGATTCCACCGTTAATAAATGCAGTGCTGCCTTGCTTTATAGAGTTGGTCGCAGTGGAAAGTGATACTTCTCCAACCTCTGCCTTTGTGGCGCTCACCTCACAGTCTATCAAAGATTCCGTCGCTTGGCTATGTGTCGGAACTATGATAATTTGAAGAAGTAGTAAGTAAACAGTCGTCAGATTTAGTTTGCCACTTACATTTTCCAGATTTATAGTGGAATACACTCTGCCATTGTTTTTTTGCACCCTGCATTGGTTGGGTGGATAGCTTTGCCCATTCTGAGCAGAGCTCCTCAGAAATTGCCTCGTTTGCAAGATCAAAATTTTCAGTGACTTCCCTGAGTTCCCTATACTCTTCGACAAGTCGGCCACATAGGTAATCACCTGATTGTATAAAAACAAACCAAAAGATACATCTGGCATGTCAAGTATGGATGACTTACCCATTTTCTGAATTTTCATCCAATTCCAGAAGCCATGGAATTCATCAAGCGTGTCATGATGATGTCCTGCATTCATCTCCTGTGTACTTCCACCTGCTTGATTTCCCTCCGACCATGGATGTTCAACTGTTTCTCCATGTGTCCTCCCAACGCCTTCTGCATATGCAAGTGCATAACGAAATTGGCAGTCTTCCTTGTGTGCGAGAAGATGCATAGATGGGAAAGCAATGTCGACAAGATGCCCGAAATAGCTTTTCATACGTTTCATGAAATTGATGGAGTACTGGCAAGCAACATCATAAGTGAGCGTGGTCCAGAGCTCAGGAGGTACACCAGATAGGGCGTTAGCGACAGCATAGTCAACATGTGAGTACCTATTGAATGATGTGAGTAATTGGTACATGGTTGCAGAATGATATGATGTACCGCTCTCCAACATAGAGATCAACCATTGCCCCTGGACGGAAGATGGCGTGGCAAGCACAAACAACTGCTACGATCCCAGTGACATCAACTCCCTTCTGTTGGGTAAGACGTCTCATGTCTCCTGCTTTGAACCCACTACATGTATCTGGCTAGCCTTTTTTCAGCATTATCCACACTCAAAAAATTCACACCTACTGGTTTATCGTAGTCAACAGGCTTATCCCTTTCAATCTTACAAATATATTCTCGAAATTTGGTTTCATTTGCGAAGTATCCGCGACCAGCATTCAGGGAAAAATCATCAGGATCATTGACTTTGGCCTTTCGCTGCAACCGAAAGTTTCCATCCGTAGCTAAGAATAGCCGATGGATATATCTTGTCAGAAGTTAATTTAGTAAATAGGAGGAAATATTAGTCGGGACCTACGCAAGCTCTTTTGGAGTTGATTTCCAGTCTGGTGCCATATTGAAACCAGGATGCGGGCATGCGACACAGCTTGCTCCCAGTGTTCCAGGACTTCGATGAGGCAAAAATCGATCCAAGCTATGGCCATGGCCACTTCGCTTCATTGACATAAGATGGCGCCAGATGCGTGTGATACGCAAAAGGTCCCGATATCGATTCTACATTGTCATTGGCATATCTTGACATGAATGGAGAAACTCACTGCAACATCTGAGGGAAACTGACCATTGGTGAGGCGTACAAGAGCGAGAAAGTATCGTAGGCAGATTTCTTGGATTGAAGGTGATGAATTTGGAATTCATCTAATAGTTTAAATGTCAAAGCTGTCTCTGGTTTATTGAGAGTAGCTGGAAACCACCCGATTTTCATGAGCTGATCGATACGATCACCAGCGCCGGGGCAGTGACACCACGAAACACGAACACTGTGGACTCCATTCGTGTGAAGGATCGTCATCGAAAGTGACTTCCCCTGATGACTAGTTGGGGTGTGGGGGCAAATGGCTCCATCGTGCCCAAAGTAAAATACAGATCCAATAGCTGAGAGCGAACATTTAGCGAAGTATTGACCATTCCATTCTTCAACCCAGTGAAGCGGCTGGTGAATGTGGTCCTCAATAAGACATTCACGGCATGAGTAAGGGTTGTGTTTGCATTCTTGGCATCGAACTGAAGGGGCAGAACCACAACGGCATGGTGTGTTGGGTCCAACTTCCCGTGAAAACATCAAATTGAGGAGGCACCCAAGCTCAGGCATCCATTTTGCCATCTCGATAGATGCACCCTGGAAGGATAATAAGTACTGGGAGAGAAAAAATCAGACATGTGCGCACCTGGTATCGACACTTTGCCTCTGCACTTGGACCTGCGGGCGGCTCCTCCTCTCGAACACGCTTTGTCCCTCGGTTGTTGTCAAGGCCTTTGAGTTCAAGCTCTGATTCTGAATTATAGTGCGCATCATCCTCATGTCGACGTGTTTTCTTCACACTAGTCCATCGACCAGTTTTAGAGAACATTGGGGTTGGAAGTTTGCACGCAGCTAATGTCATACTGGCCAAACTCACCTGGTGATCTTGGGCCTTTCATAAAAGTAAGACATTAGTGATTGAAGAACGATCACTGTAACCACGTGCATGCTTGCCAAGCAAAGGGACTAGGAATAATAGTCCGAACTAGTATGTATAGTCCATTAGCACTGTTGCGTAAACGGTGGTTGTAAGGTGAAATAACAGCCGTCTCGTCTGATTCAACCCCCACGCAGCACTCCTTGCCCCATGACGACGTTGAAAACCTGCCGAAAGTTGGCCTACATCACCGCTTACGCTGGTCCGCTGTCCCCTCTCTCCGATGCCGAGTGTCCGACATTCACCGTTCCACCGCCGACCCAAGCATCGTTAATCCGAGGCATCACACGTCACCTCGCAGGCCGTCTGTTTATCAAAAGCGCGCTGCAAGTTTGAGGAATTGTAGCTCTAGATCGGACTAGTGAGCGAAAGAAAAGGAGCGGAGCAGATGAAATCTCACTTACCAGACCAAATCAATTTGACTAACACAGCGTGGCCCCATATACAGGGCATGCAAACGAGCGGAATGGAAGAGATGCCAAGTCTCCGAACAACCCGTGGTATGTTTGAGATCATGGCCCCACCGAACGGTACTATCGAGCCAACTTGACTTCTGCCGACCTTAGGGCACATCAGCAATGGCTGAAACTTTAACATTGAATGGACCTACATCCTCCAAGTATCCGGCGATCACTCCTGTCCACGGTCATCTGCCACATCAATACACAAGGTTGTGAGGCTTGCTGGGTGACGATCTTTGAGTGGTGTCTCGTTTTCTTGATCTTGCTAGTGGGCGGCGCGAAATTTTTACTTCTACACTCGCTACCCGAAAAGGCTTTAAGTGTGAGGAGGATCAGTTGAAACTGACGAAGAGTGTAGATGATCCTTACCTGCATGAAAGTAACGGTAAAGAACCTCTCAGGAGAAATGGGCGCCCGCAAGCGGATTGCGGTACTCCTTGGTCGAGAAAACCAGATGTTAGATGACTTGAAAAGAGATCTTGGCCCGTTGTCGATTGTTTCAGAGGATTCGACCTCAAGCGGCATGATGGTTATGTCCGAGGAGCCACAGTTGAGAGCTACACCCATGCAGAGGCCTGGCAAAACCAAGGCGCCTGGCAAGCCGTGTAGTTTCTCGACTGCTGGAGAAACAAGTGAGTCGATGTTGAACGTTGAACGTTGAACAAGCGCCACGTTGATGCTTTTATTTGGGTTTGTTGATCGATGCCACCTTCATGCGATCAGGAAGTAAATGTGCGTCATTCCAAGGCACATTTGGAAATTTGAGATAATCCTTGAGCATATCGATCTCCGTTAAGTCCGAAGCTCTTGGAGACGGCTAACAAAAGCCTTTATTCTATTCGTCTGACAACGATTTCTGAACAAAATACAATTGAGAATTCTTTATTTAATGTCAGCTGTCTTGTATGTAGATGACCATTTTCCGTCTCATTCTCAATGCCACAGTCTCCTCGTGAACAGAAATTACTCGAACTTCTCAACTTGTACATTGGGGAGTGGAAGATGCCGCCAGCTCCTGCAAACCACTTCCATTTTCTACGAGTTTCGATGGGGAAGAAAAACCCATCTGACTTCGGAAGATGGTACTTCTATGTTAGTAAGGCACTCTATGATTCATGTGCAGTGGGACTTACTTGACAAGCAGTGCCACACTTATAATGGTGTGAGTCAATGTCAAAACTACAAGAATTTGATGTCCACAGAGCTCACAGATGACGAACGTAAATTGATTCGTCATGAGCTCAACACCTGGGACGCTAAGAAGTCAAAATCAAAGAAGATCAGTAAGTATCGCAAGAATGGGAGAAAAAGTATTCAAAGATCACCATCCCCGATCCCAACCTTCTCTTCTCCTGTCTTCGCTACATCCCCACCATCAACTCTGGCTAGGCCAGTTTCTGATGTGGAGAGTGTTGTAAGTCGTGAATCAGATTGCAAAATCATTGGTACGTCACCCTATCTTCATTGTTGAGCATTGTATTCAGATATGATTAAAGGAGAGATCCGAAACATACCTTCCTCCTCCCAAGCCGTCCCAGACTACGATTCAGATAGCGAAGTCGAAATCATCAGTGTGTTATTGTCTTTTATGTTTGTGAGATTGCAATTGAAATTCGAAACGAAACCAGATTTCCAAAGTGTACCTTCATCATCTCAAACTCTTCTCGACAGGGAGTTGACCATTTCCAACTCAGATGTTGAGGAAATACCTAAAGCTCATGGTAAGTAATCGCAATGAGTGTTCAAAGATGCTATAACCCACAAATAACAGATGGCATAGACGTTCTGCTCATCCTATATGTTGCGGTAAGAACAATAACTTTACTCTATTTGTTCTGTGAAACCCACTTGCCATAATCCAGGCAAATGACGCACACTTCCGTTGGTATTCCCCCCTGCATGATGGAGCATTCAGCCCATTTTCCGATTTCGCACTGCGAGAGGCGCTTGGCTTCCCAGACAACAGATATGCAATATATGATACTTACCTCAAGGAATTCGTACATTTGCCGTCTTATTGTAGCTTCCAAGTTCAGGCCGGCGAATTCTTCATTCTTCGACAGCTGGATCTTACTGACAAGGATTGTCCGGATGTCACCAATTTCATTCACAAGAGTGACAAATTTTCTTCTTCCAGGCTTACGGCAGGAGCTGCATCACAGGATTTGAAAGGAAAATGCAAGGCACAAGATGAGCAGGATGATATTGTGAAGGAATCTAAGCGCATGAAGAGGGATTGTGTTTTAATGGGTGGACCTGTATGACGATTGGCGGTGTACAATTAGTAAATGCAAGTAGCAATTGCCGGATCTCTCCTTTCCGCCATCGTGCTCGAATCTCAAATGTGTACTGTCGAAGTATGTTGTTAATAATGTTCGATTCCTCATGAATGAACCCACCTTAACCAAACCTCTTGGCATTGACATTGGCGATCGATGTTGATCGCATCGACTAGCTTGGAAGTTGTAAGTGTGTTCATGATGATCTTGCGACTCGTGATTGCCAGTGCACAATACAGCCAAACATCTTGAAGTCGCCGTCCACAACGTCCTTTCCCAGTAGTCCACAACATCCTTGCCCAATACTCACAGCCTTTATACTTGAAATTTTCATTGGCTATGCTCCATCACCATTCCCAGCAACATGCCCACTCATTGATCACACATCATGGGGTCAAGATCCAAGAACAACAAACGAACATGTCTCGCATGGACCATTGATCAAGCTTCAAGGTCAGTTGACACTCCATTCATGCTGATTGACGTTATTGAATACTGTTAGGCATGAAGCCAAGTTCCCTTCCTTTTCACCATGTCGTCAAAGGAGATTTCGCCTCGTATGTTGTCCATTTTCTCATTTCAAACTATCTAACATCTCGTTACTATCTCAACCAACCATAGCTGCTGATGTGTTGGATCCTCACCACAGAAACTACAAAAAGCTTGCACATCAGCTAGAACAAGGACATTTTGACGGTCTAAGGTGCAAAACCAATTCAGTCCCCCTGATCTAGAGAACTAACCCTATCCAGTGATCCTCTCGCATTGACCTACCGACAGCCATCAGCGAGCAACTGTTACCTCCTCAGCCACAATCCGCCTTGCCCTTATGCATCCCTCAAGAATGCGACACACCCCACCTCTATGCCTTCGACAATGCCGCTGAATTTCGGGGATAGTACGCTGGAGCTGGATGACATGCCGGAGTTGGAGGAAGTTTTAGGATTGGAGGTCATGGCTATGGCCGTGGCCCTGCGTATTCATAAGTAGTCTTAATTCTTCTCGAATCCACCCCTTTTGTCTCCATTCACACGTTACGCAGTCCATTGAGCAGTCCATGGAACACCTCGCCTTTAAGAATAGTGAACTTGGCCACTGGCCACTCAAGACTCATTCTTTGCTGAACTTGGCCACAACGCAAAGTAGCTAAACTGGGCCACCAGCCACTCAAGACTCATTCTTCGTGCAACCACTCAAGCCATTGTCATGCTTCAATGCCACAAAGTCAAGGCGGGAACAGATATATTGAGAAGAGCGCTCTCTTGGTGTCCTTACAGCAATCATGCCTCACCAGAGCAGTCTCGGTACCACCGACAATTCGAGAGTTGGAAACGCGCTCATTGACCAACATGCAGCCAAGTCACGTAAGAAGAACCGTGCCCCCTTCCCTTGGTCTGAAGAGCAGCGTGCTTGGATGAAAGGTCATGTTGACCCTTACCTTGAGCTCGACCCGAAGAAATGCGACATGTGGTCCAAGCAGAAAGTGGAGGATCTTGTCAACAAGTGGCGGTTCGCCAATGCTGGAGACGCTCGTCAGGTGAATACAATGTTCATTTGATACGATTTGTTTTCATATTCAACGTGATTCTACAGTGCTTCATCAAATACCTTCAGAATGCTCTAGCCCGCTCGAGGACGTCTCAGAAGCAACCACCCATCATCAAGTTTCCCAGAAAGCGTGCGGAGAATGCAGCTGACTTGTGGGCCAAGGCTCCGGAGAACAAGATACTCCTCGACACCGCTGTTGCAGAGAAACGTGGGGATGCATCGACCAAGAACAATGTTGGCATCCGATCCACACTGAAAGCAGCAATGTTCAAAGCGCTATCTTCTAAAGAGCAGGAGCAATGGGAGAAGAAGGCATCAGAGCTGAAGGAAGTCTCTGCTGAAGATAAAGTCGAGTCTATCTGGGAGTGAGTCACTTTCGTTACATTCTTTCAATTTTTTCTGACTTCGCATTGTCAGGAACCAGGAAATTATGGCAGATACTCTTGTCGCCACCCTTGAGGGTTCAATCGGTATGGGCAAAAATCAAGTTGGGGATGCGACGTACCACGTCCAGATGGTGTATCTTGATAAAGAGGGTAACGTTCAATCGACAAGGTGATCTTTTTCTCGAAAAATATGTTCTACTATTGCGATTAACTCAATTGTATCAGTATTTGTTGTGGCATCATGCTCGACGACAAAGCATTCAAAGATGTCGAGCCCGAAACATACACAAGTCTTAGCAAGGCCTGGATCAAGTACGCAACCGAGGCATTGTTCCGTGAGTTCATTTTATTATGTATCTATACTTCCTGACAGTTTTCTCAGAAAACGACCACATGCGCGCCCCAATAATGAGTTCGCCATCACGCTTGCCAAAGACTCGACCGGAAATCCCATCCTGCCACAGTACGATGACTCATGGGTACAATCTCATTGCGCCGAGGTTTTAGGACATTATTTGGAGGGGGTGTGGAGTACGTCATCACTTTTTTTTTCCCAATAAACTGATCTTCATTTGCGTGAACAGAATCAACGGGATTGACTGAAGCGATACCTTGGTCTTTACTTCGAGAAGACCCTTCCCGTTGGATCGTTGATCCTGCAGCCGTACCCAAGACCCCGATTGACGATCCTTGTGTCATCAAGGGAACGACTATATTCAAACTCTACGATGAGCTGTATGACCTCCAAGAGAGATGCATTCCCATTCGGTTCAGAAATCAAGAACTCATGCCTCCCCCATCTACCACTTCCACTCCCGAGGTGGCGGCATCGAGCCCAACCAGGCCTTCAACACCAAAAGTTCTGCCCCAACCCAGCGTTCCCAAAGAGAGTCGACCCCAAACCAGCCTTCTACACTGACGTCATCGACCTCAACCCAGCCTTCCACTCCAAAGCCATCAACCCCAACTCTGTCTTCCACTCCGAAGTCATCGACCCCAACCCTGTCTTCAACTCTGAAGGCCTCAACCCCAAACCCGCCTTCCAGTCCGAAGACCTTAACTCCAAACCCGCCTTCCACTCCTAAGTTGTCGACCCTAACCCAGCCATCCACTCTGAAGGCGTCGACCCATACCCAGCCTTCCACTTCAACAGCATCAACGAGCCTAGTCCCTTCCACTACAAAGGCAGCGACCCAACCCCCACCTTTCACTCTGGAGGCGTTGACCCCACTTGCACCTTCTCTGGAGGCTCCACCCCTGCCCCCCTCTCCCAACACATCGACGACGCCACCCCCGAATTCTACTCCGAATCAGCCAACGTCCACTCCTGAGATGCCGGAACGTCCTTTGAAAGGACGGGGTGTTCGAAAGCGGGCTACTGTGACAACAAAGGGGAAGAAGAAACAAGCTGTTAATCTCGGGCTGGGGCAAGAGGACCCACCTCCGTCTTGGAAACGCAAAACAACCGATAATCAAACCATGGAGTCTGCCCCTCCTGTCAAGAAAAGCCGCCGTTTGTTGCATGCATCGTATGTTCATCCCAGATCTCTCCGGCACACATCTAACACGTGTCTTGACAGACCTGAGAAAGTTCAGATGACAGGAAGGTGGTAGGTAATCATGCTCACGAAATCCCACTCCCCATCCATTTTTTCTCGAATCCTCGCCTCGCATAATATCCTACCTCCAAGAATTCCCCGGCATCGAAGAAGTTCCCACTTCAAATAAATCCTCACCTCAAATGAATCGTAGCTTTGACTTGGCTTTGACTTTGATTCCGTTTCCGAAGAATCCCCACCTCCAATAAATTCCCTCCTAAATAGATTTCCGCCTTTGAAGAATCTTCACCTCAATCGTGAAATCCTCACTTTGCATTATTGACTACTTATGTAACCGCTTACTTAGAATCCCCCGTAGAATGTTATATCAACTTCCAACACCTACAAAGAATATCCGTCTACAAAGAATATTAGTTTACAAATATTAGTCTATAAGTACTTAAAATATTCTTCTACATGGCTCACCGTCTAACTACGAATATTCTCCCCCGCCTAATAAGCAGTTCTGAAGAATATTTTGAACTGATATGGCTGCGAACACACCCTGCCTTTGCGTCCCACTTTCGCATTCTTTTCTGTCTGTCCTCCTACTCCCCCTCCCATGACCCATACACCACCGCATAGGCCCCCCTCCAAGCTCTTGCATTACAGCAGAATGTGCTCGAGACAACCAGTCTTCGGTGTCCCCTCTCTTTGGATGAGGAAGATTCCAAAGTCTACCAACGTGTACTTGCTGGGCACGGATTTGAAGACAGACATCGTGAATGGAGTCAAAGAATTCTGATCCTGTCCTTGTGGTATGCTCTTCATTGACGACCTCTCCCACGATGCTCAATCCAAATGCAGCTCTTCCACAGTTGACTTGATATGGGAGGAGGGTGGCTTCCGCCATGTCACGGCTGTACTTCAAGTTGGGGGAAGCAGGACAGCAATGTGGCTGTTATGCGCCTGGGAATGGGGATGAAGATGGAATTGATTATGTTCAAGTTGTTCATCTTTTGGCTGAACATACCACTGCATCTCCTCGCGAACCGTCTTCTTCCAGTAAGTCCTCAATTCTTCTTAATTTTTTATGTGAGAACTAAGTGACCGCTTTGTTAGATATGGGACATCATACTAGGAATTCAATTCCTCCATCAGAATAAGCATTACAAGGGGATCTCAAAGGCGTAAGACCTTTTTCATTAGTAGTCGTTCGACATTTACTGATAATTCTTAGATTTTCACCTTCCTCACATCTACCCCGACGGTATCACAATTCTGAGGAAGGCCGGTTTCCTCGTAGCCATACCCCTAAGGCGTGGATCCCTCCTTTTTCCAGGATGACTTGGCTTCTTCTTCAACCTTATACCACAGCATGCGCATGGGCAGGGAGATGGTATGTGTTGAAGTGTTGGTGTCACGGAGGGCCTGGGGTGGCAGACGCAAGCTCTCAGCCCCAGTTGCGTGAGCTTGAATGATGTCCTTTGGAAACCAAGGGTGACATTTTGGGAGTGGGCAGACCATCGCATGTGACAGACACTTGTCATGCTCGGTCCGCTCTTGAACGACCGACTCCAATATTTCATAGCTGTTTCCAGGGATGCGGCCTTTTCTCTCCTTTTTTGTTTCAGATGGCAAAGGAGAATCCAAAATACTCGTACTTTCCCACTGCTGCTGTTGTATGGACAACCACACAGCTGACACCCGGTCATGGCGTCCAGAAATCCTTTCTCCTGCACTCGAGATCACCGATCCTTAAAGGGCACCCTTCACTTCCCCGCCAAAGTTGAACGTTAACTACAGTGATTGAGGTTCTCCCATGAAGACATTTTGATCAGGTCGTGAAGCTTGTGTTGGCGAAGGACGGTATCCTTCATTCCTCCTTCATTCCTTGTCCATTATCAGTTATCCCTTCCTTCTCCCTTCCCTCCACCATCCACGTACATAAACGACGCTGACGCCATGCAAACCACCATAGCAGTCATCGATAATGTTCTCGACCATCTTTCATTCGCACCAGGACCCTCAAAGATCAGCTACGTACGCGCAGATGCCATCGCCTATTTCGTAACGCGGCTCTTCTACAAATCCATAATCAATTCTTTAGCAAGCTGGAGGCACCATTGGGAGAATGGAGCCGTGAATGGGTGCATATAAGGGGGTGACACATTTGAGGTGTTTCTGCACGGCTTACATGCTGTTCACAATGCATATTTGGCTAAACGGAAGCAGAAGGAGGGAGATGTGAGGCTCGTAATCGTTGTGAAATGCGCTGAGAGGCTAGTATCAGAGTTGACGGTGCCAGACTTGCCGAACTGGTGAGCCCTTCGTTGTCGTCGTCATTCACGGCCCAACTCACCTTCTTCGATAGGCACAAATTGACTTTTGAACCATCTTTGTTTGTGAAGCCCCATGGAAGACGATTCGACCACTGTTGAGTAACTTGCCGAACTGGTGAGCCATTTGTTGTCGTCGTTATTCATGGCCCAACTCACCTTCTTTGATAGGCACGAGTTGACTTTTGCATCGTCTTTGTTTGTGAGACCCATGCAAGGAGACGATTCGACCACCGTTGAGCATGTCTCCTGATCCATACTTCTTCGTAACACCTCCTCACTTCAGGCAACCACCTAACCCTACCCTCTTAGGGTAGTTAGTTCATGCCAATAAGACCACCCTATGAGGGCCTAATACCATGGTATGTCCCACCTATTTCTTGGAGTCCCCTGGGGGTAGCCAGGTACTCCCATGGGAGTTCCATGGTATCTGCTAGGACTTCCACATTCCTCTTACATTTCCTTGGGAGTCCCACCTCTCTGGGGGTCCCAAGGATGGAACGTTAAGGGCTGCCAGTGTCGTTCTTAGTGCAGCTGCTCTTAATTCAAACATCAGTGCCGGATGGCAAATCGCAGCTGAAAAAGAGCATGAAGATTCTCCAGGCATGATGAAAGTAGTTGATAATCAGCTCAGTGATATATTAAGGATCAACAACCCTTCCAATTCAGGGAAACAGGGAGACTTTCCGTGGTTCCCCAAGACGGATCTCAGGATGAATCAATCTCAATCGCTTACAACTCAGGCTGCAGATTGGGCTGAGCGCAAAGAATTCATTGAAGGAAGGCTTAACGAGCTCCAGCTATACTTGATCGGTATCGGATGGAAGACTCAATTACACTCTCCGAAATACAAAGTCGATTATGCACCACGTTGGATATGCGAATCTGAGATCTCTCATGTTGAACCACGCAGCTATATAGCACGACTGCAAGGACTATCCTTCAAGTTCTGGCCTTCTATGAATAAGGACACTGAAACATATATTTCCCCCTTTAACGTTTATCGGAGTACTAGAATGGATCATTCTATCAAGAGGAACACTTTAAGGCCCATTCCTAATCCTTCACGACTGCCGGTGCCCTCAGCCAGTTCATTGGATAAAACGACCAATCAGCCAGATCCCGGAGGATGGTATCTCCTAAAACAAGAGACAAACCAATGTAGTGTTTGAAAGTTAGGTTAGTTAACCGGAAAATAACCGGAAAATAACCGGACCTAACCGCAACACTAACCTAACCGCAGTTAGGGTTAGTTGATTTCGAAAATGGAATAACCGGTTATTTTGTGGTTAACTAACTGTTAAATAACTGGTTATAACCAGTTATAACCAGCCCTATTATACACCTTCAAAACACACTTGAGAATGTCGAAAATGCTTAAAATTTGACTAAGTTACAGTCAAATCTCTAAAATATCACTCAAATGTGTAGACTTTCAAGGATAATTGCATAAATATGTCAATTCTTCACCGATTTTAGCGTTCTTGGGCTCGTTTTAAAGCTAGAATATGCAGAAATAATATCTATCAAGATACATATGAGCATATTTGCCTTGTTATAACCGATTCTTTATTTTTCGGTCCTAACCGGTTAGTAACTGCAAATAACCGACCGTAACCGGTTAGTTGTGGTCCGGTTAGGTTATTTTAGGTTTCAGGACAAAGGCTAACCGGTCTCGGTCTCGGTTAGAGCCCCTGGGCACCCAATAACCGGACCTAACCGGACTTTCGAACACTAAACCAATGGATGAATAACCCCTGCAAAGAATCCAAGTCCTGCCATCCCTTCAAATTGCTACAGAACACCTCGTGGAGTGAACATATACTCCCGACTCGAATAGTGACCACCTCCGAGAACTTTGATTCCTTATTAAGCTACAAACAACATTTGTTACCTGTTAACCGGATAACGAAGGCTCTAAGAAGTGATAGAAATGAATGATCGACCCTTAATTATACCTCAACATTGCCATCAACGACTCTGATTTTTGCACCAAGTCCGAAATCCGAGGTACTGGGAATTCAAAAGATAGATGATTACTATTCAAGCGTAAAGTTGAACAGGAGAGAAGGACGTTGGAACCGATGGAACATGAAAGCAAGTATCTCATGTTTCAGCAATGCACAGGAAACCAACTCTCTTAAGCGTGGTCAGTATGCTGCTCTAGAGACTCCGATCGACCCCATCAAAGGAATCAACTCCTCAGCTATATGCCAGAGAGTAGTGTTTGAAAGTTAGGTTAGTTAACCGGAAAATAACCGGAAAATAACCGGACCTAACCACAACACTAACCTAACTGCGGTTAGGGTTAGTTGATTTCGAAAATGGAATAACCGGTTATTTTGCGGTTAACTAACCGTTAAATAACCGGTTATAACCAGTTATAACCAGCCCTATTATACACCTTCAAAATGCACTTGAGAACGTCGAAAACACTTAAAATTTGACTAAGTTACGGTCAAATCTCTAAAATATCACTCAAATGTGTAGACTTTCAAGGATAATTGCATAAATATGTCAATTCTTCACTGATTTTAGCGTTCTTGGGCTCGTTTTAAAGCTAGAATATGCAGAAATAATATCTATCAAGATACATATGAGCATATTTGCCTTGTTATAACCGATTCTTTATTTGCCTTGTTATAACCGATTCTTTATTTTTTGGTCCTAACCAGTTAGTAACTGCAAATAACCGACCATAACTGGTTAGTTGCGGTCCAGTTAGGTTATTTTAGGTTTCGGGACAAAGGCTAACCAGTCTCGGTCTCGGTTAGAGCCCCTGGGCACCCAATAACCGGACCTAACCGGACTTTCGAACACTACCGGAGAGGCAATAACTACGGCGTGTTGGTTACATTGCAATTCGGAAGCAATACAGGCTCACTAACTTCAACGGTCTTGCTCGATCTGATTCGCTACCAAAGGGGAATCATCTGGGGCGTCTTGTCATCGAAGGAAGCTACTAAGGAGAACAAACCCATTTCAAACCTCGACGTCTATGGACAACCCTGTTCAGGAGGAGTTTTTCATGACGTTGCTGAACCTGAAACGAAGAGAATGGGGAAAGGAGTCCCTTTTCCTAGAGCAAGTGATCTTCCCTTTCCCTATAAGCCGTCACACCTTCACTCTGAACTAGGTGACGATGGCAATAGTTATAGTAACAGCAGTTACTGTCCCAAATACGATAGTACGATTGACCCCAGCAAAGACAGCTCTAATGAAAGGGTCAACGATTTAGCAAAGAGCGCGACTGAGAATCCCACTGCTCTGACTTCAGAACCAGAACCGACTGCTGTGAGCGTGGCTACGAGCCGGAAAACTAAAAAGATTAAATCAGTTCTATACTGCAGCGAGCCACCTCCTGTTTTGAATCATCAAGAAGAACCGGAGGAGAAGACCTCACCATGGAAATTCATCTTGTCCTGCTTAACGCTCTATGAACTGCAAGCTTCCGAGGGATCCATTTCCCAAGCCGTGATAGTTGAGAAGACAAACAAATTGCCATTAGCCGTGAGGCAAATATTCAGAGTACGTGAGATGGAGCGGCCTACTACATTTCATTGGCCTAACTCCTACCACAATGGACATACTCTGAATGATGATACACCAGTGGCAAGATCACCCGTAGCTGGATCTTCAGCATACAGATTGGTTGGTCAAGAACTTCAACAATCCTGTGACTTTTGACGAACTTCTCCTTGGCCAGAACTCAGTCACCATACTAAGTTCCCCTCTCTTCAAATCTGTTATCAACTGCAGGCTCTATTGGTACACCCAAGACAACGATACTCACATAGCCTTCTTTCTTATGGCGGAGATCAAGCGCCATGGCATCATTCTTCTCCCCTACTCCACCGCCTTGCATATCATCCACCATCTCCCAGGCGACATCCCTCACCTCATAATCAAAATTCTACTTTCCTACCCTTCGTGCTTCCTACGTCTGCTAGTGAAATGAAACTAGTCCTTCTTCTATCCCCATATCCTCCTACTTCTGCAAGTGTCGGATTACCACGTAATGCCTTGCCACCTGTGTGCGCGGACATATCTTACCTGTGGCCCCTGCCAAGCGATACACAGAAATCAAGCTGGACATGGGAAAACTCCGGATGTTGCATCCCATGACCACTGGACTGTCTTCCTCTCAGCACCTTGGTGATAGAGTCAGTAGCCATTACTTGGTCTACTTCAGATGAGATAACTTCACTATCAACTACGTTGCTTGCATCGAGCATAGAGGAGTCAGAGAACTTAGTTACTACTCTCCTGTTGTCGAGAACCTTGAATGGAGCTGGATATCCACCCAAATTTCATCCTCCTCCTGCCGATTCTCAGTCATAGCTCTCATCGCGAATGGCAAATTTGTCAAGCTGAGGGACCTGGGAGATGGACCTTCCAAGTTCAACAACTCATTAACTATGGACAATCCTCGAACCTCGGCTGTCAATGAAGGAACCACTATAGAGAGCCCTTGGGAGACCAGTGACGGAGTCGCTACAGAGGAAGTCCCTCGAAGGGAGAAGGCTACAAGGAGGAAGAGAGAGTAACCCGTACATCTGAACCACGTATGACATGATCGCGGAAATTGAGAACTGGAGGGCCCGGTTATCATGGTTGTGGGAGTATAAAAGGAAAGAGAGAAAAATTCCCAAAAAGGAAAGAGAAAAAGAGAAAAAGGAGGGATTTCTAGACTTCTTGGTATGCTTGGGGGTGATAAGTTTTCAAAAAATAACCACAGCCTATAATGATTGTTATATTACTTTTCCACAATACTTCTGAGAGTGAAAAATAAAACCATGAAGACTTTTTAGCATTCTGACCCCCCAAAACAAATCCAAAACATCAAGAGATCCTTACTTTTACAATCCTTTCAACTGCATGAACCACAGGCATTTATGTATGCACTGATCCTTCCTAATTATCCCTCCACATCTTTCTTTTTCACACTTCCAACAATTCATTCTGCACATCTTAGACCAATGTCCTGTGTTGATTTTCTAGTTTTCTGTTGGGTATCTAGTTTCTGTGTCTGCCCCAATGTATTATTTCCATTAGGAGCTACACTTGGTCCTGCAACAGGTAGTAGATGTATATTATAGAGCCTCAGGGCCTCATTTCTTGGTTTCGATCAGGAGAATGACTGCTAGTTCCTTTCCTTGTATTGGGGGGCTGGGCCACTTATATAGTTATGGTCATGAAGCTGTATTTTTTTTTCAGATTTATCAATTTGAGCTTCAACTCCTTTGTATTGAGATCTGGCTGGAATTGTGTTGCAACATTTAACTTCCAGGTTGCATAACATTCAGTCAGAGTCATTCCTCAAGCTAAAATTACCGTCAATGAATGACATTTTTTACAACAAGTGATGATGCAGTACACAATATTGTGGAGGGAAAGATGTCAAAAACGTCGAAAATTCAAAGGACAGGACAAGACAGGGGTGTGAGAACTATTTACCAAATTAAGGCAATTCTCAATATAGAAATCATAGCAGCTGCTATGATTTCCATTCTCGGATTTATTTTCGTAGCAGCTGCTACCACCCACAGGCATGGGAACTCCACCAACTGGAGTGGCCACCCAATTGTTCTCAGGACGATGCTCCAATCTCACAGGGGGGCTTTGTAATGGCGTGTTAGTATACACTACTAGCGCTTGCGTGACCTCAAATCATCGTATTTACTCATATTTATCCTCACTCAGTATAGTGTTGTGTTCATAACAAATATACTTACTTTTGCAACCACATCATATATTACATGTGGACGGACATCAGGAAAATCACATCACGTGTGGCACCACACTTCTCATTCAAACCACGCTCAGCCACACTCTCACAAACAATGATGGGGACATTATAACCTGTGGTGGCGAAGGGTGGCGACACACCCACCACAACCATTTGTGGCACCACAATCTCATCATAATTTCACTATGGGGCCACAAACCCAACTTCTGAATTATTGCACCACACTGCCCATTGCCAAAAGAAAGATCATCTTTATTATTACTATACTACATACAGAAACAACACGTAAATACGAATGTAAAGACCAATTTGACTACCTAACAACTTGATAAGAATAATTCAGAACATATTCAGGGGGAACTCACCAATCATCCTTAATGCGGCCCTCCTCCCTAACATGGATGAGGTCCAGGTTGAGGTCAGGAACGAGATGGATAATGGTGATATGGAAAAGGCGCACCTGTATTTTGTGTTAGAAAGATGAGTGGTGGGAGGTCAACTTGCCTCACCTTGGCTCGTTGCAATCTGTTTCCATTCGAGGGTGCTGGTCGCCGTTCGCGTGGATGGTCGTCGTTCACGTGGATGGTCGTCGTTCGCGTGGATGGTCATTCATCTTGGTTTGTAGGCGGTCATTGGTTGTCGTTGGCGTTGGCTGTTGTTTGTGGTTGTTGTTGGTGGCACTGTTGGAGGTGGTGAGATGTGGCATTGCCACATCATTGTTGTTGGAGGAGGTTGGGGCAATTGGAAGATAGATAGTGGAGATGGCGGAGGACAAACTGACTCATGATATCAGCCAGCTTGATGGAAGAAGCATCCTTGGGGAGTGGGTCTTGGGTCTGAAAGGTCATCAGTTGAAAAAGGGGGGGAAATGGGGAAAGCTGACCATGTTGTCACAGACGATGTTCTGGAGGGCCCTGGGTGTTGCGCTGGAATGTTGTTAGTAGTGAAAGAAACGAAAAGAAAAAGAGGGTGTGCAGACAAATAGCTTTTTCCGCCACATCATGCAACCCCTTGCTGATGGTGTCTAACGAGGTCATTGGAAAAGGTAGAGCAGGAGGAAGGGTAAGAGCCTACCAGTGTCGTCCCGGCCAGATGGACCTTCACCTAGAAAGTTGTTAGTCAAAAAGAAGGGAGGATGGGATGGCATCGCCACATTGGACGATGGTTGTAGTTTGCCACATCGACGTCGGCAATGTCGCCCCTGCTTCTCTTGTTAAAAAGGAGAGGGGAGTGTAGTCAGAAAGCTCACCTGGTTGTCTGTCGTTTGCCATCATTCATCTGTTCTTGGTTGCCACATCAACGTGGCCCCCTGTGTCTTGTGTGAAAAGAGGAGAAGGGGAGGAGGTCGAGTGGCTGACCTCGAGTAACATGGAGAGTGACGACGACAGGCGTCATCACCATCTGGTCGACGTGGCACGTCTGTTAACGTGCCAGGTCATTGTTGTTGTCATTGGGTAGGTCGTTGTTAGTGTGCAGTGGTGGTTGGGAGTGGGTTCCGAGTGTGGTGATTGATGGTGGTGACGGAGTGGAGGGGACTACACAGTGGGGAAGACCTGGAAGTTGGAACTTGGTAGGAAGGAGCTCGGCGGGAAGACTCAGAGAGCAGAGGGAAAGTTCACAAGTCCAAAATTTTCCAAATTCGGATGTTCAACACGTCGCGTGATTGATAAGTATACATGCCACAACGGATCTGTGGCGTGAATGATTATTGTGATGCGCGTGGCTCAATTTGTCCGGAGATCAAAATTATGGCGGTGTGGTGCCAGATCCATCACTCCAGCCACACTCCGCCACGCAATCACGACCTGCCACAGATTTGTGATTTTCCTGATGGAGTCACACCCTTTCTGTACGGCTAGGCAGCCATACGCCTCCCCTCCAGGATACAAGAGTCCTGCGCCAGGTGACTGCGCCCCAGTTCCTGGGTCACAGGATAAACTACACATGGTATCGCCTCACAGCATCACATTACGAACTCTTTCACATGTACCACGAATATTCTCTGCTGCCATCTCGCACTCACACCTTCGTCGAGAAGTCCTGATCAGCCCTTTGGTTCCACAGCTCAAAATAATTGTGTCTGTAGAGCACAAGATTTTCACCCCTCATGGAGCTTGAAATAATTGCGCCCCAGTAGAGCTCAGAATAATTGCGCCTCTTGTGGAGCACAAAATAATTGCACCTCTAAGCGCAAGATAATTGCACCCCAATAGAGTGCAGATAATTGCGCCCCTCATGGAGCTTGAGATAATTGTGCCCCCTGTAGAGCTCGGAATAATTGCGCCTCTCATGGAGTGCAAAAGAATTGTACCTCTCATGGAGCTTGAACTAATTGCACCTCTAGGGTGCAAAATAATTGCACCCCAATAGAGTGCATATAATTGTGCCCTTTGCAGAGCTCAAAATAATTGCACCTGTAGAGTGCAAGATTTTTGCCCCTCATGGAGCTTGAGATAATTGTGCCCCCTGTAGAGCTCAGAATAATTGCACCCCTATGGAGTGCAAAAGAATTGCGCCTCTCATGGAGCTTGAAATAATTGCACCCCAATAAAGCACAGATAATTGCACCCCTTGCAGAGCTCAAAATAATTGCACCTGTAGAGCACAAAATTTTCGCCCCTCATGGAGCTCGAGATAATTGTGCCCCCTGTAGAGCTCGGAATAATTGTGCCTTCCCTGGAGCACAAAAGAATTGCACCCCTTGTGGAGCTTGAAATAATTGCGCCTCTAGAGCACAAAATAATTGCACCCACCATAGAGTGCAAATAATTGCACCCCTTGTGGAGCTCAAAATAATTGCGTCTGTAGAGTGCAAAATAATTGCACAGGTTAGGACTTGCCAATGAGACCAATGGGTGCAGTGCATCAGTGCCATAAATCCTTGCCAAAGTGGGCCAGGCATTTACTACAATTGGGGGGGGCACATATTTTTTGTGCAAAATAAATGCCATAGGAACATAGTGACTTGGCACCCACTCACATGCACATTCACATTGGGCGCACTGGACATTTCATGCAAAAAGATAATGGGTGAAAATACACACTGGAAAATAACAGACACAGATGCATACTTAGTGCAGGTATAAGTGATTTGGCACCCACTCACATTTGGTGCACATTCACATTGGGTGCACTTTTCATGCATTCACATTGGGAACACTGGCATTTCATGCACATTCACATTTGGTACACTCTGATGGGTGCACTCTGACATTTGGTTCACATTTACATTGGGTGCACTCTGACATTTGGTTCACATTTACATTGGGCGCACTCTGAAATTTTGTGCCCATTCACATTGGGCACACTCTGATGGGCACACTCTGACATTGAAACAGTGGATTTGTAATACCAGTTATGGCACCTGAAGCACTGATGGGCACAACAATGGCATTGGTGCAAAGTGTGAGTTATTTTCAATAGGAGCGCCCATTATTGGCAGGCGTGCACCTGTTCAGCCCAGCCATCACTATGGATGATTTGTTGAGATGTCAGTGGGGAGCGGCAACCGTGCCAATAAAATCGTGCTGTTTGGTTCTGTTTGTCTTGCGCCAAATAGTCGAATTCAGTGGTCGACAACTGTTATTTCACTTCAATCGATACGTAGGGACCAATTTACAAGTCTATGTTGTTTGTGGTGATATATAATATACTATTATGATTGAATTTAGTAGCCAAGTTCTATATCTGTGTCACTATACATGTCAGATGCATTTTCCTCTGGAATGTAGCTTTCCTATTCACTCCTCATGTCGAGTTGAGCTTCAAGCTCCTGCTGGTTTTGAGCTTTAGACATTCATATTGTGTTCCGGTCTGTTCTCCAAGTTGTCAGAGTGAATGTTGCAAAGGTTTGTCATTGACTGGGAAGTTTGCAATGTCGATCGTGACTTCCGGCCCAGTTTCCAAGTGCCTTTGCCCATGATATAAGATACATGTGGTTAACAAGTCAATATATGCAGAGGTAAGTAATGACGATAATGTGTTGCTGACGCCGATAGTTGTGCTTTGGTCGCACTTCAGTTACTTTTTCTTTATTGCAACACATGATCATCGACGTGTCCTACCATGCCATTCCCCCGTCATGGATTGCTACCTCATCTGTAGAGATATTCTTTCAAATTTTTGCAGGCACAAACTCATGGAGCGTAGGATGGATTTGTTCGGGACAGAATTTTATAAAGGGGTTTGGAAGGCTCAAAGTAAGATATTAACTGATGGAATATTTGTATTTTTGTGCTAAATTGTATACGAGCACCTTTACTTATGCTCCACCTACATATATCCACACTTAAAGTGGCAATCTATTGTTGTGTTGAAGTAAATACGAGCAGTTGAGACGATCGACCATTTTTTGATCAGGTCTTTGGTGATGGGAAAATACGGCGGAGTTGAAAATTTGGCAGTGGGTTGCCGCTCCCCAATGTCAGCCGAGTCCACTGGCCCCATATGGTATGGAGCATTGTCAGGTTCGGTTGGTCCATTTGGTAAGGGCTAGGGTCACCGTCATATGTGTGAAGCGTAGATCATGGTCGTCGGCTCCACCTGCGTCGTTTCAGTTTCGATTGCACAAGAAAAAGCCGCCGCTCCTATCACTTCTCATAGCCATCTAAAGTAAACCTGTGGGTTGAACGATTAGAGTCGGTTATGTGAAGTAATAGACAGAAACAAGCTCACCGATGATCCCAAATCCTTTGAATCCCAATTGAATCCTGCTATCATTTTATGAGCTCCCAGTACACTTGAGCATGCATCTCAGCGCTCTTCGGGAAGTCTTCCCTGGGAATCTCAGCGCCACTGGGCGGGGCAAGAGAAGCAAAATAAAACCTATGATTTCAGAAAGAAAAACGAGTAAGTACTTACTATCCCCAAAGACATACCGAATATCGTTTTATACGCCGCTGCAAAAGTTTCAACTAGCCTCGCTGATACCACTTTCTGGAAGGATATGACGGCAAAGCGGAGGTGAAGGGGAAAAGATTGCCCCTAACGATGAACGCGTCTTTGTACCCTCGATCGTGATGGGCTTGTTCTACAACTTCTACCAAGCTCCTACGCAGTAGCTCGCGTTATTCCTTCTCGTTTCTCAGTCTTCGAATAATGCAAAGTTGTCCAGCGGAGAGATGGTACAGACGCTGAGGGGATTGAGGCATGGTGATTGCGAGGTAAGGCTGGCGTGAACTACATGTCGTCAAGGCCTCCAGGTCATAATTACCAAACACAATGCACAAACAACTGGTATGAAGGACATATTTCTTATTGAAGCTTTGGTCATGGTCGTGCTTGTTCATACTGGTGGTACAATACAGATAGGCTACAATATTATGCCGAGGTATCATTCTACAATCAAATTTGCAGCTCCACCTGAACGTCGCTTCATCCAAACATACAGTTCCGATAACCACCACGCCTACGACCTCTCATACCCAGGGAGCTTCTTACCGTCTAAAGTGAACCTGTAATTTTTATAGTTAGAGTGAGTCCAAAGAATAGACCAAAACTAGCTGACCGATGATCCCAATTCCCTTGAGTCCTGCTGTTAATGAGCTCCCAGTACACCTGGGCATGCGTCTCAGCACTCTTCGGGAAGTCTCCCTTGGGTAGCTCGCCGCTGGGCGAGACAAGAGAAGCAAAATAAAAGCTATCATTTCATAGTAAGTACTACAACACGTCGCCAAAAAAATGATGATACATACCGAATATCGTCTTTATACGCCGTCGCAAAAGTCTCAACAAGCCTCGCCGCTACCACTTTCTGGATATCCAAAGAAGTATACGCCGGCAACGCGGAAACGAAGGGTAAAAGGTTGCCTGTAACGATGAACGCTTTTGGCGAGTCTTTGTGTACCCCCGATCGGAACCCTGTGATAGCTTGTTGTGCTGCAGCGAACACTCCGAGGCCAACGGCCGTTGAACTCTGGAAAGACTCCAGATGGAGAGAAAGCGGGTCTTCGGGGGTTGGTAGAGGGACAAACGATGCCGCTGGTAGACATTCGAGATTAGATACATCATGTAGTATAACCGATTGAAATTGAAGGCTTACCATTGTAAATGACGACATTAGGAGGACCAAGCTCTGCATTGACAGCCTGGAACGCAGCTTGTATGCTCTCGGAGCTGCTAGCATCCACTTTGACGGGGTAGAACCCTTCTTCCGTCTCCTTGTCGGTCTTGGGGTTTCGGGAACCAAGCGCGACGCGGTACCCATTCTGCTTGAGAATGGTGCCTACGGCAGCACCAATGTGGGGTCCTGCGCCAATGATAAATGCGACGAGAGACATAGTTTTGCTAGGTGGTACGAGTTGAAATTGTGAAGATGGATTCAAGACGCCCAGAATTCTTTTATACGCCAGGACTTGCGAAGAATTGTGCAATCTGAAACCGAGGTGAGGTGATCAGTCAGCGGTGTATTAATAAGGTGCAGGGCGAGGTAGGCGCTGGTAGGTATGCGACAGACGTAAGCTGAGGGTGCATGACTGAGCTGCAGTGAGAAAAAAAAAAGATGAGAAGGACTGATGCATGATGAGAGATGGTATGTAGACGCAATGCGGAGGTTTGGAAGGCTGATTCGTGTACGACGACTGGTGCGGTACTCGGCGCTCGCTGAGCGGAAGCTCATTCAACGGCTTGTGGGTGGTTAGCGCTTAGCGCTTTAGCCCCCTTGCACACCCGAGAATGGCGACTTCAACCAGTATCCTTTGCAGAGTCGAGGTAGAGACGAGAGCTACAATTGGCGGATCAAAGAGTGGTACGGAAGTACGAATTTTCAGCTGAGCAATATGTTTTCCAAATCCGCGACTCGCTCATCGACTCCTACCAAGCCCTTACGCAGTAGCTCGCATTATTGGTTCCCGTTTCTCAGTCTTGGAATGATGCAAAGTCGCTCATTGTGGTGTCGATCCACGCTTGTCGTCATCCTCCGGATAGCCTCACCCACAGCCTCAACCCTCCACGATCGATGCCAAGCAAAGTCCTTCCTTCAAATAAAAATAAAACTCATCCTTTCCCCCTTTCCCTACATTCCACACCATGCACGTACCTCCAGAAGCCTTCGTCCTAATCACCATTCCCAACTCTACTTTATACGACTCCTCAACAGGATCCACCGAATCCGGGGTGCTAGCTCTAGAATGTGTAACCATGTCCATCCCGGAAGCATTAAACGACCGCGACGTTTACCTCGTCCTTCGCCTCAACACCTCGGAGCTACCGATCGACCCTGCTCGCGTTGTCCAAAGGAGAGATGGTAACGAGAGCAGGATTTATACGTTCCACGCGATACCGCAGGATCCCGCTGAGTTGGTGCTCACTATTCGTTTGGATCGCGGTGATTCAAACCAACACCAACAAGAGGATCTGGACACGTTTGAAGGTATCCTGGCGCAGTATGTTGCAGATCTTTGTGGGTTGGGACAACAGGCCAACGCGCCTGCGGCACCTCAAGACTTGGGAAGCAGCGGGATAACGAGGGGCGATAAAGATTTACGAGGTCATCTTGTTATGGTTGATGAGAAGACGGGGGAAGTTGTTGGCGAGATTGAGGATAGGTTTAGGATCACGGAGGATCCTGTTATGTATGAAAAGGGACACGAGAATGATCCTGTTATCATCGATGTTCCAGAGGTGTCGACGAGGGAACGCGACGCAAACGCTTTCGAGGCATTTGCGAGGATCGTTCCTCCTGACCAACGTAATTGGATTACAAAGTCTGCCTCTGTCGTCAGGTAGGTTCTACTATCTATCTTTGTCTGCTTCTTTGGCTCACTTTCCTGCTCACCAGCCACGCCATATCAATGACAACTTCCCTCCTCGTCACAACCATAACCACCGCATCATCACTCTACGTCGCCCACTCCACCCCATCACCCCACCACCCCTCCTCCGGCTCTGGTCCCAGCACACGCACAGGTCCACCACCACCACCCCCACCTCGCGCCCTCGTCTTCCTCACCTCCGAACGCACACAGAAAGGCCTAGCATCAGTACACGCCGTCTCTGGCGAAGCCGTGAAAGTATCTTCAAAAACCGTAAATCACATCGACAGCATGATCCGGCGCGCGATGGGTGCCCGGCCTAGACGACGTGAGAGGCAGGATTTGTCGTCTACGCCTGCTTCTATAGGGTACCTCTCCCCAGGTGGGAGCCCACCACCTCTGCCTCCGAGGACGCCTTCTCCTTCTGCATCAACGTCAGGCTTCGCGCTACCGTCTTACGATTCTGTAGTCAACGGAACCAAACCCCCTCCGACTCTCCCCACACGTCCTTCTCTCCCACCTCCCGCCCAATCTCCTCCCCCTACACCAAAACTAACAACCAAAACCCGCGTCCTCCTCTCCCTCGACCTCATCCTCTCAACAATCGACGACTCCGCGCGCAGAGTCCTCGATACATCAACACAGGAGATCGGGAAGGTTGTTGGGCACACGTACGGACCTGAGGCTGCGCGGTCGAGCTTGCTTGTGGCGGGGACGGCGAGGAATGTTGGGTTGGTTTATGTTGATTTGAGGGGGGTTGGGAGGAGGGCGTTGGTTAGGAGGGCGGGGAGGACGTTTGTGAAGGCGCAGATGTCTTCTAGTGTTGGTGCTGCTGGTCAGACACCGCCTGCGCTGCCGACGAGGTAGGGAGGATACTTAGTGGAATTTATTTTTATTTTTTGTATTCTGCATGGTGCCTCTTGAATGGTATTTGTCACCATTTCTCATCAGTCCTCCCACTTCCTCCTCACTGCAGCTCAGTCATGCATCCTCAGCTTACGTCTGAAATATCTGTCGTACCCCAGCGCCTAGCTCGCCTTGCACCTTATTAATACACCGCTGACTGATCACATCTCCTCAGTCTCAGATTGCACAATTCTTCGCAAGTCCTGGCGTATAAAAGAAGGCATCATGAATTCATCCTCACTTATCCATCTCTCTTACATCCACGAAAACCATGTCTCCCGTCGCATTCATCATTGGCGCAGGGCCCCACATCGGTGCTGCTGTAGGCACACTTCTCAAACAAAACGGATACCGCATCGCGCTTGGTTCCCGAAACCCCTCGAAGATCTCCAACGAAACAGAAGCAGAAGAAGGGGGGTTCTACCACGTCAAAGTGGATGCTAGCAGCTCCGAGAGCATACAAGCTGCGTTCCGGACTGTTAATAAAGAGCTCGGGCCTCCTAATGTCGTCATTTACAACGGTAAGGCTTCAATTACATCCCCTTACACATCCATTTAACCACGAATGTATCAGCGGCATCGTTCCTCCCCCTCCCAACCCCCGAAGACCCGCTTTCCCTTCCACTAGAGTCCTTCGAGAGTTCGACGGCCGTCGGCCTTGGAGTGTTCGCAGCAGCCCAACAAGCCATCCCAGGTTTCCGATCGGGGGTACATAAACACTCGCCGAAAGCGTTCATCGTCACCGGCAACCTTCTGCCCTTCGTCTCCGCGTTGCCGGCGTATACTTCTTTGGATGTACAGAAGGTGGTAGCGGCGAGGCTTGTTGAGACGTTTGCGGCGGCGTATAAAGACGATGATATTCGGTATGTATCCTCGTTTTTTTTTTTGAAGATATGTTTAGTGCTTACTCACTCTGAAATTATAGCTTTTATTTTGCTTCTTTTGTCTCGCCCAGCGGCGAGATTTCCCTGGAAGATTTCCCGAAGAGCGCTGAGACGCATGCTCAGGTGTATTGGGAGCTCATTAATAGCGAGATTCAAGGAAATTGGGATCATCGGTGAGCTAGTTTTGGTCTATTCCTCTTATAAATTCTAACCATTTCATGACAAGGTTCACTCTAGATGGTAAGAAGCTCCCCTGAGTATGAGAAGTGAAGTGGCGGTTTTCTCATGTGATCGAAACTGTACTGTAAATTTCAAACGACGTTTTGTGGTGGTAGCAGGTGGAGCAGCAAATTCGGTAGTACAATAAGTAATAGTGGAATGCCATAATGTTGTAGCGTCTTTCTTTACGGAGAGTCGGGTCTGAATAAAAAATTTGAGGTGTTTGGTACAGGACGAGCATCTTCGATCTGTAATTCACAACGTGTCCTATATTCGTAAAGGTGCACGCTCAGAACAACCGGCAAAGTCATGGAGATAAAATGGGCATACTTCCATTTCTCAGAATCACAACCATCGCCGGAAGCTCTCGCTACAAACGCTTGGTTAAGGTCTGTTGCTAAATTCTCCAGTCCACGTGACAATTGTACAAGATGGATGATGGAGTCGATACATGGAGGGAGGTATCCCTTGATAGGAATTTGAGGTCACCGAAACGGTCTTTCCGTGAAAACGTTGTTCCGGGGTCGTTCCTTCAGCTTCGACTACGCACCAAAGCTTCAGGGAGCCGGGTGTGATTAGAATGATATGAAGACAATTGTCCAAAGAAAAGTGATGATATCTTCCTCTCAGAGAACAGCTTCGGATATTTATTGAGCGTGAGTTCTGTCAATTTCGATTTAAGTTCGTCCCAACGGAATTTGACCATCCGGAGTTCCAGCTCAGTGGCATCGACCTGAGGCAATCGAACTGCTCTCGTCTGCTTGATTCTTTGTTTGAGCACACGGAGATCGTCGGCGTTGGTAACATCTACAGGGAAGAAATCATCCGGGTTGTCACCGAGAAACGAGCAATTGAGTAAGGACACAGCTGAGGCTGAATGAGGTAGAGGAAACGACAGGCAGGGAGTTTGTGATCAATGATAGGTCTGGCGGCTTCTGGATCGGTAGATACACGGACTTTGATAAAATGGCCCAGGTTCCCTCCGAGTCAACAGTTATCTCACCTACAAAGGTGGTCGAAGTCACCAATGGCCATTCTCGAGTCCGCAAGGGATTTACAAGCCGATGAACGGGCTCCCGCTCCGTGGGTACCGCACCAGTCGTACACGTTATTGGATGAATCAGCCATCCAAACCTCCGCATTGCTATAGGGGCCACGAACAGAGCCCAAGCTTATAATTCCCCAGATTTCCCCACTGGTCCTCGCAAGTACGCCCCCAACTAACCCCACAAGATGTGCAAAGGAAAAGACCACGTGCACCCAACTCAGCCCGGACAACCCGCTGAACCTCACCATGATCACGACCACCACGACCACCACCATGGCTGCGAGGGTCACGGGCACAAGCATCAGCATCATTCCCCCAAAGGTCAACTCCAACAAGCAGCTGAGCCTCATCACGACCACGACCACCACGACCACAGCCATGCCTGTGGAGGAGGACATGGGCACGGCCATCACGGTCATCCAGGCCATGGTTCCCATGTAGATCAACCTGAGCAAGGGCAGCCACCTCACCATGACCATGACCACCACGATCACAGTCATGCCTGTGCAGGACACGGACACGGCCGCCCTGACCGCGACACGTACGCGGAGGCTAACAGGGAGCACTTCGATGCCCACCAAGAGGAGTTTGAGAATCACCCACATGCAGTCGAGCGGGGAGTCAGGTACGTTCTCCGGCCTGGGTCAAGTCTCCCAAAATGAGATCTTTTTCTCTCGTAAGGACGGCGTTGGCTCTTCGAGACGCTTATGCCTTTGATAAGGATAAGACAACTGTCCTTGACTTTGCGTGTGGCACTGGTTTGTCTTTGGTTTTTTCTGGCCGCAGTATTGGAATCTGAACATGAACCAGGCTTAATTTCCCAAGAACTCGCGCCCTACGCCCTCGCCATCAAAGGCGTCGACATCAGCCAGGGTCTCGTCGATCGGTATAACCAAAAGTTTGCCGAGAACAATAAACACTTGAGCGCCGTCCGTGTCGAGCTTAGAGACGACTCCAAAGAGCTCGAAGGCAACAAGTTCGATGTCATCTTCGTACGCATCTTCCTTTACCATCACGATCCAAATGCTCATGATCACGATCATGACGTTTTCAGTGCGCTTCATCATACCACCACATCTCCTCCGTCGAAGAAATAACCCGTGTTCTCGTCTCCTACCTCAATCCAGGCGGGGCGCTCTTTGTCGTCGACATGAAGAAGACGGGGGAATCAAGCATACCCAAGGAGTACCATCACATTGTGCCTCATAAACACGGGTTTAGTGAGGATGAGATTCGCAAGTTGTTTGAGGGTGCTGGGTTAGCGTCTTTCAGCTATAAAGAAGTCGCGTCAGGCGAAGGCGATTTAGATCTGTTCATCGCTAAAGGTATCAAACCAGCGTCAGCTTAGTTCACTCCTGATTGGAAATAAGTAGTAACATACCAGAATGTACTTGTATCTCTTGAATTATGTCGTTCATCAGCAGCATGATACAATCACTTCAACGACAAACACCCTCCAAATTTCTGCCGCGCAACAACATCCATCCTCTCCTTGATCTGCCTAAACGTAGCCCACCACGCCTCTCCAACCCAATCTGTTTGACTCCCATCAGGTTCATCCTCCTCATACAACTCTGACCCAGGCCAAAACCGCCGTAACAAAACCAACCACCACTTCATCACCGCAATACCCCTCTCCACGCCCACATCGCTCGCCGTGTACCCATCAATCGTCGCCAACAAGTACTTGGCTAGGTACTCCACGTCCTTCTCTCTGGGTGCCCAGTGCCTATACGTCGTCACCCACGTCTCCAGCACCCTCTGCACATCGTCCGTTTCAGAGAAAAACAACTTCTCCTTCTTGCCTTCTTGCCCTTGCGTATACTGCTTAAGAAACGGCGGCTGCACCCAACGCGACTTTGGATTGGGCGCCCGGTAGGGCATCCAGCCCTCCGGCCACTCTGGCTTTCGGGGCTTCAAGATCTTCCTCTCTGCAGGCGGTGAAGGCAAAGACCCTTTCTCTTTGAGAATTCTAGCCCTGATCAACTGCTCGTCCTGGATCCGTCGAGGAAGGAGGTTGAACACCTCTGGATCAAGGTTGAGATCTCGCAGCTTCGCATCAGGGATGTGCCTCTTCGGATTTCTACGCATCTTGCGCTCCTTTTCTTGTTCAAGAAGTCGCATGAGGTATGATTTGCCAGGGGAGACGGCAGGCGCGCTTCGTGGGGCGAGTTGTTTGCTTATGTGTTTGAAATTGGGTCGGCCGCCTCTTGGGTTTCTGGGAAATATGTTTGGTGCGCCTGGCCGTTTGTTGTGTGGGAGGAAGGGAGGGGGATGGTGAGATGTCGAGGCAGCAGCAGGTTTGGGAGCTGGCCCTGCTACGTTTGGGAATGGAGATGCAGAGCGTCGTTTGTATTCATTTTCCAGCTCCTTGCGAACATCTTGGGGAAGAGCATGAAAGACGCTCATGTCGACTTGAGAAAAGGATGGTAGGTCAAATGTGACAGTGGGTGTAGATGTCTCCACAGCAGTTTTCGTAATGTCATTATTGCCTTGAGATGGAGGTTGGACACGAATCTCAGGCTCTGTCGTTGATGGCCCAGCGGGCTCTGCAGGCCCTTTGCGCTTGAAGGGAAGCATAGCTTGTCCAGGAGGTGCGTGTGCGGTCGACGAGGCAGATTCAAGCTTCTGTACTTGAATCCCGAGCCCTCGCAGCTCTTTAGGATCGAAGTTGAACGATTTGAGCAAGCGCCAGGCATGCTCTCCGATAATTTGCTCATCACTCGTAGCTCGACCTCCAGGACCAATGAGAGGGATTTGCTTGTTGAACAAGTCGCATGATCCATGCCCAAGAAACTGTAATGCAGCAATGAAGAATGGTCTTTCTTCTATAACGCAGAAACTCACTTTGGGAGGTTCAACGGGAGCCGTGGGATCTCTTTTCATGACTTTCATGGTGATAGAACGGCCGACCATATCAATTGCATCCAGGCGTTTCTTGACCTCTGCAGCCATCTGATGAACGAACGCTTCTGCTTGCTCGTTGTTCTCAAACCGAATTCCATACTGCCTCCAGGTTCAGTCATGTCAATAATAAAAACACAGACCACTTACATTGATTTCACAGGAGACTGATTTCCTCGGTTTATCCGACTCCAGTTTCTTGTCGTCAATTCCCCTAACAGCATCGTAGAGTGTCTCTCCAGTAGCTTTACCCAAAGCATCGATTAGAACTCCCTTGCTTTTCTTCGCCAATTCTCCTAGAGTCGTCACCCCTAACTTTTCCTGAGCCTTCTGCTTTGTGGAACGACCAAAACCATGAAGGTCAGCTATATCCAGCGGTGCCAAAAAATCAGGAACATCCAATGGAACGAGATGAAAGGATCCTCCAGGTTTCGCACGGCGCGTTGCTAGTCTTGCAAGAAGGATATTGTGTGATATCCCGATACTGACTTGAGATCACCCGTCACGTTCGATACTTTGCGGCAATTGAGGGGAGCTTACTTTCACAGCTGGTAGCCTTTCTTATTTGAGCTCGTATGGTCTCCGCGAAATCCTTAGCTGGATCATGAGGCGATCCTTCGAGCCCAACATGGCTCCTAAGCTGAGTGACAGTGCTCGTAACGTCAATCAGAGCTTCGTCGACCGAGACAGCTTGTAGGTCGTCTGCATGCGACATAAGTACCGTGTAGAACAGCAAGGAAAATTGCTTGTATCTAGACGACATTAGCTTCGTAAATGGGTCGAGAGGATTATATCTCACCGCTCAAATTCGTAAGGAATCGTGATGATCCCAGGGCACAACTTGCGGGCTTGTTGGAGACTAGATATCGTCAATAAATGAACACCATTCTTTCAATACTTCAGATACCGCACCTCATCCCATTTTTTATGCCAAACTTCCTAGCCTCGTAACTGGAGCTCGCAATCTCGCTCGTGCTCGAAGCGCCACCCTGTGTACCCTGGGAATGACACACAACCACAGGCTTTCCCTTGTGCTCAGGTCTACTCACAAGACCAGCCGAAACAAAGAAACAATCGAAATCGCAATGCATGATCACGCGTTCTTGATCGCCAACAGCCTTTCCCTTCCCTTTCCTCTTGGCAGCCGGAGACCGCATCACAAGTTCAGCACCTCGCATGCTGACATTAGTTTCCTCTGAATCGATCTTTCCAACGTGACCTGTCCCCCCAGCGCCAGCTTCTGCCCGCTCCATGGCTTCCTGCACAAGCCCCTTGAGCTCGGCTTTCCATGTTGAGAGGTGGTGAAGCCGTGAGTTTTTGTAATACCCTTCGATAAAATCCGGGGCGACGGATGTATGTGCTTTTCGCCAGTCGGCATTGGCCATGACGCGGGTAGCTAATGGATTGGAGGTGGATGAGGCATATCTGGGTAATTCGACAGCCTCGGGATCCTTGGAGGGTGATTTATTAGCGACAGGTTGGGGTTTTGTTGGCGTCTTGGGCTGAGGGGTCTGAGGGACCTTGAAGGTGGTAGTAGTAGATGACTTGAATGGCACTTTCATGCCGTTCAACAGGGTAGTTTGATTGTTCTTAGCGCCTTGAGAGGCTTCAGGCCGTTCGGACTGCACGTAGAGATAGTTACTCCAAGGGAGCAAGACGCCTGCCTCTGCACTTTCGACTAGCCATTCTGGACGAACAACCTTCATGTGCTTGAACTCGCGCAGCTTTGCTGGTGTAAGCGAGCATGTTATTATGTGGGTTCTACGCAGCATTATGAGTGGAGCTGTGGGCGATTGGTGGGTAACTTACACAAGAGCTTTCTTATCGAGATATGGCTGGAAAACGCCACCATGTTTAACAATTAATTGCCTGAGATCTTGTACAGATGGGGTGGTATAACCATTAATCTAAGCAGCGGTCAGAAACACGGATACCAGAGCAAACATGCAACACGCACATAGATAGAGAGACCCTTAAATATTTCGCTTTGCCCATCGGGCTCCTTCAACCCCTCGTTCTGGATCTGAAGTTTGGCGCGCTTCCGCCGCATATACTCTCCAAATTCACCGAAATGTGCAGCTCCATATACATCATCTCTATCATCTTCCGTTTCGAAAAGGCGTCGTTTGAGAGAAGGCTGGGTACTCGGCGGCGGTTCTAAGTCTTCCGATTCGTCCGAGTCTTCATCTTTGTTCGGAGCCTCGCTTGCATTATCTTCTGGCTTGCTCACTATGTCGCCAGGGAGAACTGCAGCTTGTAGTGCTTCCAAAAACTGAGAGGATTCTTCTTCAAAGTAATCTGACGAGTTCTGAGAGGCCCCCGCCGTTGGATCAGTCATCCTGCATCAGCTCTTACAGCTCCAACATGAGGATAATCGTGATTTATTGGCTATAGATCTGCCTTGTACAGAGAGTCATAGGATGAAAGAGAGTGGATGAACGGAAGATGAGTCAGGTCAGAGTACTCAGAGTCCGTCACACACGTGATAACTCGTGTAGTGATTCAAGCTGGTCCGTGCACTCCTGCTCTGAAGCTATATAAAGCCGCCTCTCGCATTGTGATTCCCCATCTCTTGTGCTCGGGCATGTACTGTCGCCAGTGAAGTTCTTACTGAGGCACAGTCTTTCTGCTGGTTGCAAATTAAACATCCTACTCGTCTGTTTGCTTCGGCTCTCAGCAATTTTTGGAAAGCCATTCTGCTTCCTCTACATGACGACGTTGCGGCAACGTTCGACGGGGAATTAGACAACTACGTATATCCTCCATAAATATAGCATTACACAGAAATTTTGCTTTGCCTATTCGAAAGATAATCTCAGTTGAAGTAATAATCCGGGAGTTGTCCTTTCGCTTGAACGACCAGAAGTATATCACCAGGAAAGCACTCTGCAAAATTTGTATTCGCCTCGAACAAGGCTTTTCCATTTGTTTTCCATTGTCGTTAAGTCAAAACCCAGAGGCCATAGGCTGTAAATGTAATAGAAGGCTACGATGGATCCTGCCCAGAGTAGACGAGAAGCACACTTTTTACAACAAAAACCTGTAGAAGCCCCTAAGTATGTGCGTAACTTTAAGTAGTTTCTCATATCCCGTGACGCGAAGCTACTGAGCAGTCGATGACCATGCCTGCATCCCAACGACGACTACGCGTTGCTTTCATCCATCCGGACCTTGGCATTGGTGCTTTATATCTGTCCTCTTCGATAATATAGCCTGACAGTTTATGAGGCAGGCGGCGCTGAGCGCCTTGTCGTCGACGCTGCCATAGGTTTGCAGGACTTAGGCCACTCTGTGGACATATACACGTCACACCACGATCCAGGACATTGTTTCGAAGAAACTAGAGACGGTTCGTCTTGGAGTTGTTCTTATCGCTTGTTTGACGAAAATTACGCCAGGCAGACTACGTGTGCACTATGTTGTTCCACCCTTCCCGCGTTCTCTGGGAGGGAAGTTTCACATTCTCTTTGCACACACACGACAACTGCACTTGACCGCGCATCTCCTCCGGCCAGGCGCACCGACATATGATGTGTATTTCGTTGACCAGCTGTCTACATGCGTTCCTTTCCTGCGAGCCTTTGGACACACTCGTGTCGTATTCTACTGCCATTTCCCCGACAAACTCCTCGCAAATGGAGCTTTTGTGGAGGGAAATCTGGTGAAGAAAAGGGTTGGTCTTCTGAAGAGGCTATATAGGCTACCAATGGATTGGTTGGAAGAAACTACAACAAGTATGTAACACAACATTTTTTTCTTGAAGATCCCCGTCTCAAGCTTTTTTAGGTCAAGCGGACATCATCCTCGCGAACTCAAAGTTTACAGCAAGGATATTCAAGACCTACTTCCCAAGCATTACCGAAAATCCAGGTGTGGTTTACCCTGGGATCAATATATCGAACTACGACGCCCCATTCAACAACCTGGACGAAGACATTGTTTCAATAACATCGTCAGTTTCTCATTCCAAAAGTATAGGCAAACTGTGCTGATATTGTCGAAGCCATCGACAAACTCTCCTTTCACTCAATCGTTTTGAGGGCAAAAAGAACATCGTTCTTGCCCTAGAAGCTTTTGCCATCCTCAAAACCAAACGTCCAGAAATAACAGACCTGAGACTCGTCATCGCAGGTACACTCTATTTCCTATCCACTTCCGGCTTAAGCTCAACGAATCAAAGGTGGCTATGATCCCCGCCTCGAAGATAACGACAGAGTCCTCATGCAACTCCAATCCATGGCCAACACCCACGCACTCACATGGAACGTCCTCTCCCCCTCCAAACTCCCATTCAAAACCTCCAGGTCCAACCCCAACCCCGACGTCCTCTTCCTCCTCAACTTCACCACAGCCCAACGGACAGCTCTCCTCCGCAGCCCATCCACCATCGCCCTCCTCTACACACCTGCGAATGAGCACTTTGGCATCGTCCCCGTCGAAGCTATGGCGTGCGGTCTCCCAGTGCTCGCATGTGACTCTGGGGGGCCTATCGAAAGCATAGTGAACTCTCCAGAGGATGAGTTCACGGGGTGGCTGAAAACACCTGACGCGGATGTATGGGCTGACGCCCTCACGGAGATTTTGGATTTATCCCCAGAGGACCGCGAGGCTTTGGGAAGACGGGCAAGGAGGAGGGCTGAGGAAATGTTTAGTATGGATGCGATGGCGCGGGGTTTGGAAGAGGCACTTGAAGAGGCGGTGGGTATGGGCCCTGTGGATGTGTGGGGCGCGTGGAGAACATTGGCGATTATGTTGACCGGATTTTTCATTGCTCGTTGGCTGGGCCCACTCTTCCTCCCGGCAAAATGATCTTTCACTCCTTAAACTGTGTTTGTAGAATGCGTCTTGATCAAGTTGCAACTTATTATTTAGATTCTAGAAAACGAGTATGGTACATGACGTAATGTGGGATGGAACTGCAAAATTAACAATCACTGGGGGGAACAAGTTTTACGTGCTAAATACAAGCAACCTTGAGATGATGGTGTGGCATTAGGTCACATCTGGGTGTTAGGGAAAAGAACACTCACCCTTTTCATCAATAATAATTTCGAACGTTTCAAGAATGCGTCTGCAAAGCTCTTCATCAGAGGGAAATTTCGAGTCACCCTATGAGGGTCACCAATGAGCACATGAAAATTCAAGCACCGAGCGCAACTATACCTGTCGTAACACAGCACACCAGTCATTGTCGTGAACTATTGCTGTCTTGGCTTCTGGATGCTAAAAAAGTACTCGTAATGAGTATAGCAGAGACGGCATGCAAGGCTGCATAGTCTGACCTTCTTCAGGAGCATGTTCAGAATAACGTTTGATGGAGTTCGAACAACCGTCTTGAAAATCAATGTCAGCAACGGCGGTTTAACAAAATGGAGGCAAATACTTCATGTTGTGATGGAACCAATCTCGTTGACCCAGAACCTTGACCATTACCAACCGTAGCGGTATCAAACATACCCAACATTGACCGAAAGAGGCCTCCAATGTCCGGAAATAAGCTCGGGGAACGGACACGTCCCCACTCAACGTCACTGAGATAAACGCCGCTTGACCGAAGGAAAACGCATTGATTCCGGAAAGGTGACGCTTGCTGCGGGATGAACTTGACTCCACACTGCATTTGGTCTATGTCCTGCCCTACCCATGAGAGCGGGACACTAAGGCCATCCCGGTGGTTTGAAGACGGATTTCCCTCTTTAAAGTGGGTCAAGATAGCCCACGATGTGGTCTTATCACACTGGGTTACAATTTGTAGCTGCCCATTTTCGACGTTTAGACCACGTGGTCCATTCGCGTAGCGATACCAGCTCTCCCCGTGCTGTGCAGCGTAGCTTCGAAGTGTCCCTATACTCTGGAATCGTTCGCCATGGCAGCCTTCGGGCAGAATCAAGACAGCGTCTTCAGAGTCATTGAAGAACGTGAACTCCAAGTTTCTAATGCCAGACCGAAGAGAGGATTTTAGTCTCATATAGGGACTGGTAACGAAACCTGATTCGTGACAGTCGAATGCAATGCGGCTGCCTGGAAACGGCTTCAAAGGCGCAAATCCCTCGGGCAGTTCACTGGGATTACAGGGGTTGTCGGCATCCAGAAAGACATTAAAAAGGTAGCGGAATGTGCCAGACGGGCAGAGGATTCCAACGTCTCCAACGCTGACACCGGTTTGGCGGTATGCGGGGGGCGCAAAAACATCAGGTTCTGGATTCCAAAGAGGATGTCCGTGACCTTTCTTCAGCATTTCGCGTTGGTAAGTGGATTGGCCTGGAACTCTATCGGACATTGTGGCTGACTGCGCGTTATTAAATTAGTCATAGTCCAGCACACAAAAAGATTCATTAAACTTACAAAAACGTGCATAGGGTCCTCTGAGAACTGTGGTAAACACGATGAAAGGACCCAACTCTGAAACGCACCTGTATGTGGGCTGTCGCAATGCTCCGACGAAGATGACCCTGCTAAAGATGACAAGAACGCCTAAAATGGACAGATTGAGGTGTTGGAGAGAGCAAGCCATCGATTTGAACACCTTACAGTGCTAGTAGTACAAGTTGGTGGTAGCGCTAGTAACAAGTCGACGAGTGAATATTAGCGTCAGGAGTGCAAAAGCACATACAAAGTTCAAACGTGAATCCGTCTCGATCGTGTGGTACATCATCATCGAGTGCCTCGGCGGATGAGGCTGTCGATGACAGACTCTGAGTGGCATATGGACTAAGTCACAAAGGACACTGTAAGTCGGTGACTCCGCAAGGAGAAGGACAGCCGAACCTCCTAGAAGTTCTGATGTTAAATGTGGTGGTGCATTGCATGCCAGGCCTTGGAAGGGTAGAATCTTCGAGTATTGTGGGTCGACTGCAAGAAGGCAGTCTCATTATATAGTCCGACATGAAGCAACGTCAGCTTGCATTCTGTGGGTCCGGAAACTCCCTCGATCACAAAAGGACAACAAGGACGTAAGGCTTATCGGCGTTGGGGCCAGTGAAGTTGTAGTGCTGAGTGGAGACGCCCTTGTCTGGAGTTGGTCGGGACCACAATAATCGATGTCATCTTGGCTGGCCAGAGTAACATCAAGTTCGCACGGCTCAGTCCAGACTCAGTACTCAGTACTCAGTTCTCATCAAGTCCTCATTCAAAAAACAAAAGGATGGCTTCTCTGAGAACGAAAGAGGCTCAAGTCTTCGGATGTCAGTGATTTTTTGGTAAGCAGTTGGTGTTGTGCGGCGTTGCCCTCACTGTCCGCCTCCACAAAAAGAAAACAACTTCCATTGACACGCCAAAGAGTTTAGTGCTAAGTAGTTCCAAAGAGAGGAACATGTCGACGTTTTTCAGGTGTTAAAATATCTCGTCAGCGACTTGACCAACGACCGCTGCCGCTTTCCCTCCGATAACCTTGCTAGCTGCTTTAGTTGCAGCGTCTACAATATCAAATCGTTAAGTTAATCGTCAAGACACCACGGGCTGGACAAAGGACGCACCGTAGGGATGCCTGATGTCATCGAGAATCTCTGAGCCTTTCTGGAGCTGGGGTGAAAGATGGGCATGAATCGCATTCGAGGCCTTGTCAAAGCCCTTGGACCTTTGAGGTTGGCAGCCCGACTACAGGGACGTATTTGACCACTCTGGCCGCAACTGACTGGGCGGCGGATATGATCTTCAAACCACTTGATAAATCTTCCAGCAGTCTCAAATCCCTGTTTCACTTGCTGGGCAGCTGCTTTGATAGCGCCGCCTACTCTCTGGAAGCCTTTCTTGACTGCGCTGCTCGCTTTTTGGAAGCCTTTCTTGATCGCACTGCTAGCTTTCTGGAATCTAGATTTGATCGTATTGCCTACTTTCTGAAGAGTACGAATATTGCTGTTTTCCTGGGAACAGAGACTATTATGAACAACCTGCTCTAATTAGCAAAGAGCTGCCTCGAAAGAACAAGAACCTACCCGAGCCATCTCAATCATCGTGCCCTTCGCCGACCCATACAATCCTGCCGTATGGTGTGGAATGCCGGTCGTTACCTTGCTTCTTCTTCACCAAAAACCCGACCTCAACTATACCCGTTCCAACATTCTTGGCGAAAGCGCTCTCAAGCTCATTAGAAGGAGTACTCAGAATGAGCGAAGGAGAGGTCGTAGAATGGCTGTCCAAGGACCAAACTGCCTCAATAGGCGTAGATGACAACGGTTCTTGTCCAGTCACAGAAGTGAGCTGCTTGCTGATTACAGGAAAAAACTTTGCATCAGTGACTATGCGAATGTGTGCGATTCCCTGTGTAGTTGATGGGTGTTGGACGTTCGCTGGCGGTTTAGTTGGCACCTTGACCTTATTTCAGCAACGCTGAGGTCATAAGGAATAAGAGACGTACCCTCAGATCTCGAGGTGTAATATCCCCACAAAAGAACGGCAATGTTCCTTTATTTTCCCGAGGAGCCGATATGAGCCACCTGACGACCTTTCCATCAATCCGTTTCCTTCCCCCATCTTCCTCCGCCTCATAGAACGCCCCGCTTCTATCTTTCTTGGCACGGTCGTTGATAATGTCCGAGATTCGAATTGTGTGTGATCCGTTCCCCAAAAACGCGTAGTCAATCCAGCCTAATGGTTTGTTCGCCCAAGGATGGGTGTCGCGTTTGACACGCGCCGGTGATCCAGGAGGGTAGTGAGAAGGCTCATGTGTGAAGGAAAGGAGCTCAAGGTAGAGTCCATCCGCGAAAACCTAGATGACCCGTCAAGGTCGAGTCAGCTTTTCTATGCTCATGAGATAGAGTACCAGATTACGAACCACGAGCGCATTGGCAGCCAAGCCGCCAACGTGTTCTCCGCCAGGTATAACCCTGCGATGAGAAATCTAGTCAACCCGGTCCATAGATGCGCTCTTCTGACCCTCACTTGAACCCAAGATCACCAAATTGTCGCGATGTCTCTTCAATCGAGCCTGGTGGTGACAGATGCACGATATGATCTAGGGTTTTCGTGTTTGTCGATGGGGTCGCCATGAATGTGAGAAGAAGAGTAGGGAGTCGTCATTGTGAGCAATGTTATGTATTTAATGATCATGAAGCACCATTGCACCCTTTCTTTCCCGCGCTCAAGAGAGGAGAAATATTGAGTCTGAGCTGAGCAAAATTCGTCGCGACTCAAAGGTTTACAAGGCCACGCCGCTGCACCAGGCTCCACCAGCAGCCTCACGCATTGCCAAAGATATGTGTTTAACCAACATTGAATTCCTCTGTCAAATTACCCACTTGCGCGACAATGACTTCTTTTCGATGTTCACAATTTCCACAAGAGATCGAGTAATTTGATTGAAGAGGCAAGCACGATGTGTTTCGCATCGTAAGATTTGACTTCGCCTTGAAATATAGGAGCCGGCGAAATGCTCAAGTTTATAATAGCGATGCGCTTGTCAAATGGTTGGGTATTCAGTATTGTGGTCCCGCTGGCGTTACTCCATGGTGCTCCAAGTGGTGCAAAACCCTCATCGCTTGCTGACTTGCTGTGAGTCTTACAGTTAGGATCGCAAGAGAACCAGCAAGGGAAAAATTGGGCGTTGCACCCGTGGTGAACGATTCCGAAGACGTTACAAACAGGCACGTCAAAAATCGTCAACGGAACAGTAACCAACATTGTTCAAAGGGAATTGAAATCTATCCCATATCGCCGAAAGCGAGGGCGACAGTCCATACCAATAGAAAATTTGGCATCAACGACACAGGAGAGGTGACCAAATTCGCCCAAGACCACAGGCCCTTGTGACGGACGAATCAATCGTAATAGTTCAGTCGTTTTTCTACTTCCATCCACATCTCACGATCAGAATCCTCTTCGTCGTCGTCTTCTACATCATAATAGGCAGTAGAAAAGTCCTTAAGGGCCGGAAATAGCATGGTAAGGTATGACACAACATCATCAGTTTTCCGGATAAGGGAATGGCAGAGATTGAGGGTGGTAAGGTGGAGACCTGTAAGATGTTCTCCGTCAGGCTGAATGGCGAGTATCGGGATTTGGCGCGCATCAACGGAAAGGGTCAACTTTTCCAGCTTTGGACAAAGCTGAATAAGATGCTGCATTCCAGTAAATGTGCATTTCGGCCTTTTGCCTGGATCATCGGTTTCCCAGAATACCAGTGAACGCAATTGAAGCAGTGACTTGGCAAGTTTGATAAGATCGTTGTCGTCCAACTCAACGGAAGATGAGCTTATATGCAAATCGCGCAACTGCTTAAAGGAGCTTAGGTATTCAAATGTATGAGCATCCATATTGAAAAGCACTTTAGATGCAGGACGCCAGAAGCCCAAGCTAGTGCAAATCATTGGGCAATCGCCTATATGTAGGCTTTCTAACCTCGACGCCAAGTTGCACTCATGAAGTGTTATAAGAAGACTTCTTATGCTCCAGCGGGCGTCGCTTGCGGTTCTGGTAAGTGTCAAAGACCACAACGTTCCTGACTGAAGCTGTCGTAGCATCAATTGACAGGCATTCATGGATTTCGAATTGATGGTCAGGTGAGTAATGGCCGGAAAATTGTTCCCAACGTAAGGAACGCAGTTCTCCATCTCCTGTTCTGTGACCCAGAGCCGGAGATCTTCGAGCATGGGGAATGTACTGATAATGGATATGGCATGGGATGTGAGAAACACCCGGTCACTGAAGCTCAATTTCCTGACACCACGAAGAGTGGACAAGAACTCCACGGGTGTTGCATTTGCCCACAAAAAGGCGTTACGCGAGACCTCGACTTCTACTCCTGTAACATTCGGGCCGATTACGAGGCGAGGATAAATGGCAAGACCATCGAAGCTGCCGTCGACAAGATCGACCTCCGACACATTAGACAGGAGAGGGCCTGGAGACGGTTTGCGTGACCAGATGATGGGCAGGACTTGTGCTTCAAAATATTGAGAAAGCGGACTCGAGGCAAGCCGACCAAGAGTTCTGATTCTGTGGCAGTAAAAGTAAATTCTTTCGAAATCAGACGCAATCAGATTCCTGATGATACTCTGTAATGACAATTGTTGAAAAACATGCTTTTTTGTCTTGAGAAATATGGCTCACAAATCTGCCCTCTTTTATAGCCCAGGCATTGGGTGGAAGACATTTCAGTAATGGAAGGAGTGTTTTTTGTGTATGCCAAAGGATGTCCAAGGCTGGGTCCTGAAAAGCTTTGCAAGTCCTCGCGAGTCGTGCTTGCATCCTTGAGTCGTGAGCATAGTTGTGAAAGATGATGGAGAGGAGCTCCTGGATCTGCAAGCAATGGTGCATGCTGTAATCACGCGGTCGTAGCAACCACAGTGCTTAAAACTGGGGACTTGACAGCTAACTGCATAATCGTAGACCACATCTGAAATTTCACTTTGCGCCTTTGTCTGTGCGTAAACTTGGCATAAACATCTGTTTTAGGCCGTGGCTATGTAAACCATGACGCCCATTTGCGCGCGCTGCCCATTGCTCCACGTTCTAGCACCGTTTCGGTAGTTGCTCCAAATGCTCCAATCCCGGCCCGCACGTCATAAGGGTGGAGTGATTGGAACTTGCCAACTTGGAAGGGCGTTCTACCTAATATGGTTGTTTGTACAAATAAAGGCGCACAAAGTAAATTTTAGATATGGTCTACGATTATGCAGTTAGCTGGAAAGGATTCAGAATGGGTGGCTAGGCTGTGTGGTCGAAGGATTTTAGAGGGATTTTGACTTGAAGCTCCGACACAACCAGATGGTCCAGATCGAAACGGTAATGTGTAGATCAACATTCACTCGATTCCGAATCACCACAAGCATGCGTCCCCCGTTTCTATCGACTTCGCAAGTCAGAGACGGATGAACTTTGCCGTTCTTGAACACTGGAGGTCGAACAGCTGTAATTCGCGCTTTGCAGATCGAAGTTCTCGTTATTGAAAAACAATGCACCACTGGGGTTATCATACTACCCTGTCATATAAATTTTAGGTTCATCATCGTCCTCGACTTTCGAATTGATCCATATGACGCGCGATTTGCTCGCTTATCCGAGCACAAATGTCTTCACAGCTGTCTGCCATATTTGAAACAAAAACAAGCCAATGGAAAGGTCCTCGGAATGATGCACAAAGGGGTCGTCCTGTGTCGACGAGCTCTCATTGCTCAAGGCGTTGGTTCTTTCAACATACTTTTATCAACCATTCGGCATGTTTTTCTCAACAAGTTCTCTTCGCGACGTTCACAATTTACACAGGAATCAGGACATTGGCTGAAGAGGCAAGCGGCAAGTGTTTCACGTTACTAGGACGAATTTCGGATAGCGTTGGAAAGAAAAGGCTCCGAAGGGAGCGCACAACAAAACATGAAACGGCAGTGATGATGTGCCGGCTTTGGCCCAGAGCCAGAAACCAGGCAAGAAAAGTTGTGGCAGGGTGAAAGAGCGGACATGACGCACTGATGCCTGGACCGTTCGATGAACAATCTCGTACACAGGACTCTTCAATCAGACAGTTGCTGTAAAGATAGCCCCTCCAAGTACATATACGGCAGTCATAGGTTGTCTGACGCATATGATGAGAGCGACTATGGGAGTCAGTAGGGGATCTGAAGTGGCCGACGAAAGTTCGCAGTCTAGAACATTTTACAATTTCAGCGAGAGAAGTCACTGCCCAAAGGCCGGCCAGAGATTTTGAAAGAAAGAACATGCTGAAGAGGTCGAGTCGCTTGTCGCGTCTCTCGCAACATATACAAGAGATGAGAGCGCCCAACAGGAGGATGAGACCGTGCTGCTAGCGAAATGCGCCACGATGCTTGACGATTGTTGGCCTAGCTCCTAGAAGAGCTATCGGAGTGTTCGTCTCTGTTGAAATTGAGTGGTTTCAAATCACAAGTTCTTTGCGTAGTCAGAACGTCATTGAACATGGAGACCGTTGAGCTGGCTTGTTCAAAATCAGATCTTCTTTAAAAACATATTGACGATGTGATGAGCCCTCAAACAATTAACATGTCAAGTTCCATTTTTCGCTGAAAAAGTGAAGTTGCAAAGGACCAACGTAAGAACATTGACAGGTGTTAAAATATCTGGTCCGCGATTTGAGCGAGGGCCGCTGCCTGTTTCCCTCCGATAGCCTTGCCAGCAAATTTGGCTGCAGTGCCTACGATGTCAAATCGTTCTAGTTAATCGCCAAGACGCCGTGGACTGGAGAAAGGACTCACCGAAGGGATCCTGGATGTCATCAAGAATCTCTGAGGTTTTCTGAAGCCCGGATGGAAGTTTGGCATGAATCGCATTCGAGGCCATGTTAAGGGCCTTCGACCCAAGTTTGATGAGTTTCGAGACAGGTTTCCCGATGACGGGTATGACGTTGGCGACTCTCCCCGCAACCGAACTTATGGTGGACGCAAACTTTAGACCAACCTTCGCAATGGTCGGCCCATTCTTCTTAATGAATTTTCCAGCGGCCTGAAGTCCCTGCTTCACGTTCTGGGCACCTGCCTTGATAGCGCCGCCTACTTTCTTTATTGCACTACCCGCTTTTTGAATGCCTTTCTTTATCGCGCTGCCAGCTTTCTGGACTCCGGATTTGATCGTGTTGCCTACTTTCTGAATAGTGTTCAAACTCGGTAAGTTAATACTGCCAAAGACTGAATTTCCAAGTACTCACTTGGAACCCGTTCTTCACTTTCTGAGCACCCGCTTTTATAGCATTGCCAACTCTCTGAACACCCTTCTTGATTGTATTGCCCACTTTCTGTAGTAAATGTAACATTAGCAGGCTCACAAAAGTCGTATGTTGTGACTGCATACCTGGATCCCGTTCTTTACTTTCTGAACACCTCCTTTGACAGTGTTGACGACTCTCTGTACGCCTTTCTTGACTGCGTTGCCCGCCCTCTGGACCCCAGACTTGATCGTATTGCCTACTTTCTGGCGGGGAATTCAGTACGTTATCCTTGTCAAAGGTTTTTTTTTGCCAATTACCTGGAACCCGCTCTTCACTTTCTGAGCGCCTGCTTTGATAGTGTTGCCTACTTTCTTGACGCCATTGCCAACTTTCTGGGCAACAGACTTGACAGCGTTTCCGGCTTTCTTGGCAACTGATTTGACAGCGTTCCCCGCTTTCTGGGCAACAGATTTAACCGCATTTCCCGCTTTTTTGGCAACAGATTTGACCGCGTTCCCGGCTTTCTGGATGCCGGATTTAATCGCACCGCCCACTTTCTGAGGAATAAAATTATAGTGAGCCGTCACGAGAAATTTTGAAAAAACAACGGAGTGGTTACCTGGAAGCCTTTCTTAATCTTATCGAAGATACTGCGGGGAACGAGATGGTTCACATCCGTCAAATCAGGCTATGTTCACCACATTCTCAGATCGCCGCAATGGTAGAAAGATGCTTCATACCGCTCTAGCATATTTCGTAGTCGATCGAATATACAGATCGTCATAGCTTGACCCGTATCGCGCCACAAGAGCATGGTCATATCTCGAAGGCCTGTATGAGCGCTAATGAGCAGATAGTCGGAATTTGAACACCAGAATGAACCCGACATTATGATATCATCTTCAGACGGAACATTTGGTAAGGGTACAGATGCGACAAGGCCGATGCACAGTAGAAAGAAGATGAAAGAAACGAGACCTGCTCGAGACATGAGGAGCGTAAATTGGACGACCAGCGTCAGGGCAAGAAGAGAAGACCAGCTTGGGGATCATACAGCCTATCGCAGTCCCTTAAGTTCATTGAGGGATTGCTCTGGACTTCCCGTTCATAGTCGAAAGTAGCACAAGCGCTTGTTCCTTATCATGATGCTGTGCATACCTGACATCGTCATGAATAGGCAAGGGCGATCATTATCAAGGACGCTCTCACCTGATAGAAAGAGTCTCGATGCTTTCACACCGTGTATCAGTCGGAGAAACGTGGTTCAGAGGTTCATAATGCTAGTCAGACAGACGCTAAAACTGGTTTTTGTATTGTAGCACATTAGCGATTAGATTAGAGAACAAATTTCGGAGAGCGTTGGAAAGAAAAGGCTCCGAAGGGAGTGCACAACAAAACATGAAACAGCAGGGTGAAAGAGTGGACGAACTTGGGACGAACCAAGGACGAACGCACTGCCTCTCAGCCTCATTGTGGTCGTGTTTGGCAAAACAGTCCATCGCCAAGACATTTTCTCAGAACATACATTGTCGCAATCAAGTCGCAATGAGAGGATGAGATTGGGATGAGATCTTGGTGGTAGCAAGATGCCTTACGATGCTCGCTGATTGTTGACCTAGAAGAGCTATCCGAGCCTTAGTCTCCTTTCGAAATGAGTAATTTACATCATAGGTTGTCACCTTCATAGTCACATGAAGGCCGTTGAGCTGATACATAACTTCTCAAAAAGCAGGTCTTCTTAAAAGCCACCTTAACCGTATGATGAGCTCTCAGACAGTTAGTGTGTCAAGTTCGATTTTTCGCCGAAAAAGTGGAGTTGCAAAGGACCAACGTAACAACATTGTCAAGTGTTAAAAGATTTGGTCGACGGCCTGAGCAACGGCTGCCACCTGTTTCCCTCCAACAGCCTTGCCTGCAGCTTTCGCTGCAGCACCTAGATAAAAGCAGGCATTCAATCTCAGATAAGGCAGAGACCGGCGCGGATACTCACCGAAGGGATCCCTAATGTCATCGAGAATCTCTGAGCCTTTCTTGAGCTGGGATGGAAGGTCGGCGTGAATCGCATTCGAGGCCATGTTAAGGCCCTTGGACTCCAACTTCAGAAGCTCCGACGCTGGCTTCCCAATTACAGGGATGTATTTGACCACTCTAGCCGCAACTGACTGGGCAGCGGATATAACCTTCAAACCAAACTTCGCAACCATTGGCGCAAACTTCTTGATAGCTCTTCCGGCAGTCTCGAGTCCCTGCTTCACTTTCTGAGCACCTGCTTTGATAACGCTGCCTACTTTCTGGAAGCCTTTCTTGATGGCGCTGCCTGCTTTTTGGAAGCCTTTCTTGATTGCGCTCCCCGCTTTTTGGAAGCCTTTCTTGATCGCGCTGCCAGCTTTCTGGAATCCGGATTTGATCGTATTGCCTACTTTCTGAAGGGTGTTCGACCTCGGTAAGTTGATGCTCCCCAAGACTGAATTTACAAGTACTCACCTGGAACCCATTCTTCACTTTTTGGAACCCCTTCTTGATCGTGCTGCCGACTCTCTGAACACCCTTTTTGATTGCATTGCCCACTTTCTGTTAAATGTAACATTAGCAAGCTTCTACAAGTCGCATTTTGTGACTGCATACCTGGAACCCGTTCTTTACTTTCTGGGCACCCGACTTGATAGCGTTACCAACTTTCTGGAAACCCTTCTTGATGGCGCTGCCTGCCTTTTGGACCCCAGACTTGATTGCATTGCCTACTTTCTGGTAAGAAGTTCAGGACATCGTCATCTGCACAAGTTCTTTTTTCCATTTACCTGGAACCCGCTCTTCACTTTCTGAGCGCCTGCTTTGATAGCGTTGCCTACTTTCTTGAAGCCATTGCCGACTTTCTGGGCAACAGATTTGACAGCGTTCCCCACTTTCTTGAAGCCATTGCCGACTTTCTGGGCAACAGATTTGACAGCGTTCCCCGCTTTCTGAGCAACAGACTTGACAGCGTTCCCTGCTTTTTGAGCAACAGATTTGATCGCATTCCCAGCTTTCTGAAAGCCAGATTTGATCGCATTCCCGGCTTTCTGAAAGCCAGATTTAATCGCGCTGCCCATTTTCTGAGGATTGTAATTACAGTGAGGGAAACTCTGAAGAAACAACGAAAAGCTTACCTGGAAACCTTGCTTAATTTTATCGAAGATATTGCGGGGTACGAGATGGTTCACATCCGTCAAGTCAGGCTACGTTCACAATGTTAGATCGCTGCAATGGAAAAAAAAATACTTCATACCGCTCTAGCGTATTTCGTAGTCGATCGAATATACAGATCGTCATAGCTTGATTCGTATCGTGCAACCAGAGCATGGTCATATCTCGCATGAATCGAAGGTCTGTATGAGCGCTCATCAGCAGATAGTGGGAATCTGAACACCAAGATGAACCTCACATTATGATATCATGTTCAGACAGAACATCTGGTAAGGGTACAGATGCTACAAGGCCGATGCAAAGGAGAAAGAAGATTAAAGAAACGAGACCAGCTCGAGACATGAGGAGGGTGGATGGGACGGCCAGCGTCTGGGAGAGAAGTGAAGACCAGCTTGGGGATCATGCAGCCTATCTGAGTCCTTTAAGTATATGAAGTCCATTGATGGATTGCTCAGGACGCGCCCCTAGCTGCCCCTAGTCGAAAATAGATCAAACGCTGGTTCCTTACAATGCTATGCATCACAGACGTCGTGACGGCGCCGCACTTGAGCCGCTTGTCACCTCCGTACATCTGCAATGCTCATTTCACTATGCGACGATCACTATCAAGACAAAAGAGACGATCTCACCTTACAGGGAGATTCTCAAATGCTCTCGTACTGTCAGCCGTGGACCAGCAAGACTTCGTGGTTGATATTTCTTGTCAATCACGCAGATGCAAAAACTTTTCGTAGTGTATCGCATTACCGGTTAGATGGACGAACAACAAAACATGAAACGGCAGGGTGAAAGAGCGAGCAGCCATAACGCACTCAGCACTGCCCCTTTGCGACAGCTTTGATGTGGCCGTGTTAGGCAACACAGTCGGCTCGATGAACGATTTCGTACATACTTGAGACTCTGCAGTCCGACAACGGTTGAAAAGATAGCCACCTCCAAGCTCACAATGTCATTCACAGGATGGCGAGTATCGAATGGCTAACAACCAAGTGTCTGACGCATACGATTAGAGTGACATGGGACGATAGTAACGGATCCGAGGAGGCCGACGAAAGTTCAGTCCGTCATACAATTTTAACGCCGGAAAACGTCAATGTCCAAAGGCGAAATGCTGAAGAGGTTCAGCAGCTTGTCGCGATCATCCCGCAACATACATTACAAGATGTGAAAGCGCCCAACGGGAAAATGAGACCGTGCTGGTAGGGCGATGCGCCATGATACTTGATGATTGTTAGCATGATACTTACCTGAGACTCCTAGAAGAGCTATCCGAGTATTAGTCTCTCTTCGAAATGAGTGGTTTTTTATTACAAGTTCTCTGCATAGTCACATCATCGTTGAACATGGAGGCTGTTGAAAAGCAGATCTTTGAAAACACCTTGACGATGTGATGAGCCCTCAAACAGTTAACATTTGAAGTTCCATTTTTTGCCGAAAAAGTGAACTTGCGAAGGACCAACGTAAAAACATCGTCAGGTGTCAAAATATTTGGTCGGCGACTTGAGCAATGGCTGCCGCTTGTTTCCCTCCGACAGCCTTGCCTGCAGCTTTCGCTGCAGCGCCTATTCAAAAGCCGATAGTCAACCTAAGAGAATGCGTAAACTGACGCGGATACTCACCGAAGGGATCCCTGATGTCATCGAGAATCGCAGAGCCTTTCTTGAGCTGGGGCGGAAGGTCGGCGTGAATCGCATTCGAGGCCATGTTAAGGCCCTTGGACTCCACTTTCAAAAGCTCCGAGGCTGGCTTCCCGATTACAGGGATGTATTTGACCACTCTAGCCGCAACTGATTGGGCGGCGGATACAACCTTCAAACCAAACTTAGCAACGGTCGGCGCATACTTCTTGATAAATTTGCCGGCCGTCTGGAAGCCCTGCTTGACTTTCTGGGCACCCGCTTTCAAGGTGTTGCCAACCTTCTGGAAGCCCTTCTTGACTGCATTGCCAGCTTTCTGGACCCCAGATTTGATCTTGTTGCCTACTTTCTAAAGAGTGTTTATCCTGAGTAAGCCGCTGCGCCAACAGTTGGAGGCTTCTAGGAACTCACCTGAAGCCCGTTCTTCACTTTCTGAACACCCTTCTTGAGAGTGTTGCCAACACGCTGGACACCCTTTTTGATGGTGTTGCCGACTTTCTGAATGCCCTTGCCGACTTTCTGAACACCTTTCTTGATTGTGTTGCCTACTTTTTGAACACCTTTCTTGATCGTGTTGCCTACTTTTTGAACACCTTTCTTAATCGTATTGCCTACTTTCTGGAGAAAATGTTTTCGGTCAACGTTCCAAAAGTCATATACTCGAGCTGCATACCTGGATCCCGTTCTTTACCTTCTGAACACCTCCTTTGACAGTGTTGACGACTCTCTGTGCGCCTTTCTTGACTGCGTTGCCCACTCTCTGGATCCCAGATTTGATCGTATTGCCTACTTTCTGGCAGGGACTTCAGTGCGTTATCCTCGTTAGTAGTTTTTGTCAATTACCTGGACGCCGCTCTTCACTTTCTGAACACCAGCCTTGATCGTATTACCAACTTTCTTGGCGCCCTTAGTAACTTTCTGGGCAACTTTCTTGACTGCATTGCCAGCTTTTTGGGCGACGGATTTGACCGCGTTCCCCGCTTTCTTGACGGTGTTCGTCGCCTTTTGGGCAACACTTTTGACCGCGTTCCCTGCTTTCTTGGCGACAGTTTTGACCGCGTTACCAGCCTTTTGAGCAACAGATTTGACCGCGTTCCCCGCTTTTTGAGCAACGGACTTCACTGCGTTCCCTGCTTTCTTGGCAACAGATTTTATCGCGTTAGCGGCTTTCTGTTGGCGACGATTTCGGTGAACGGTTATGGAATGTGTGAGGGAAGGAACTTACCTGGAATATATTGGCACGGGCAACAAGATGCATATCCGTAAAATCAGGCTATGTCCACCTCATCGTAAGGATGATGTAATCACAGAAACATATGCCATACCGCTCTAGCATATTTGGTAGTTGTTCGAATGAATAGATCGTCGTAAGTGGATCCATATCGTGCGACGAGAACGCCGTTGTATTTCGTTTGAATAGAAGGTCTGTTTGGGCGGCCATGAGAACAAAGTCGAAGACAAAACTAGAAACAAGATTAGCCTGACCTTACGATCTCCTCTTCCAACAGACTGTCTGGTAAAGGCACAGATGCCACAAAGCCGATGCAAAGGAGAAATAAAATCAAAGAAACGAGACCAGCTCGTGACATGAGGAGCGTATATTAGACGACCAGCGTCTAGGCAAGGATTGAAGACCAGCTTGGGGGAAATAAACCATATCTCTTGCCCTTAAATGAATAGAGGTTATCAAGCGACGCCCATACCGCGCTGAAGATAGATCAAACGCTTATTTCTTCCAAGAAGGCCACGGGTAATGTGTTGCGAGGGGCATTGCCCTTTCGTTGCCCGGAGTGGGAGTACGTCATAAAGAAACACCTGTCCATTCAATTGGTCAGGGGTGATCACTGTCAACTTTTTCAAAAGAGACGCTCTTACCAAGCTCTTACCAGGTCAACGAGCGCTACGAAGGATTAGGATTACGTTGGATAAGAAGAAGCTATCGCTAACCAAGCGTTGACAAGCGGATCCACACCTAATTGAGCTTTGGGGCAAATAGTGGTAAGTCTACCTCGAAAGGGAAGGCCTCGCATGACTTTGATCGGCAGAACATAGATTCGGAGAGAGCCTTGGCAACAAAGGTCATGTCAAGGCCATGAGGTCTGTCGTCCGACATGCACGACATGACATGAAACCGGGGTGGGGTGAGAATGCAGAGGTATCGCACAGCCCTACTGTCCAGGTCCAGGTTCTACTGTTTTGGGAGACTTTAAGTGTGGTTATGTTTGGCAACAACGCCCTCGGGCCTCGCACTTGGACTCTTGGCTGGATGACGATGCCTGTGGAGAATAGCGGATACGGATACTGAGCTTGAAAATTAAATTATGTAGTCATCACATGATCACTGCACGCCGCTATCTCTCTCAACTACGACGGACTCGGATTCTCAATCGGTACACGTTAAAGAACTGGGGAAACATCCTATAATTTGTTTTGGAGCACCCGGAAACTCAGAAGGCATGTAAGTCCCACATATTTCTTTCCTTGCGCCGTTGCTGATGCAACCGACATCTGAACAGATCACGGTTTGGACAAGAATTCACGGCGGCCATGGAGAATAACTTTGCAAACCCCTCAGGTGCGTAAGCTATCTTTTTGATCTACTCAACTTACTCGTGTTCTTTCAATCAAATGATAGATTCTTGGGGAAATCCCCCATCTCTGGTTCCACTAATCATTCCAACCTCCCCTGCCATCCATTGCACGCTTTCAGCAGCGAATGCCGTACCCTCTGGCTCACCTTTCGCTTCCCACGCACTCTCCACAGCTTATTTCAAGCCCTCTATCAGCCACCAGCCCATCGGCCGCCTCACATACGCCTCAAACAGTCCATCTCGAACCTCCCTAGGTGGCTGTTTCATCCGCTAGCTCATTGACCACTTTATACGCACCCAATACGCACCTTCCAACAATAGTTACTCTTCCGGAAAGTAAACGCGGCCGCCTAAAAGGGAGCGCGAAAATCAAGCCAGTGACATACAGCCCACGTCGAAGACTCAGACGGCCTCCCTGAACTGGGTATAAGCAGAGGCTGAGGGCATTGTTGGGTGAGGATGCAGTTGGAAACAGGATTCGTCACCTGTTTCTATTGAATTCGGAAAAATGGTAGGTTTGTTATATCAATATTATTTTTCCTTCACTAATCTACTCTTAGTGGTCTCTGGAACACCTTCACGACATGAAGATCCTTCTTTCCAGGCACCATGTTGCCAAAATGTAAGTCTGGTACGGCCCTCCCCCTTTTTTTAGTACCAGATGCACGGTCCCATCGCGTCTGCAACGTGGCAACCCGACACAAACCAGTGGCGACCACAATGACAAATGGTATGCTAATTTTCATCATCATTATCATTGTGAGTCCCCCGCCATCCCACCTCTTCCCTGCCACCCACCTAACATGCTGCCACCACCAGACAATGACAGCGGCCATGGCCACGTCATTCCTCCCAAGCAACAACCGACCACCACGGACAACCATGAATGATCACGACACGTCAACACAATCATGCAACAACCACGGCAGAACAAGAGCACACGACGAGACACGATCATTACCAAACAAGCAGGGTCCACGTCGCCGTGAGCAACGTCACACGACGAGGACACCCGACGACGAGGGATGATGAAGATGTCCTGGCACATCAATGGATGTGCCATGTCGTCCAGACTGTGATGATGCTGCCCACATCAATCCAGGTGAGCAAGATGGCTTCTCTCCCCACCTTTCTAATGAGAAGCAGGGGCCACGTCAGCGACATGCCCTGCTTCATCGTAGTCATTTAGTCATCTGTGTAGTACCGTCTTTCTATGTGTAGAATACTATTCTCAATGATCATTTTTTTGAACTATTACAAAAACTTAAAAGATGTGCAGGGATTGAGCTTGAATTGGAATTCTGTTGTAACTTATGAACTACATACATAGGGGGTCCAGGGGGCTTCAAGCTGTGTGCTGAAGGAATGGGTCTAAAGTTGTTCTATCTTATCAAGGATCTTTTTGTGTAATCTAAGCGAGTATCCAGCTTATATAACGCAAAATAAATCTAAAAGGAGGAAACAAACCCTGATGATCTCGCAAATCTAAGCGAGTATCCAGTATCCCGCTTTACGCCGCTTTCCTACAGCTCGCAAACACCTACAGGACACATTGCCGCAGCTCAGTGAAGTGTTCCTCAGGTTTCTTGCTTGAGTTGTTGCACGCCGTATTGATATTGTGAGGTTGGGATCCTCCCTTCCTCCTCTTCCCTTTTTCTTTTTTCTTTTTCTTTTTCTTTTTCTTTTATTTTTTAGCCCACAAACACCGGTATCCGGCCGGACTCTTGAGATTATCGTTTGGCGATTAGATAGCTTCCAGACCCGTATTGACCTTTTCAGCGTTGAGCGTTGATTGATTGAGGAGGATCGTGGAATGAAGGTGAGTTTGAGTTGGGTTGAGCATAGAACTGCTCCTAGAGTTGAGAAAGTTTGCACGCAGAAAGATGTTAATCTCCAGAACTGGCGAAAGAATGTTGGAGGAAAGTATACAGTTGCAAATGTAACAATCTCGGGTCAGAGACCAGGCGTTTAAAACATATGACTGAGTTGTGCCAGGTTTGCCATCTCGTGGTTTCTCCTAACAACGTTGCGTGGAGGTGCACCCGACTGCATAACGCGACTCTGTCCTGGCAACAGGATACGCAAAGAGGCTTGCTGACCGTGGTATGAGGTTCTTCCGATAACAGTTGTTATTGTCACAAAAACCGATCAGGAGACCTACAAAAACTGTCCTGGCGTTAAAATAGGCTTCGTTCCTTTCGCAATAAAAAGCTTCAAGTCATGTCCTCTTCTTTTCACGGTCATGGCGTCGTTGAACATGAACGCCGTTAGACCAGCTTCCCGAAAAGCGGTTCTGAGATCATCCTCTTTGAAACCACCTTTATGTGCAACGATGTGATGACCATGGTCTGGAAAGAGGTCTTCCGTCTCGGCATCATCAGATTTCAGAAGGTCGATCACAAGCAGCACGCCATTGGGTTTGAGGAAAAACGCCAGAGTTCGCGTGATATCATTTATCGAAGCAAAGTGATGGTACGAAGAGGCGCACTGTATCGCGGATAATTCGCCGATTAGGGGTTGAGACGGTGTTAGAGATGTGGGTGCACGGATTTGGGTTGAGGGACGCACTACGACGAGGTCAAATTTTTCTCCATCGAGCTCGTCAGCTGTGCCTTGGAGGTCCGCACACACTGCGCGCATTTCTTCTCGAGGGATCCCTTGATTCGCAACACGGGTGTTGTACTGATCAACCATCCCCGGGCTGATGTCCACGCCAACAATAGACTTTGCGTATGGTGCCAGTTCTCTGGAAATGAGACCTAACTTCCGGTAAACGACGTGTCATCTCTACTAAGTAAACACGAAATTTGGCTAACCTGGGCCGCACGCAAAATCCATCACCGTCGTGGTTTCTTCATCAAATTGGTATGCCCGGCGAATTGCTCGAGAAGACCTTTTGAAGAATGGATTATGAACACCCTCGAACCAATTGTGCGGACTTGTTCAAAACCTTCGTGCCAATTCTGTCGTTTGTGGGCTATTATCGTAATGTTCTGCAGAGGCATTGAAATGGTCTCGGTTGGCGGCGACGAATCCAATTTCGAAGGTCATGGTGTTATGATAATCTGTCAGTGGATAGTTTTGGAATCTGACGCGCGAAGCCAAGAGAAAGAAAAAGATGCCTTTAGGTTTATATAGAACCTGTGTGCATTGGTTTCTGAACCGACACTAGAAGTTAAGAAAGAGCGCGAGGTTCCTGGTTCAGGAATACTTGTTATCAATATCACGTGATATTGGGAAAGGGATCGAAGTCAAAGCCCCAGCTCAACCCCAGCTTCCTGCTCATTTTTTCTTTCAAAGATGAGAACAATGAAATCAGGTGGATCGGATACGTATATGCCAACCAGTCACTTTGTGCAATTCATCGTTATAAACGACAAAGTGTCGTATCTCGCAAGTTTCTGGTTTGCGAGCCGCCCTGAACAGGCCTAAAGGCGTATGTTTTTCATTCCATCTATACGTCTTCGTCCTGACAGAAGTTGGGATTGTAGTTGCAAGTCTTGGCAACGTCAACCACAGCCACGCGGCCTAGGAGTTAAACATTGCTCTCCATGAAGCAGTCACACTACCTTGCAGATGTACGCATAACCCATTTCCACAATTATTGAGCTCAATTTCGGCGCTCTACAGGTTGATCTCCCAGCCGATATTCTCGAGTACGCCGAGTCCAGCTACGGTCTTTCGGACGTGGACCTCAACAGAATAGCGTCCTACATCGAAGAATGTACCAAAAACCTCGCTTCTATCGAGCGACAGCTGGCTATAGAGCTAGAAATCGAGCGACCGTGGCAAAACCACACCCGCGCAGATCTGCGGCTAAGAAAGACCACGGAGATCAGAAGGATAAGGATCTGCCGGCAAATTGGGGCGCCTATCCGACAACTTCCCCTTGAGATTCTTGGGGAGATATTTACGCTCTGTCTGCCTCCCATGATGACGAAGCACCGGGCGCGATCCCTCTGCAAACGTGAAGCGCCGCTGGTATTATGTCGCGTCTGCTCTTCCTGGAGAAATGCAGCGATTAATACCCCCCATTTGTGGAAAGAGCTTGAATTCCGGACTCCGTATCCCATTGGGCTGTCCATTTCCGTGGCTAAAAAGATGAAAGTGTGGGTTGGGAGGGGAGGAGACCTTCCCGTCTTGCTGCGACTGGTGTTGAGAAACCACTACACCTTCCTAGCAGCTCGGGACACCGTCAGCTTGGAGGAAACGCTTTCACAGGAACCGTTGTCGTTGGTGTGTAACCTGGACATATCGATACCCACGCCCGCCCCTTTATACCCCTCTTTTAAACGAGCAGATGGATTCAAGCGCCTGGAGTCGCTTGTCATGCGTTCTGAGAACGTCATGGACCCCACGGCTGACCAAAGTCACCTAATGCTCTTTCCCGGAGCCTCCATGCTTCGCCGAGCTGTGTTGATCAACGTCCTTTCTCCACGGATTTCCTCCACTCTCTTCCCTTGGGGCCAGTTAACACATTTATACGCTGGAGACCATCTGTCCGTTGAACTATGGTATCGCGTGATGAGCTACTGTGTCAATCTGAGGGTCGCGTCTTTTGGCATTGTCGGCTGGTGGTCTGACTACGATTTTCGCCCTACTGGGGAGCCGGCCCTACTTCCTCATCTCAGCATCTTGAATATCATGCATGATCAGAGTAGAACCGTGACCTCTGACGAGTCTGAATTCCCATTCAGCGGTCTTTCCCTTCCGGCGTTAAGGACTCTCCGAATTGTGTCGAGTGACACCGGCACTTGGTCAGGTCTCAGCGATTACTCTCAGCTGCACTTCCTTCGGGAATTCGCGCTTATTGGGACATTCACCATTTTACCAACTCATTTACAAGACCTTTGCAGATTATTCAGAGCTACACCGCTCTTATCATCATTACAGTTATCAATACAAACACCGTATGATGCCCTCTTTGCCAATCTTTTGCCCACCGCTAGTCCGTCACTCCTTCCGAACCTCGAAAATCTTGAAATTCATTGCAAGGCCTGGAGCCGCATGGATCTTGAAGGATTTCCACCTCTGTTCATAAATCTGATCAAGGCGCGGTGGTGGAGTTCTTTGCAATCACAGGCAGCATACAACTCCAGAAAAACTGTCCGTTTACTGCAAGCTATCTTGTATTTCAACGGAATGGACGAGACTTACCTGGATATTATCCGAAAATCGTTACAGCCCTGTGTTGACGAAGGACTTGACCTTCACTTGGGCGCTGATGAAGAAGAAGGAGAAGATCCCAAACATGTTATGCCTTTTACCAATGATATTCGGCACTGGCATGAGGATTTGATTGACGGAGGTGCCATTCGCTTCGGAAGATGTCAAACATGTTTTGATTGAAGCTCGTCGATTTGGCCACTTGAGTACTAATAGCCAGTACTTGGTAGTAGCAGTTTCGCTGGAGTGGGTCGAATATTGGTGGCCTCACAAACGATTAATGGTGATTCAAGCTGATTGGTAATGTGCATATCGATGAACACTTACGAAACCGGCGAACCTCCCTCAACAGGCCTAAACGGCCGTATGTTTTTCATCTCATCTGTTGTTTCGTTCTGACGGAAGTTGGGATTGCAATTCACAACTACAACCACGTGGCCTAATACATCGGACTACCTTGCAGATGTACGCATAACCACCATTTCCAACAACTATTGAGCTCAAACTCGGCACTCTACCTGAGGTTGACCTCCCAGCCGATATTCACGAGTACGCCGGGTCCAGCTACGGTCTTTCGAATTTCTTTTTGAAAGTGATTAAATAAAAACAGCTATGTATCGGTAATCTAAGTAAATAGCCCAACAGCCCGTCGATTTTTGCTCGGACTGGTCTAGCCAGTCCATTCAAACATTCCTGCGACAAAAGGCTTCAGGGTGACGATCCCTGCCCGTAGTACACCTCTCCTGGAGGTTATTAGAAAATAGTTACAGTTTCAATAGACGCGACTGGCGCGTGTGGTTATGGGAAGATAAAGATCGCTTGTGGTGTGGGTGCCTGGTTTGGCGTGTGGTGATGGGGATCTATGTAGGTGCCCATGTGGTGGGTATTATGAATGATGTTTGGTCATTCATGCCTCTAAGTTGACGTTCGTAACGTCAGATGGTAGGTAGGAAGAATGGGTATGCATGCCAGGGTAAATGTTTAGAGTTTTTTCGTGATAGCGACCGAGAAGTCGGAAAAATAGACATCCTGCTCCTTGGGAGTTGCAAACTCGATGTGCGAACCTATCCCAATAATTCAACAACGGACAATGATGTCAACAAAAAACTAACGAACCTCCAAAGAAAGTTTGCATCTGCATTCCCCTTATCCTGCCTGCAGCGCTGTCCCGTAAAATGAGACCGCCAACCTTAATGACGCTCCTTCCATTGACGAACAGCTCAAGCTCGCCATTAGCCTGTCCAGCATCATTGAGCCTAACGCGTTCGCTGATGGTGGTCCAAGCGCCAGTGGCAAACGTAAACGCTCCACGTCCAATGGAAGCACCGTACGTAGGATTACAGTCCGACAAGGGGGGGACATTGCATACGTTCTTGTTCGCAGCAAACCGAGATTCGGTGAACGGAGGAAGGTAAGTGTAAAATTCACCCTTTCCGTTCTCTCGCCACATCAAACGAGCTGAGAAGCAGGCGGCGGATCGGCTGCCTCCTGAGCAGTCAACGGCTTCGCCGGCGCTGTTGCCTCCATCTAAAAATGCTAGTCAGGGAAAGTTCGCGTACGAACATATTAGAACTCACAGAGACCAGGCAATTTGCCGCCAAGGTTGAAAGCGAAGCCCTTAGGGAAGAACACTGAGTAGCCAAATGTAGCCTCCTTAGCGGTAGTCAGATCAACTGCAGCGGGACCAGGGGCGTAAAAGGAAAAGCCACCCTGAGGGTTGTGCCCAAAGTTGTAGGAACCCTTGGGGTAGTGCGCCTTCATGGAAGCCTTGCCGTCAGGTGCGTTTACGTAGGTGTGGGGAACGCTGGTAAGAACGTCGAAGGGGCGGAAAGTACTATCCTTAAGACCAAGCGCAGAGCCAGATGACGGCGAGGTTGTCCATGATTGGGAGAAACCTGGGACGGGGAACAAGGCTCCGAGTGCAGAGCCGGAAGTGGGTGGAGCGGGAGTGGTGACCTTGGTGGGTTGTGCGGAGGAGGATGTCGACGTCACAGAGGCTTTGCCAGTGCTGACTGCCGCGTTGATTGGTGCAGCGCGTGAGGTAGACGAGACGGATGCAGATGTAGATCCGATCGCTGCTGCAACCGACCTATGGCAGGTAGCGCGACGGAGACGCGTCGGATGCGCAGCCACCAGTGCGACCAGGAAGGATAGGAGGAGGATGAATGTTCTTGTCGTGAACATGATTGAGGATTGCGATGCAAGGAAGGATGATAAATGGACCTCAAGGTAGTATACGTTCCACAGGAACGGCAACTGGATATCACAAAAGAAAGTCGTTGAGGTGAGGAGGGAGGGAAAATGAGTGTGAGCCTGAATCTACACGACAAAACGAGGGAGACTGATGTGGGCCAGAACAAGAGGGAGAGAAAGGCGCGGCAATGGTCCCTCAAGCAACATAAGTTTTCTCGGCAGATCTTAGATTCATGGTATGACCCAAATCCGTCCAACCGACAGTGATCGTCGGGATTTACGACCACGAAATCAGTATTGTTGCCGGTAAAATATTGGTTGAATGATGGTGCTTCTTGGAGTTGGAGTTGCTAGAATTGTTTCTAAGGTTGGTCCTGCAAGCTGAGCTGTATAAGGATACTGAAGCAATTCTAGCCAAGATCTAAGCCAATTGTTGACCAATTTGTGTTGGGTAATAGATCTAACTGGAGAAAATTGTAATTCCAAACAAGAATAAAAAATCTTACTGCAAATTTATCAGCATCTGAAAATAATTGGGGCAGAAAAGTATTCGGAGTTGAAGAAATATGGTGGTCAAATGAGACAAAGACGAAAGGTCTGAGCTGAAATTTATTGTCGCCATGCGAAGTCCAAATTCCAACGGTGATCCCTTGGCTCACGTTCTGATTAATATTGTTCGGCCGCTTAGGCTCTCAATTGCCTGAAAATTCAAATCGGTCAGTAAGTAAATGTGCTGAACTTCAGTAGACACTAGTAGGGACTCTTGAACACTTCGTAAAATGGTGCAGAACGGGTGAACCTGTTGCGTGGTTAATTCACGAAAAACCAAAGGAATCTCTGTGCAAAATTATACCCCCCGCTGAAATCTGGATACGCCATCAGACTGATCGTCGACATCCACAAAGCCTAGTCTCCTCCGTAGAACTCTTTCGTCAATTTTGCGTCTCCAGAAAGCAATTTTTTTGCATCTCTACATACCGAATTTACGGGACAGTTGGTGACGTAGTTCACGGTGTTCATACGTCTTCGAAAATTGATGGCTTGAGAAGTGTACGTGGGCAGACTGAGAGTTAGGCGCCTCTACGACGATAATAGCAAGTGTTCCAGTGTCGCTTCTGAGTTGGTATCTTGCTAAATGATTCGAATCAAAGTCGAATGCAGAGTTTCCATCTGCACAATCACTCACTGCATCGTCTCTGATAATGAGTGATAGGTTTCAGGCAAAATGATAGTTTCACGTCGCCAAAAGGCGCAACATTGAGGGCTGTGTTTCAAACATCAAGACAAAAAATGAGAGGTAAGAGTGCAAAGCCTACCAAAGTCAATTAAAAGTCCGCCCACATCACAACAGCGTTTAGAGGCTTGTCGACATTACGCACTTACCCACCACAATCCCAACCAACCACGCAGCAACATCCACGATGGCCGAAGGAAGCAACTACGATTACCTCTTCAAAGTAAACCCCTCCATCCCATTCAGCGGGAAAACCAAAATAACTAACTCATCTTTGAAATAGGTCGTACTCATTGGTGACTCAGGTGTCGGCAAATCGTACGTTTTTTCGCCTCTTGCATTTTACTGAGGGCTTATGAATCCAACAGCAATTGTACGTTTAGCGAGCGAGGTATAGGGAAAGGAAAAACCTAACGCTCACTCCTTCGCTGCGCAGTGCTTTCAAGATTTACACGTAACGAGTTTAACCTGGAGTCAAAGTCGACGATTGGTGTTGAGTTTGCGACGAGGTCTATTAATGTCGATGGGAAGACTGTAAAGGCGCAGATTTGGGATACAGGTGAGGTTCTGTTTAGACGGGGAAGAAGCATGGGCGGGGTGACGAGGCTGTTTGGCCTCGAGAAGTCGTGGCCATGTTGGGGATAATTTTTAGTTGTGGGAGGCAAAGTTGGTGAAGGGCATTTCTGGGCTACAGCTGGCACTCGAACGAGTGTCGTTTGGACCGTCCAATTAGTTCCGGCCGGCATACAGGGTTATTCGTCGTCCCTGGCGTTTTCCCTCCCTCAACTTACTGGACGCTTTTTCGATGGACTAACATTCTTTTTTGTTTTCAGCTGGTCAAGAGCGTTACCGCGCCATCACATCAGCGTAAGTGCACTACTGCGGTTACATCACTTGATCTAATTTGTTCGACCTTCACAGTTACTACCGTGGCGCTGTCGGAGCTCTTCTTGTCTACGATATCGCCAAGCACGCGACATACGTGAACGTCACCCGGTGGTTAAAGGAACTCCGGGACCACGCCGACTCGAACATCGTTATCATGCTTGTGGGCAACAAGAGCGATTTGAAGCACTTGCGAGCTGTGACGACCGATGAAGCAAAGGCGTTTTCAAGTGAGTGTTGGGTTGATCAGATGGATACTGTGCATGCTAACGTCTTTCCGCAGCTGAGAATGGGCTATCATTTATCGAGACATCGGCGCTGGACGCCTCAAATGTCGAGAGTGCATTCCAAACCATCCTCACTGGTCCGTTGTTTGCTTGCCTTGCATACTTCTTGAACTCACTTGTTGCACCGTTTAGATATCTACCGCATTGTCTCGAGTAAATCGCTTGAATCATCTACAAACAACATCGAGCCTCCCAAGGAAGGTATCAGTGTGGGACCATCTCTGGATTCTACCGCAACCCAGGGCAGCAAGTGCTGTTAAATTACATTTCTTGCGGGGCTCGGGTAGGTGGCCTGGCGGTGGGCGTGTGTGTACTAGGAACGGGATTTTTGTTTCTGGGTGTGTATCCACAACGTACAGCTAATTCCCGCATGACATTTTTTTTTTACGATTTTGTCTTGTTCGTACTTGTAATATCCGACTGTGTTACGACCTCATATTTTTGGAGTATGGTAGATTGTGAGGTTATGACAGCTGAATGCAAAACCCTAGACACCTCGCAGAAATCTCTTGACTCCGCCTCGCTTTGTGCAAACAACCATTTGGGGAAGGAGGCGGGCACGAATGACGCAAGTCCTCCACCAACGCAGGTATATGACTTGTAATGGAGTGCTCCACACTCCAATTGAGGTAAACTTCCACACAGACAGCCTGGGTCCGTGACTGGCAGAAAGCGCCCCGGAAGGGGAGGTTCGCAATTTCCAACAGGATACCCCCCTCTCTCAACCTCACCAAACACTTCATAGAGCTCAAAGACCAACGCGAAGTGTTCGGACGACTAATCCAATGCCGCACCGGACACGCGTACACCGGCGAATTTCGAAGACAGTTCTTCCCTGAAAAGAGCACCAACTGCGAGTGCGGGGAGGACCTACAAACTCGAGAGCACATCATCAGAGAGTGCAACCGCTACGAGGAACAGCGGAAGAAGCTGCGCAAGCATAACCGAGACCTAGCGCTCCCAGAGCTGCTGGGAACGCCCAAGGGTATAGCTGCCCTAGCCGAGTTCATTCGAGACTCAGGTGCCTTCACGTTCACCGGGGAAAAATACACCCCCAAGGACCTCCCCTCCTTCCACGACGAACCAGAGCCCCCCGATATTGACTCAGAAGACGACGAGTCAGACGCTGAACCATAGCACGCCCATGCCATCCACACCCGTGTACACAACCCCGCGAGCGCAATAGCGCCCGCCCATGCCCTAGCGTCATATGCACGCAACAGTCCAAGACCCCCGTTCATTCGGCCCTCTACCAAAACACTATACATTATCTTTACATTACAGCTACACAACGGACGTTAATACCCACACAAGTGGAGGCCCACCAGACCCAACTACACCTAAGGGGAGCCTTACGCTCTCCGTGCGTCTTAGTACTAGGCTACTTGTTGCACGTAAATCTCTAGAAACCAAAAAAAAAAAAAAAAAAATTGAGGTAAACTTGTGCCAATTGCGGTTGTTTGCACAAAGCGAGGCGGACACCAGAAAATTTCGGGAGGTGTCTAGGGTTTTGCATTTAGCTGGAAGACGAGCTATGAGGAAATCATTATGAGATTTTTGTAGTCAGGGTTGATTCACACCATGCGCATTGTCAGGCATTGTCATTCTCCCACCATGTTCGTCACTTCACAGCTCCACAGCCCTTATTCCTTGTTGGGTGTCCCTTTGGGCGCCTAAGTATGTGGGCGTCGGTACGTTACGCAAAGCTTCTTTGACAGTTCTAATTCTCGGTTCCTAACAAAGGTTGTACAGCCCCACTGCAGCGCAAGTGGCTAGTCACTGGACTCGTAGATTTTTGGCTATATGAACAGGCGTCGAGGCGGCCTTTCCCCCCTCTCTCTTCTTGCTATCGAATAAAAGATGGTAAGTACCCTCACGGTCACCTAATGAACTCACGTCGATCCCCTGTGTAGGAATACCTCCGTTGGGTGTTGAGAACGGTACTAGCGTTCAGCACACCTTGGAGAGTGTATGCTCTAAACGTATCCGCTCTCAAGGAACCCATGCCACCCGATCATGAAAATGACAGCGCTGTTGTCGCCAGCGAAACCGTTTCAGACACTCCCGCCCAACGAAAACGAATCATTAACCTCCCGACTGAAATCTTGCTCCTCGTCTTCGAAGCAATGGACAGCCCTGACCTATACACCACCGCGTTCCTCTCAAGGAACTTCCACCACCTAGCACTTCCCATGTACCTCGCTCGTTACGGGATCAGCGCGTCTGCCGAGGCCAACCTCATCCTGTTCAACGATTGGTCCCCAGAAGCGTTGAGGGCCGTGCACGCGGCTCTGTTCTTGCCCTCCGTAAACCGTTTGAAGTGTGTGTTTGATTTCTACAAGCCCTATGATCAAGTCCGCAGAGAGGTGCACGCGTTCAGGCGGTTCCTGGGCAAGTTGGCGTCGGTACGCGAAATTCATATCGAGATTGTCCGGTATGGTATGAAGGGTGGGGCGAACGCCCCGTTTGCTTCGAACGACGAGCCTGTGGGGCTGACTGAGGAATGGGGGAGGGAGCTTGTGCAGATGTTGGACAGTGTGGTTGGGAGTGGATGTGCGGAGTTGTCGCTCTCCCTGGCTGGACGATGTGATCCCCCCGCACAAGAGTTGGAGAGACTCCTTCTTGGGGAGTTTTATGGCTTCTATGGGATGTTGAAACACCCGACTTTTAGAGGCTTTGCGGCGGGTTTCGGGCGCGCATGCGTTCGTGCCAGGTCGTTGGTAGGTGTTGGCCAACCGAACCAGAGCCAAAAACGCGGGTTAGAGACGCTGGACCTTCACTCGTCCATGTTCTTCCACCCGCTCCTCCTTCGCTGGATGATGTCCACTTTGAACTCGATGTCGATCACTTCTCTATCGTTGCGCCAATTAGACCATATTAGCCCCCAGAATTGGGCCCTCCTCCTTCCTTGCATCACATTACCCAGTCTGTCAAAACTCTCCGTCAACCTCTGTTACATCCAGACTCACGTCCTATACCACTTTCTCTATCGCCATCCACATATTCAAGATCTTACCCTTGGCCGGAGTTGCGTGGGTCCGGGCCGTGTTGTATTGCGTACCGGCATCCTTGGAGAATTAGAGCATCTCTCGGCACCTCCAAGCTATCTGGTGGCTCTTCTCACTCCACCAGGCTCATTGCCCGCCCTCAAAACTGTCTGCATCCGTTGGCATGTCCGCAACGAACGCGTATTCGAGGCTTCAGCAGTCGATAAAATCCTGCTTCCTATATCTCAGCGTCTTCGACAATTGGACGACCTTCGCTTCCTGCTTTCCTTTGAATCTCTGAACGTCAGCAGCTGGTTTCAACCTAGCGGTCTTGACATTTCCCCATTGCAGTACATATCGCACTTGGAACTCAAAATCCACGTGTACTCGTTACCTCTGAATACGATGACTGGGCTGGCGAGGTGGCTTGTGGGATTCTCGAGGTTGAGGTGTTTGGAGCTTACGACGGTGGGCCAGGATGGATTGGAGGTGGAGGAGAGGGTGTTGTTTTTCGAGGCGATTGGGAAGTGGTGTCCTAGTGTAGAGGTCGTTCAGATTAATAAGGACGTTTTTACTGCGCCCTTTTGAACTGCTTTACGATATATATTCTTTTAGTTGGAGTTTGGAGGCCTTCTTGTCTCGCGGGAACGATGACAACATAAACCGATCGTAATAAACCTGTGTGGGACTGCCTTTTCTGAATAATCAGCTCACTGCCCTACTCATCATTACCCTCAGCGGGAAAACATTTTTTTTCCTTTCTTCCTGCGAGTCCTCGCGTTTTATCATGATCACTGCGCACCTTGGCAGTGTGGGATTCAGTGTCCAGGCAGTCACGGGTCCTGTTCGGCCTCCGCTATTCTTGTCTTCGCTCGTGCATACATAACTACATACCAACGGCGGCGCTACATTCTTGAACTCTCTCTGTTATACCCTTGCATTTTACCCCCCTGGATTCTATATCCGCTTCAATAACGACCTTTCGACGATGCCATACCTTGATTCTCTGGAATTGACGCCGGCGGGTGCTCAAGCAGGCCAGCTGTTCATCCGCGACTTCAAAGAGAGTATCACACCCAACGTTACGCAGAGGAATACCCTAATCATTGCTGGGATATATATTATTGCTATTGCTATTCTATGGTTCGTTTTTCGTTACTTTCTACTGGCCTCATGAAATGAAGCTGATGCTATGGTTGGGGTTTTTGCAGGCATGTGCCATACTTGAAGGAAATCTGTGAGAGACTAGAGTTGCTTGTTTTCGTTGTTGGGGCGGCGTACTGATGAATGATTTTTGGACAGTATACCCATTCAAGTGAGTTTTTGAGCGTTGGTGGATTGCCTTATCCTGACTTTGGGGGGGATGTAGACTTCTTACAGTTGGATTCCACGAAGTGAGTTCTGGAGTCATTGGATGATACAACAAGTTCTTGATCTGTACAATTAGATGAGCCACGCCTTCGTAGGCGTTCTGACCTGCGCACACATCCACTCCATAGAATTAGATCGTACGTTGCTTCTTATGACGGGTTACATAAATTAGGCGCTCATGTTCAAACTCAACAGCGGATGAAGGAGGCTCTACGGCAATGTCAGGCGGAATCCCATGGTTGACTCTTCCAGCAGGATACCTAGGATCTTCATTCATCGGTGCATGCTTGATTGCGTGCGGATTCAATACCAATGCGAGCAAGATTGCGTCGATTGTGCTGGCTGTGTTTTTCATCTTTACGCTTTGGTGGGCGAGGAAGAATTGGATGTGAGCTGCACTGAAATAACTACCTGTTGCTGTCTTGCTGATATCGTTGGCGTAGAACGTGGGTTTTGATTTTGGGTATGTCAGGCCTCGTCCTGCTCTTTTGGTTTGTGGGCGGAGGCGTTGCATTGAGATACTTCGTAAGTCTTGCGATCCTTGATGTTTTCGATGTGTGAACGCTGAATCGTTGTACAAGATCCTCTTCATTGGTGTCATGTCGTGCTTGTATTGCCTATGGGATATCATCGGTAAATATTACCTCCCATTTAAAGCCCCTCTATCGACTGAACGCCTCGATCAGATGATACTGTCGCACGAAAAGTCAACACCTCAGATGCCTCAGCCTTTGCAGAAATTTGCGGATGTTGCCCAGCGCGGGGTTCGTTCCTCTTTATTATCATTCTATCACTTACTCATCCACGTTCACGTTCAGTCTGGGGCGTTATCTGGCTAATCCAAGCTTTCATATTCTTTGCCCTGGGGGTCATCGTCGGCCTTGTTGCTTTCAAGGTGACTCCTTTAATTTTCTGCATTGTAACCGATCTGACCTGTGCTGCAATAGGAAAACGCTGAACAGCAAAAGATAGACTCGTCACACTTCCTTCCAGTTCCCGGATCGAAATCAGGAGCGCTATCGTTGATGCCAAATTCTCTATTGGCGTGGACTGCCGCCCTCGCTTTGGGTGCTATGGGATTGTACTGATTTAGGATTCCTTGCTATTTTCCTTGGACTATGTTGTTTTCTATGATCCTTGACGTTGACGTGTTGCGCGTTTGTACGACCCCGATTCCCGAAGAATGAAGATGCTTTGTAAAACAACTATAGTACTTCGACTATTTACGTCCTTACGTCTAGTTTTGCCTTACGAAGACCTTGACGACAGAATATAATTTCGACAACGTTTTGCTTCTTGATACGACGCTCGCCATTGGGGATTCTGAGCCCGTATTCTACTGTAAGTGTTCACTGGATGAGCGACACCATTAGTATTACTCGTTAGCGGGCCTCGAAAGCCTTCTGTGGATCTTATTTTCTTCATTCTCCGGCATACAATTGTCCACGCCAAAACCGGGCGACCTCTAGTTTGCTCTAGCCCGAGTTGCCTGCTAAATTACTACGATATTGAAGGTGAAAAACAGAAAATTCGAACTATGTACAAGCAGGGTACGTCTTTAAAATAGTCTCAATAGTCATTCTATTTTTAATGACATCCAAGGGGACTTCCCGAAGGTCAGCCACTCCAAAAAGGTATAAAAACCTCGCCAGGATGCGTCTTATGTCTTTCACAACTTGACCTCGGTCTACCACCATCTCCACTCAAACCCGCCTTTGCAACCACGCTCCGCTCCCTCCCCTAGGCATCCTCTCCTCCCTGTTCGACGGTTCGACGCCCAACATCTTCACGCCGTGGCCCATATCTTGCAAAGCCGGCAAGCTGCTCAAGGTAATGGAACGAAGTTACTAACTCGCCCAACAGGATCCTGGTTAACATCGCTGGCCATGAATTATTGAGGTAACTATGTTCTTTCTTTTTCTGTGTACGTTAGGTGTGGTGTGGAGGTGGAGGTGCGCACGGGGGAGGTGCGATGCTGGGGCGACACAGCGGCTCTGTCGTGACCGGCGAGGGGGGCGATCTCGCGGAGTAGCAGAGGCGTCCGTTTGGCGAGAGGCGGCTTACCATGGGGGGCTGAGACGGTACCGACACCGTGAACCAGGGCAGTAGCCGTTGAGCGTGGGCACCCATGTCACCGTGAGGAGGCTGGACAGTCGCACGTCTTCGGAGAGGATGGGGTGCTGGGGCGACATAGCGGCTCTGTCGTGACCGGCGAGGCGGGCGGTTGATCTCGCGGAGTAGTGGAGGCGTCCGTTTGGCGAGAGGCGGCTTACTACGGGGGGCTGGGACGGTGCCGACACCGTGAATCAGGGCGGTAGCCGTTGAGCGTTGGCATCCATGTCACCGTGAGGAGGCTGGACAGCCACACGCCTTCGGGAAAATTCCTTTTTTTCTTTCTTTCTTTCTTTCTTTCTTTTTCTTTTCTCTTATCACGGGGGAGCTGGGGCGGTTTCGGCCGTGCACCAGGGCAGTAGCCGTTGAGCGTATGGCGCCCATGTCGCCGTGAGGAGGCTGGGTAGTCATACGTCTTCGGAATCGTTCACCACGTGTGCAACGCCCAATTTCTCCCTTGCTGGTTTTCTTGCGGTCCTAATTGTAAGACTCGCTGGAAATCAGCAAGCAATGAGGGTTTTGCACTACTTAAAGCACCATTGAGTTACGCAAGGGAATACACTGTTGAATACCTAGCGATTTGACAAGCGCATCGCTACTATAAACTTCAGCATTTCGCCAGTTCTTATTCCATTTCCAGACGGAGTCATACCTTGAAAAGGGAAACACTTTGCGCTTGCCTGCTCAACCAAATGTCTTTGATCCCCTTTGTAAATTGTGGACGTCGCGAAGAGAATTAGCTGGGAAAAACGTACCAACGAATGACTGATAATGAACCAAGGCCTTGAGAACACATCGACACAGTTGATTAGGAAAGGATACCCCTTTTGTGTACCATTCCAAGAATCTTCCATCGGTTTGTCTGTTCTAAAGAGACAGCTGCGAAGACTTTTGGCCCGGATAACTGAGCAAGTCCCGTAAACCCAGAATTTATAGGACAAGCCATGGCCATAGCATGATATAGAGCCCCAGTGAGCACTGTCGCTTTCCAGTAACGAGAACTTCAATTCCCAAAGCTCCTTCATCCATGTCATACAGATGCGCGAATTGCTGCGGGGTGGCCTCTCAGGCTGTTGTCCAATGTTCCTCTGTTCCCAACTTGCGAAGTCGATGAAATAACGGCAGCCGCATGCTTGTGGTCTTTCGAATTCGCGCCATGAATGAAGTGGTGTTTTGGATCATCAATAAAGCCTCAAGTGTAGTTGTGTCACGGTCGAAATTTGAAGTCGGTGGCATCCTTTTGATCAGCTTCAACGTTCGTGATCAACCACACTACCCATTCCTCCTAAATCAGTTTCAAGGATTGTGGTTGCTACAACCGCGTAGTAACAGCATGCACCGCTGCTTACAGATCCAGGAGCTCCTCTCTATCATCTTTCGCCACTATGCTCATCGCCCAAAGATGCTAGCACGACTCGCGAGGACATGCAAAGCTTTTCAGGACCCAGCCTTGAACATCCTTTGGCACACCCAAAAGACACTCCTTCCGCTATTGAAATGTCTTCCACCCAATGCCTGGGCTATAAAAGAGGGCAAATTTGTGAGCCATATTTAATAAGACAAAAAAGCATCTTTTCATGCCCAACAGAGTATCATCAGGAATCTCACCGCGTCTGATTTCAGAAGAATTTACTTTTACTGCCACAGAATCAGAATTTTCAATCAGTTTACCTTGCGTTCGCTTTCTCAATATTTTGATGCACAAGTCCTGCCCATCATTTGGTCACGCAAACCGTCTCCAGGCCCTCTTCTGTCTAATGTGTCGGAGGTCAACCTTGTGGATGGCAACTTTCATGGTCTTGCCATCTATCCTCGCCTCGTAATTAGCCCGAATGTTACGGAAATACGACTCAGGGTCTGGAGCAACGACTTTCCGAGTCCGTGGGCAAATACAACAGCCGTGCTAAGGAAGGCCTCGCTACTCAATCTCTCAAGTTTCGCGCTGGTCGTTGGAAGATCGTCAAGTCCAAAGGACGCTGAGTTGCTGGAGCTCTTGTCCACTCTTCATGGTGTCAGGAGACTGAGCTTCAGTGACTCGGTGCTTCCCACATCTCGTGCCATATCCATTATCAGTACATTCCCCATGCTTGAAGATCTTCGGCTTTCAGTGACAGAGAAGGAGGTGGAGAACTGTGTTCCTGATGTTAAAAACAAATTCACCGCCATCATTCACCTGGCCATCAATTCGGACACCATGAATGCCTGTCGGTTGATGCTACTCCAGCTTCAGCCAGAAACGTTGCGGTCTTTGACGCTTACCCGAACCACGAGCGACGCCAACTGGAGCATCAGAAGGCTTCTTATAACACTTCATGAGTGCAACCTGGCATCAAGGTTGAAAAACCTGCATGTACGTGATGGCTCATGGACTAACCCTGGCTTGGACTTGAAGAACCTTTTGATGTTTGAATACACAAGTTCCTTCAAGCAGTTGTGCCGCTTGCATTTAGAGTCGTCTTCATTTGATTCGGATGACAACGACCTTATGAAACTTGCCAAGTGTCTGCCTCAGTTGCGTTCACTACTGTTCTCGGAAACAGTTTTCCTAGAGGAAGTGCCGAAATGCACATTTACTGGAATGCAGCATCTCATTCAGTTTTGCCCAAAGCTGGAAATGTTGACCCTCCGCGTTGATGCGCGTCAAATCCCGATATTTGCCACTCAGCCTGACGGAGAATATCCTTCAGCTCTCCACCTTACCACCCTCAATCTCGGCAATTCCCCTATCTCGAATGCTGACGATGTTGTGTCCTACCTTACCATGCTATTTCCAGTCCTTGCGAATTTTTCTACTGCCTACTATGATGAAGAGGAGGGGGAGGAGGAGGAGGATGTCGACCCTTATCGCGCGATCTGGCTGAAAGTAGAGAAAATGATGAATCGTTTTGTCCCTTGAACATGTTACACATGCTTCAGTCACAGAGACAAGGATCAGCAACACGAAATCCTGCTCCAATGTGCACTCATCGACCCCCTTGATACTCATTTGCAAACGAAAAGGCGGCAGAGCGGAAAGTCCGTGGAAAGTTGCCCAGTACTAGCTGGCGCGATGCGGATGCGAGACGATGAAGATTATCTTCTTGGGGTTTGTCCTTGGGTTCGTTGGGTCCAAATATTTTATGGAATGGTGTCATACATAACGCTTTTCTGCACAAGTCGTCTGTCTTCAAGTGTATTTAGATTCCTTTTACCTCTACATTTGTGTTACAAAGACCTATTTTGATCGAATGACACCTTTTTACCTCTTAACTCGCCATTGAGGATTGGGGGTGCATGTTTCAAATGTGGTAAGTGCTTACTTGGATGAGCGCAATTATTTACTTGCTAGGTGGATACGCCTTGCGAATGGCAGCTGCTGCTGGGATCTTTCTTTTGCGACCTCTAGTTTGCTCTAGCCCGGGTTGCCTGCTAAATTACTACGATATTGAATGCGCCAATCAGAAAATGTGAACTTCAAGCAGGGTACGTCTTTGCAAATAGTTTCAATAGTCATTCTATTTTTAACGACATCCAAGGGGACTTCCCGAGGTCAGCCACTCCAAAAAAGTATATAAACCTCGCCAGGATGCGTCTTATGTCTCCCACAACTTGACCTCGGTCTACCACCACCTCCACTCAAACCCGCCTTTGCAACCACGCTCCGCTCCCTCCAATAGACGTTCTCTCCTCCATCTTCGACGGTTCGACACCCAACATCTTCACGCCGGCTTTGCAAGATATGGGCCACGGCGAGCTGCTCAAGGTAACGGAACAAGTCACTAACTCGCCTTACAGGATCCTGGTTAACATCGCTGGCCATGAATTATCGAGGTAACTATGTTGTTTCTTTTCTGTGCACGTTAGGTGTGGTGTGGAGGTGGAGGTGCGCACGGGGAGGGTGTGGTGCTGGGGCGACATAGCGGCTCTGTCGTGACCGGCGAGGGGGGCGGTTGATCTCGCGGAGTACTGGATGTGTCCGTTTGGCGAGAGGCGGCTTACCACGGGGGAGCTACGGTACCGACACCGTGAACCGGGGCAGTAGCCGTTGAGCGTGGGCACCCATGTCACCGTGAGGAGGCTGGACAGTCGCACGTCTTCGGAGGGTGGGGTGCTGGGGCGACATAGCGGCTCTGTCGTGGCCGGCGAGGCGGGCGGTTGATCTTGCGGAGTAGTGGAGGCGTCCGTTTGGCGAGAGGCGGCTTACTACAGGGGGCTGGGACGGTACCGACACCGTGAACCAGGGCAGTACCCGTTGAGCGTTGGCATCCATGTCACCGCCGTGAGGAGGCTGGACAGCCACACGCCTTCGGAAAAATTCTTTTTTTCTTTTCTCTTATCATGGGGGAGCTGGGGCGGTTTCGGCCGTGCACCAGGGCAGTAGCCGTTGAGCGTATGGCACCCATGTCACTGTGAGGTGGGTAGTCATACGCCTTCGGAAACATTGACCAAGTGTGCAACACCCTATTTTTCCCTTGCTGGTTCTCTTGCGATCCTAATTGTAGGACTTGCTGGAAATCAGCAAGCGATGACGGTTTTGCACTACTTGCAGCACCATTGAGTAATGCAAGGGGACTACACTGTTGAATACTTAGCGATTTGACAAGCGCATCGCTACTATAAACTTCAGCATTTCGCCAGTTCTTATTCCATTTCAAGACGGAATCATACCTTATAGAGCGAAACACGTTACGCTTGCCTGCTCAACCAAATGCCTTGATCCCCTTTGTAAATTGTGAACTTCGCGAAGAGAACTAGAACCTATAACCAACGAATGGCTGCCATCTGTTTGCCTTTTCCAAAGAGACAGCTGCGAGGACTTTTGGCCCGGATAACTGAGCAAGTCGGGTATCATATGGGTCGATTCAAAAAATTGAGGACGAAGACAAGCCCATAATGTCCATGTCATACAGATGCGCGAATTGCTGCGGGGTGACCTTTGTCGTCCAGTGTTCAAGGACGGCAAAGTTCATCTGTTTTCGACTTGCGAAGTCGATTAGAACGGCAGCCGCATGCTTGTGGTGATTAGGAATCGAGCTGTGATGAATGTTGATCTGCACCGTTCGAAATTTCGAAAACGGTCACAATCTTGTGCCGGAGCTTCAAGTCAACCTCATCCTTCGGCCACCACCCATTCCGAGTCCTTTTAAGTCCCCAGTTTTGAGCAATGTGGTTACTACGACCGCGTGATTACAGCATGCACCAGTGCTTACAGATTCTGGAGCTTCTCTCCATCATCTTTCGCAACCATGCTCGCGACACAAAGATGCTAGGACGACTCGCGAGGACCTGCAAAGCTTTTCAGGACCCAGCCTTGAACATCCTTTGGCACACCCAAAAGACACTCCTTCCATTATTGAAATGTCTTCCACCAAATGCCTGGGAAATAAAAAAGGGCAAATTTGTGAGCCATATTTCCCAAGACAAAAGCATTTTTTCATACCCAATTCTGTCTATAGAGAATTATCAGGAATCTGACCGCATCTGATTTCAAAAGAATTTACTTTTATTCCCACAGAATCAGTCGGTTTATCTCGGGTTCGCTTCCCCGATATTTTGAAGCACAAGTCCTGCCCATCATTTGGTCACGAAAACCATCTCCAGGCCCTCTCCTGTCTAATGTGACGAAGGTAGTTCTTGTCGACGGCAGCTTCCATGGTCTGGCCATTTATCCTCGCCTCGTAATCGGCCCAAATGTCACAGAAATACGAGTCAGTGTCTTGAGCAATGCCTTTTTGTGGGCGAATGCAACAGCCGTGCTAAGGAAGGCCTCACTACTCAATCTCTCAAGTTTTGCGCTGTTTTCGACTGAAGAATCATCATCTCCAGAGGAGGCTGAGTCGCTAGAGCTCTTGTCCACTCTTCGTGGGGTCAGGAGCTTGAGCTTGAGTGACCCGGTGTTGCTTACATCCCGTGCCATATCCATGATCAGTACATTCCCCATGCTTGAAAATCTCCACCTTTCGGTTACAGAACAGGAGGTGAAGAACTGTGTTCCTTACGTTGGAAACAATTTCCCGGCCATCACTCACTTGGCCATTAGTTCGAAAACCATGAAAGCGTGTCGACTGCTGCTACTGCAGCTTCAGTCAGGAACGTTGCGGTCTTTGACACTTACCCGAGTCGCGAGCGATGCCCACTGGAGCGTAGAATGACTTCTTAAAACACTTCACGAGTGCAACTTGGCGTTGAGGTTGGAAAGCCTGCATATACGCGATCAGCCATGGATGAGCGATACCTTTGGCTTGGAGAACTCTACATCTGAAGAGTCTTTCAATATGGATGGACATGCGTTTGAACACCTAAGTCCCTTCAAGCAGTTGCGCGACTTCCATCTAGAGTCATTTTCCCGGGCCATTGATTTGGACAACGACAACCTCATGAAACTTGCCAAGTCACTGCCTCAGTTGCGTTCACTGGTGTTCTCGGAAACCAATGGCCTAAACAAGGTGCCGGGATGCACATTTACTGGAGTGCAGCATCTTATTCAGTTTTGTCCAAAGCTGGAAAGGCTGACCATTCGCGTTGATGGGCGCCAAATCCCGATATTCGCCACTCAGCTTGATGGAGAATATCCTTCTGGTCTCCACCTTACCACCCTCGATCTTTGCAATTCCCCTATCTTGAATGCTGACGATGTTGCATCCTACCTTACCATGTTGTTTCCAGTCCTTGCGGATTTTTCTACTGCCTATGGCCATGAAGAGGAGGATGCCGACCCTTATCGTGCGATTTGGCTGAAAGTAGGGGAGCTAATGAATCGTCTCATCCCTTGAACACATTTTCCAGTCACAGAGACAAGGATGAGCAACACGAAATCCTGCTCTGTGCACTCGTCGATAACTTATCCGTGCTCCTCAATACTCATTCGCAAACGAAAAGGCGGCAGATCGGAAAGTCCGTGGAAAGTTGCCCAGTACTCCCTGGCGCGATGCAGATGCGAGACGATGAAGATTATCTACTTGAATTCGGGTCCAAATTATGGAATGGTGTCATCCATAACGCGTTTCTGCACATGTCGTCCGTCTTCAACTGTATTTAGGTCCTTACCTCTATATTTGTGTTACATAGGCCTGAGCTCGCGTGCCAGTGGGGAGGAGTTCAATCCAATCTTTGGCAATGCACGAGGCTGCTGCTGGTACCTGCAGCGGCGTGGCCCTGTAAACCTTTGAGTCGCGACGAACCTTGTCCAGCTGAGAAAATATTCATGGCGCTTCACACTCACAACGACGCGACCTGACGCGACACCATCGGATTCCCTACTCTTCTTCTCACATTCATGGCGACCCCATCGACGAACACGAAAACCCTTGATCATATCGTGCATCTGTCTCCACCAGGCTCGATTGAAGAGACGTCGCGACAATTTAGTGATCTTGGGTTCAAGTGAGGGTCAGAAGAGCATATCTATGGACCGGGTTGACTAGATTTCCCATCGCAGGGTTATACCTGGCGGAGAACACGTCGGTGGCTTGACTGCCAATGCGCTCGTGGTTTGTGGTGGAGTACTCAATCTCATGAGGATAGAAAAGCTGACTTGACGGGTCATCTAGGTCTTCGCAGATGGATTGTACCTCGAGCTACTCTCCTTCACGCATGAGCCTTCTCACTACCCTCCTGGATCACCGGCGCGTGTCAAACGCGACACCCACCCTTGGGCGAACAAACCATTAGGCTGGATTGACTACGCGTTTTGGGGGAACGGATCACACACAATTCGAATCTCGGACGTTATCAACGACCGTGCCAAGAAAGATGGAGGCGAGGCGTTCTACGAGGCGGAGGAAGATGGGGGAAGGAAACGAACTGATGGAAAGGTCGTCAGTTGGCTCATATCGGCTCCTCAAGAAAATAAAGAAACTTTGCCGTTCTTTTGTGGGGATATCACACCTCGAGATCTGAGGGTACGTCTCTTGTTGCTTATTGACCTCACCGTTGCTAAAATGAGGTTGTAGGTGCCAACCAAACCGCCAGCGAATGTCCAGCACCCATCAACCACACAGGGAATCGCACACATTCGCATAGTCACTGACGCAAAGTCGTTTCCCGTAATCAGCAAGCAGCTCGCTTCTGTGACTGGACAAGAACCGTTGTCATCTACGCCGATTGAAGCAGTTTGGTCCCTGGACAGTCATTCTACGACCTCTCCTTGGCTCATTCTAAGTACACCTTCTAACGAGCTTGAGAGCGATTTCACCGAGAATGTGGGAACGGGTATAGTTGAGGTCGGTTTTTTTGGTAAAGAAGAGGCCAGATAACGACCGGCATTCCACACCATACGGCAGGATTGTATGGGTCGGTGAAGGGCATGATGATTAACATGGTTCTGAGGTAGGTTCTTGTTCTTTTTGAGGCAGCTCTTTGCTAACTTTTAGAGCAGTTGTTTATAGTAGTCTCTGTTTCCGAGAAAACGGCAATATTCATCTTCTTCGTTCTGCCCTCCCGTAGGTTCTTGTTTACTTGAGACTTTTTGCTGCTAATTGGCGCAGCTAGTTTATGATGGCTGTCAGTGCTCTGGAAAAAATAATATTCACTCCGTTCACCCTTGCGGATAAGCATGATTATCATTTTGACGCCTGCTCGTTAAGTGCCGAAAGTCCATTGATAGCTTACGCGTTCAAGACACCCGATTGAGAGGGTTGGCTCAACAGAAAAGGATTAACATTCAGCTTCTAATTCGAGGTGAGTAGATCTCTAAATAACTCCTTTCTTCTCTAAGTTTACGATTCCGCAAGCGGGAGGTAGAAATCCTTTTTGTTTGGCGATTGACCGCAATGCGGGGGGATCAATACCGTATTGATTTTGGTCTATGCTTTGGCAGCAACCATACGGTTCTCGAAGAAAGGTTCAGGCGATTGTAAAGGAGGCCAGCATTTGTTTTTGTGGAATAAGAGGTGTGTTTACCTCGGCTTTCCCGCGAACCAATATTCTTCTGCTAGTGACGTGGGTCGAGCATGTGCGCAATACTTGTCAGTCTTTGTCAGTCAACGACGGGTTGAATACATATTGAAGAAGCGCACCTTGATTGGTCACGAACACACAAGTCGCGCCCTGCGATTTGAATTAGCGAGCATTAACCCCCTAGGTAATCAAGAAACTTCGTCTCTTGCGCCTACAGAGGCTTTTTAGCTGGTAAAGAACCAATCCAAGAGCTCTTGAGCGACGGCGAGTCTGCCTTCGATTGATGATGTAACCGATGTGAAGAGGGGGGCCAAAAAACAACAGCCCAGCATGGTGTGGTCATATGGGGGTGATTTCGATAGTAGGTTCTTCAGATTGAAGGAAGTTCTTTGCTCATTTGAGCAGCTGAAAGAATGAAGGAATCAGCACCCCGTAACCTTCTCTACTGGCAAGCATGTGATTATCTTCTTCAATTCTATTCCTCAGTAACACTAACGTGTCCAGGTCGTAGTTCTTATAAACAGAAGATGGTTCAGATACAACTCCTAATTCTAGGTGAGTGGAATCGAAACACGAGGAGCCTCGTGAGTCAATGACATCTCTTCTCGAAGTTTAGATCTAATTGCAAGCGAGGCAACGCCTATCCCTTTCTGAGAGACCGAAGCTTGAGTGCCCCAGCTTTACCTAGATTTCAGGGTATTATTTACGTCACGGCTGAAACCTATAAAGACCCTCCTATCGACCTCTCTACCCTCCCCCATCACACAGCATGAAATACCTTTCATCTCTTCTCGTCTTCGCGGCTACCTGCTTAGCGCAAACTTTCCAAGTTTCATACGACACTAAGTACGACGACGGGAGCACTTCCCTCGCCACTGTGGCCTGCTCGGACGGCACCAACGGCCTCCTCACGAAAGGCTTCACGACTTTTGGGTCACTCCCAAAGTTCCCTTATATCGGAGGCTCCTTCGCCATCGCGGGCTACAACTCGCCAGACTGTGGGACTTGTTGGGAGCTTACGTACAATAATGGGGCGGGAGTAGTGAAGAGCATCAACGTCTTGGCAATTGACGTTGCGAAGCCGGGGTTCAACATTGGGTTGGTAGCGATGAATAATTTGACGGGAGGACAGGCGGTTCATCTGGGAAGGGTGCAAGCAACCGTGAAGCAGGTTAACGCATCGATTTGTGGGTTAAAGGTGCGCATCTATGTTTCGACGTACGCGCAAAAGCTGAATCTTCTTCCAGTGACGTGGTTTGGACATGTATTCTATTCTTCGTGACTGCGATGTGAGTTTGCCCTGTCTTTGTTCCTCCACGCCCCGTTTCGTTGATTTTGGACGTTCAGATTTTCCCTAGACACGCGCTGATAACGCTTCTCAATGACACCGACCCCTTACCTCTTTCTAGCTTCCAATCAACTGTATGATTAAGACCACAAGAAAACGAGCAAAGTAAAAACTAGCATGTTGCGGTTGAGGTGAACGATCTGGAAAAAAATAGTCATACTATATATAGTTCATGATAGATACCCTGATACAGCAGCAGTGACCATCCCAGCAATCATGGGCACTAGGAATTGAATATGTAGTAAAAGGCGTTGAAAAGATATCTGTTCTGCCATGTTCGACGACTTCAAGCGCGATGTCGAGAGCAATGCCTAACTTTGAAGCTCTTTTCTTTAGGCCAAGAAAGTTTACCGCCTAAGGTAGGCGACCCCTAGTTTGCTCGGCGTCCTACTGAATCGTTATTTTCTTGAACGTAGTCGCAAAAAAAGCTGAAATTCAACCATGGTACGTATGACAGTCATTCTATTTTTAACACCCAAGGGACTTCCCGATGGTCAGCCATTCCAAAAAGGTATAAAAACCTCGCCAGGATGCGTTCTATGTCTTTCACAACTTGACCTCGGTCTACCACCACCACCTTCACTCAAACCCGCCTTTGCAGCCACACTCCGCTCCCTCCACTAGGCATCCTCTCCATCCTCTCCTCCATCTTCGACGGTTCGACACACAACATCTTCACGCCAGCTTTGCAAGATATGGGCCACGGCGAGCTGCTCAAGGTAACGAGACAAGTCACTAACTCGCCTTGCAGGATCCTGGTTAACATCGCTGGCCATGAATTATTGAGGTAACTATGTCCTTTCCTTTTTTGTGTACGTTAGGCGTGGTGTGGAGGTGGAGGTGCGCACGGGGGAGGTGCGGTGCTGGGGCGACACAGCGGCTCTGTCGTGACCAGCGAGGGGGGCGGTTGATCTCGCGGAGTAGTGGAGGCGTCCGTTTGGCGAGAGGCGGCTTACCACGGGGGGCTGGGACGGTGCCGACACCGTGAACCAGGGCAGTAGCCGTTGAGCGTGGGCATCCATGTCACCGTGAGGAGGCTGGACAGTCGCACGTCTTCGGAGAGGACGGGGTGCTGGGGCGACATAGCGGCTCTGTCGTGACCGGCGAGGCGGGCGGTTGATCTCGCGGAGTTAGTGGAGGCGTCCGTTTGGCGAGAGGCGGCTTACTACGGGGGGCTGGGACGGTGCCGACACCGTGAACCAGGGCGGTAGCCGTTGAGCGTTGGCATCCATGTCACCGTGAGGAGGCTGGACAGCCACACGCCTTCGGGAATTTTCTCTTTCTTTTTTTTTTTCTTTTTCTTTTCTCTTATCACGGGGGAGCTGGGGCGGTCTCGGCCGTGCACCAGGGCAGTAGCCGTTGAGCGTATGGCGCCCATGTCGCCGTGAGGAGGCTGGGTAGTCATACGTCTTCGGAATCGTTCACCAGGTGTGCAACGCCCAATTTTTCCCTTGCTGGTTCTCTTGCGATCCTAATTGTAGGACTCGCAGGAAGTCAGCAAGCGATGCGGGGTTTGCATCACTTGGATGAATTGTTGGCCACTGTTTCTCATGCTACTCAAAACGGACCATTATATTTTATTCGAGGTGGTTGATGCGTTCGTGAGCGACGTGTTTGCATAGACTTCAGCCTTTTGCAGTTTTAACTTGTTAAACGTTGCGTTGACATGACTCGCAACCCATATATCGTTTCTAGCTGATTTGATCAATATCCCTTCATGTTTTAAATGTTACGGAAGTCACCATTGCCTCGATGGCCCAAGTTCAAGGGCAACATCCATTCAACCTGAACCTCCTCGACACTGTAGAGGTACATCAGCTCCTTGCCAATGGGCATATAGGAAGGACAAGAACAGACTGAACCCACCTAAAGAGCAAAACCCACGGCATTTTGATAGCACTGAATAAGCTAGTTAGGAGGATCCCACTCCGAAAACGTTGCTTCGTTGCGGCGACGACAAAGCTTCGCAAATCGAAACCATTAGTGGGTTATTTGGAATGAATTTTTATTTCCCGTCGAATGATCGAGAGGTTGATCAGAAGCACCGAGTTTCATTGTTGATGCGAATGACCGTCCCGTATGGTGTCGAATGTGTAGTATTACGTCGAATGCTGGTTACCTTTGGGTGGCCTTCATCGATTTAGCATGACAATTTTTTCACCCTGCAATGTTCCCCATGATCCATCGTATCATGCAAACGCGCGATGCCTGTTTTGAATCAATAATGAGTCACAGATTCCTTGCACGAAACCCGTGGCGTATACCGACTGGCGTCTTTCTTATTTTCCCGACGTCCACCAAAAAGAACAACACCGGAATTGATAGTAGAGCAATCGTCGCATGTTTCCAGTACTTTGAAAATTGAGGGTAAGGATGAGAAGTTTGTGCATCATGGCGCCACCTTCAGATCGCAACTGGAGCAAACACGTTATCTCAAGCTCCACCCCTTCTTGGCCTTGCCAGGGCCCGAGCTGGAGCTAATTGGCATAACTTCCAAGTCGTTCCTCACACAATGGACACGGTCGGTTATCATCCCGTCAGCGATCTTTCGACCGCGGTGGCATCCGAAATCAAGCAAGTAGTTTCGTTATGAAAGCGCTTGGAAAGCACGCTAATTTGCTCTCTCTGAAGAGAATGGCACTTTCGTGCGTCGTAGATCCGTAATTCACGTCGACTCTCTCTAATTGTCTTTCTCCATCTGGCGTTACAATTTTGGTTGTTTTACTTGCCTGCAGACATTTACTTTCATCAACGAAATGCCATTGAGCATGACGCAGCTCTTCAACTACGGGATGCCGTTCTTCGCCTCCGTCGCGATGGTGCATTTGTTGCAGTACCTCTCTTCCGAGTCAACTCAGAACCCATTGGGCCTCATCCCGTTGGTTCGTCACCAACTTTCGACGTTGTGATATGCATCGATTGATTCACCTTTCCCTCAGGTTCGTATGAGATTTGGGTGCCGTCCGAGACCTTCTCTGCGGTCTTCTCATATCTTTGTTTGAACAGAGGCAATTTGAGGTGCGGAACCTTCACTTGATAATCATCAGAGAGGAAGTGGTGACCGATTAAATTCTCTGGTCTGACACAGCATTTTGGTACATCCCCTAACACGAGAACAGGTTGGTAAAATATATTTCTGTGGTTGATCCAGATCTAACTCAACTTAACACACTCACAGCGAAAGTAAATAGAGCACTGTTTGCATTCTATTGCAATACGTCTTACGGTCTCTCGCAGGGATCACGAGACTAGAAACGCGTGGATGGGCCCATCTTTTCCTCTTGATCTCTCTACACTTCCCCTGCGGAGTGATGAGATTCCTCTGCAGTATCCCATCCTCAGTATGTAAATCTCTCACTGATCCAAGAGACGAACTCACCGGCTTTGGGCACCCAGAACTTGGTTACTCAGCCGCGCCCCAACTCACTCTCGAGCAACGGCTCAAAATTGGAGCGAACGTCGAGCATATTCTTAGCACCGAGAAGGAAGCAGCTCGAGCCCCTCCTCGGGAATAAACTTGTATAAGTTTCAGTGCTAGGCAGTATCCTCGGTCAATTCTTGTTTCCGCAGCATCACCAGCAGATCTTTGTATTCAATATGTGCAAATACATAATTGAAGTCAGTTTTCACTTCGTCTCCTGCTCAATGCTTTGTAAGATGATTCTATGTGACCGAGAGCAGCTTTGTACTGTGAAGCCCAAAACTTAGATTCAATCTTCTCAGTAAGTAAACGGTATAGATAATAGATTGGAGGCATATTGGTTTAAGTCACAAGTATGTACTGGGGTAACCACGTCAAAGTATGAAAGAGGTATCCAAGATTCCAAAATGAGGGTTTCTCGTGCGGGTAGGTAATAGGTATCCTATGGGGAGTTTGAATTGTGAAATAGTCCTCAAAATTACTATTATGTGTGCGGAAGATCGTAACAAGTCGTTGATTTTGCGTGAAGTCCGATCAAAAGTTCAAGTCCAAGTAGGTTGTGAATTTGAAAAATTAGGTTCCGTCCAAATGTCAAGAGATCAGGAAAAGGTCCATTTGAAGTCACAAGAGTTTTAACAGTGCCAGTTTGCCTGTGGAAACCGCGGAATGTTATGAGGACGCAAATTTTGGAAAAAAAGTGCATGTGCTTACATCAGGGGTCGAGGGCGCGGCCACGCTTTGATAAGGAGCTTTGCCTAAGCACTCGGCAAGTGTGACGAGCCTGTACCCCGCAGCCTGAAGCTTCTTAATAGCGTAGGGCAATACTTGATGCCTGAATAGAAAGAAAAGTCAAATAAAGCTGAAATAAAGACGGTGATCACGAAGCAACGTACACAGTAGTTTCTGTTGTTGAAGTCGTAGAACGTCAGCTATAAGTTCAATTATTAGAGAATGTGTGTACCAATGGTTTCGTGGTTCAGCGGGAGTATGGTACTTGGGTGACGTGCGATGATTTGGTCGTACAAGTTCTTCGATGTAGCCACGCTTGCACCTCCTGAATCGCCAGAGCTATTGAAGCAGTCGTTAGTCTAGCATTCACAACGGGGAGGAGAAACGTACTCAAAGTCCCAGATGACTACAGATTGGCCACGAATACCAGATGCCTCCAAGACCATGTCATTGTAATTTCCATAAGCTGGATGTTGCGGGGTAAAAAATAAGAGCAAGGCTAAAAGTGGAAAGGCGTACGGGGTCGCATAAAGGCCGGGTAAGCTCCAGTGATTCTCATCAGTGCCTCTGCCGGATTTTGAGAATGAGATTAGTGAAGAAAGAGGAATGGAGATATTTACGTTCAACGCGCCACATCTCGTCGTGAACTGATAGATGATGAATGAAGAGCTAAAATAGGGAATTCAAATCGTAACTCACTCTGATCCCAAGTCAGAGTCGTAAGGTCTTTGTGGGCCCAAGTGTGCGATGCGACTTGATGACCAGCGTTGTACGCGAATTTGACACGCTTGACTTCCTCTGGGTCGTAAATACAGCCCCCTAGGTAACTCTTCGGTTGACCTATTCAAGAGATCGTGTAATGGGGTGTGCGTACAGTTATTTCCATCTGTGTCAGAATTTTGAGCGAGACCGCGACTACGCTGCAAAGAAAAGGACGTACTGAAGAAGAAGGTGCCTTTCGCCCCGGCTCCTGTCAACGCGTTGCTCACGTCGTATCTGAATCAAGTCAGTGATGCAATTTGATCAAGTACTGTATTGTTCGTACAGGTAGACCCAAGGGCCATCGTCCTAGTCAGAAATTCAGATGGGAAGGGGTTTAAAATGTAAGGTCACTAACAAAGGTAAGAGCGACAGTGTTAGGAACTGTACACTTGGTGATGACCTGGGCTTTTGCACGACGCTCGAGAGGAGTTGCAACCGCCCCAATGACTGCAAAACAAAGCGTCAATGCTGAGGAAAAAAGCATTATGAGGAGGGCGGGGAAGGAGGGAGGGGCGGTGAGCAAATATCCCGTACCTGCGCTCTATATACCACTGGGTCCTGCATTATCATCAAATAGGACTTGGACTCGGCATTGACAGGTGGCCTAGATCTTCTATCAGAGTCCTTCCAGCAAAACAGGGAAGCGAAAGAGCGTAAAGCTAGCTGGACGAATGGGGAAGAAAAACCTGAAAACTTGGCAATTGATATATAAGTATGAGAAATCATTGAGCCCAACTTCAACTTACCACTGACATCAGTCCTGACGATCCTTGCCTTAGAACCGAGTCATCTGAGTGTGCTCAATTTCAATTCGCTTCGATTCGCATCTTTTCGGCGTCCATAGAACACTCAATGACTGTTTGTACATTGGTCCTACCCACACGAGTAACAAGGCCCCCTAATGCCGGTGATGGGAAAAAAGTAAGGTCCGACACGACGTCATATTCAAATTGGATCATTTGAGGGGAGCTAAGTGGGGAAATCACGAGAGCAGTGTGGGGGTGAAGCGGGATTGAAGCGATGCCAAGAGCAAGAAGGGGCCAAGCCTTATGGCAACAGGGAGTGACCAGCTTCGTTTTCTCGGCAAACACCGTTATTTGTCCACTTGCCGAGTTGCTGCCGCGTATAATTATTACAAAATACTGTTTTCCCACGATAATTACCTACTCATGGCTTGTATATGTCAAGCATCCACTGAAAAACAACAGTTCTGAGAGTGCATCAGTGATGATGGGTACACAACTTCCTGCCTATTTAGTTTGGAAATTTGTTTGTCAGCTCTGTATTATGGTACTTAACCTTCTGAATTGTTTTCTACTGATGTTACCCAGCTTTCAGCCTGTTGCAATTTATCCAACTATGAGAGGTTCAATGTCAAAGGATTAGTAAAAAATGTATTGGAATTCATTTTATCTCATGGTTCCTTTGCAGACTTTGAAAATTTTCAGAATGGTGGTAAGGTAGCTGAGAAAATCTTTTGAATATCCTTACTGCAAGTTTAAGGACTATGGGTTTAAGGACTATGGGTATACTTATGTTTTAAACTCCCACTAGGATGTTCACTCTACATATTTTCTTGTATTCCACAAATTAATTGATGAGCTTCTGAATGTCCTTTCTTGCTGATGCTGATTCTCCACTACAGTCATGTTTTTTAGTCAGAGAAAGTAAAAAATGCCTCATTCAAAGTATCACACCCAAGGGGCTGCGAGCGGAAGATCCCGAGAAAACGACTCCCTTCGTCTTGTCCCATCAAAGTCCCAAAGGAGTTGAATCCAGGGTCCAATATATCAGGCAGGTAAGACTAAATCAAGCCAGCTTCACTTCAATATCACTCGCCGCAAAACCTGGTTGATTGCTCATTGCTCCTCGCGTTCCTACCCACTGTAGCATACCACTGTGAGTCAAAACAAGTAGGACTAGTAACTTGCTGCGCTTCGTAGTAGCTGCGCCGTAGTCAAAACATGTAGAATCAATAACGGGCGCAGCATTGAGAAGAATCCGTATAAATACCACGCAAGACAGCATTCCCTGCTGCAGACACCCCAGAACAAAAGGTTTATCAAATATATCGACACCATGAGCCGCCGAGAAACAAAGATTTATACCGCTTTACCCAAAACTCCCTCTGAGACGGTGCAATTCCAGATGCCGTCAGGTGCTTCCGTCAACTACGCTATCTTCCAAGAAATTGGAACCAGCACATTACTTGTACAATGCGATCTTTGCAACAGATACCTCCCGCTTACAAAACATAAATCTACAATTCACTATCAAAGACACCGGGGGAGTATGATTTGCAGGGATGTTCAAGATCAAAACAATGCTGCTCGTCTCGACATTGCTACTCCCATTCAATCACAACCTGGAACGACATTCATCAACTCTTTCCAAGAACCGAGATTCAGTAGAAGTAACTCGCCACTTACCAATTCAGCTTCCCCTTCCACTACACCGACACAAACCTCATTTTCATTTGATTATCCATCCCACAATGTGCCTGCGCTGCGGACATCTACGTGGAAGAAGAGGTTGCGATGGTGGAGTCATCCACAAGAGAATCCCGAAAAAGATCGATATCGATCCAATCAGCTTCTCGAGATGAATCCCCCACAAAACGGCATCAAGGCTTATAATAAAATAGTGTTTCTACAAATAATTGGACAGTTTCTATTAGTTACGCTGTATATTTAGTGTTACCGTGAATACTACAAGTCTATCGCATTGTGTACGGCGTTATCTTCACGCTGATTTAGTCTCCCATATCCGACCCTGGATTCAACTCCTTTGGGACTTTGATGGGACAAGACGAAGGGAGTCGTTTTCTCGGGATCTTCCGCTCGCAGCCCCTTGATCACACCTGGGAAAAGCAGTGATTTGCAAATGTACCAGAATATTTATTCCCTTCTGAGTGCTTGTAATTATTACAGGACATACAATAACTTACCCCCAGAATTTCAATGATACTAAAGGCATTTTAGTTTTTTTTGCTGTTTTTTTCAGCATGAGGAGTGCTGCAAATTTGTGGTGAAGAGAATCAAATTACTTTCTTCAGTCTTAACTGCTTAAGTTTTCTTCACCATTCTTCAACTTTGCACAGTGGCTGAAAAAGAATTTTGAATTTCTTTTTGACTAATTTTTTGAACAGTATAATGTGACTGGACAGCATTGGTAGAGCATAAGTATCATAATATAAAGCAAATAGACACAAGATTGTGTACTTAGCATCTCCGCACTCTCAGAACTGTTGTTTTCAGAATGTGCTCAACATTTTACGAAGATAGTTATTGTGGGAAAATAGTATTTTGTAATAGTTATGTCCGTCACGCATCTCGGCAGGTGGACAAACAACGGTGTTTGCCGTGAAAATGAAGCTGGTCACTCCCTGTTGCCATAAAGCCTGGAAAACGCTTGTGTATAACAACAGCCAGCGAGAGGCTAGAGCTCAGGAGACAGGGTGGGAGCACTAGTTCAAGGATCCTCTCAAGACTCGTGACCACTTTCTTTTCTGGACTCGGACATATGGCAACAGGGACCAGCCAGCTTCAATATCACGGCTAAGACCGATGTTTGTACACTTGCCGATCAATATGCCGAAATAAATTAACTATTCTATAATATAATATTGATATTGCCCATCAAATATTTCGCAATGTCAATTATCGCGCTCCAAAGCGCCAATTCACCATACAGTGTCCATCTCGTATCTTCGTTGATTCGAGAAACTCTTCGATTTCTAAAGCTACCGTCTCCTACCAAGACCTCCTTCCCTCTCATCTCTCACTGCCCGTTCTGTCACTCCGACAGCAGAAAGGTTCGCATTACGTCATATACCTCTGCTACTAGAACACTCTTCAGGTTGCTGCAGGTCCAGCTGCGTTCTCGCTTAATGCACCAACAGAAATTTCCGAGAAGCTCTTCGTGAAAACTTACCGACGATGAGTGATTGCCCGATTCACCCGACACCATTCATGATGACGAGGACACTCAACTACGAGACAAGACGATTCCTGGCTCCCTCGCATCCTCCTTCTGGACGAAGAAGTGAGGATTCAATATTCATTCCCGAACAAGCTTATCAGCCGTTCCGGGCTCTGCATACCGACCTCGCTTGCATTCCAGGGATTTGGAAAGGAGGAGCTTAAGCGCGAGGGATGATTAGGCCCAGCAGCAGGAGGGATGAAAATTAGAGCCATACGCAAGACGTGCGGTATGTGGCTTCGACTTGTTCATTTTTGTTGGCTAATAACTGAGGTGAACGACACTCCACTCTCTTACATGGACAGTGGTCTCAGCACCCTCCTTAGTCACCCTGTTTTGGTCCAACCATTGGCCGTAAGTCTGACACCCAATGTTATTCAATTGTTTCTAATCTCTCTTTTATTGGTTCGTCCACCAGCTTTCCCAAAGTTGGTCAACTGGCTGCTTTCAGCGCCTCCGTACTCATCCATACACACCACCCTGGTTCGTGTCCGACAGTTCACCATTCCGCCGCCAACCCAAGTTCACCGTTCCACCACCACCATTCCACTGCCAACCCAAGTTCACTGTTCCACCATCAACCCAAGTCTCGTCGATCCGAAGCGTTCCCACGTCGGCTCGCCCGCTGCCTGTATATCAACGGGCAGCTGTGCGGGATAGAGAGGTAACGCACTGAACTATCCAGCGCAACGTATACAGCAATACTACCCTACCGTAGCGGTACCCGGCTGTCGGCCCGTCGTGCATTCAAAACCATCAAACACGACCGTCTGCCTCATGACTTCTATGCACAGTAGTCGAGCCACTATGGTGGAACACGATTTGCGCAGCTCAACATGTAGTTATTCTTTCCTCATCTGCCAACTTTCTAATCATCTTGGAGTTGACTTAACGTTAATATTTCAACGTCCCCATCTCGACAATATTTCCGTATAAACGTTCAACTCCTCTAACGCGATGACCCACTGACGATTTTCCTTGGGTTGCCAATGTCCTTTCGAACGCTGCATGTCTCCTAACACCCTTCCTTCCCTTTTCCTGCATCCTAATCGTTGTGCTGGACAGGTGTGACCACCGGCCAACGAGATCGCATTGTCACCTTTCCGCTCGACGTTCTACAGGCCATAATTGTATGTTTTGTATGTAGTGCAGAAGTTATACATGATACCGTGACAACATGCTATACATAAGTAGATAGGTCCGTACTAGACTGCATAGGTTTTGCGTAGTAAGTAAGATGTCAGCAATGAGGCACTGGTGGATCGGTAGTTTCACGGCTTCATGAAGAAACACTAATCTGAGTTGGCGCAGGTCAGTTACTTAGACCTGCCAGTGGAGGTGCATCCACTTTGGAAATCAATAGGAAATTGTTATGGGACAAAATATTTGATGGACAATATCAATATTATATTATAGAATAGTTAATTTATTTCGGCATATTGATCGGCAAGTGTACAAACATCGGTCTTAGCCGTGATATTGAAGCTGGCTGGTCCCTGTTGCCATATGGACAGGACGAGTCTTAGCTCACAAAGATCAGATCCTCTGGAGCATGGTTTTGCAGTCTTTGACCGAAGTGACGGGCTGAAAACAGCTGAGGCAAGAACGCACCCTTCCATGACGCCAACGGTCAGACTAAAGAGTAGCAGGTCGGGACTTGGTTGGGATTCAGGATGAAGACGCTTTGGTGTTGCCACACGCATTCGGCTATACCCGGCAGCGCTTATCTTCTGTGATAAGCATCTCCGACATGCTACTCTATGCTACTCTTTTCAAGGTTCATCGTCACACACAGTTTATTACTGGGTATACGTCCAATAAGAAATAAGACTTGCATTGCAACATAGACAATTATGATGTAGTTTGCAGCTTCTTGAAATCCAGAGGATAAACAGGTCCATTACTCGGAGACTCACATCCGTCGGCAGCATCGGACCTTCTCGAGCCTCGGACCTTGCACGATTGCGATTCGTACAGTCTCGATAACAAGATAGACTGCGAGGAGCTCGAGAAACGGTTGTCTGTAGAATCTGTCAATGTCTCGAGATACCTCGAGATCGTTAAAATGAACCAACGTTCGTGTTGATCAGCCAATCGGTCATGGTCAGGTACGTATGTATTGAATCTTCATCGCTGCAGTTATCGGGCGCCAAAAGGCGCCAATCATGTTCGAAGGAGGGGAGAAGCTGGGAGAAGAGCACCATAGTCAGGGTATCACCGGTGGCTGTACCCGAGATTTGTTCGTCAACAGCGATGATTTCGGTGTGATAAATATTTTGTTCCAGGTCTTGTCCGTCATCTCCTGGCACCACACGTTCTTCCTTACCACCACCACTCCATCCTTTCATGCAATAGTTTATATATCTTCTTTCTTTATTCTCTTTCTTCGCATCATGTACCACAACAATTCTATCAGGATCTTGACGGGTGAGCGCAAGCCCAATAACATGACCAGGAGCTCACCGTCTTCGTAGGGAATAGCCACCCTGAGCTCGCCCAGTCCGTGACCGAGCGGTGAGCTGCATCTTCGCGAGTCGCGCGCTCGGCCAGTGATTCACACCACTGCAGCCTTAATGTGCCCCTCGTACCTTGCACTGTTAAAAAGTTCTCCAATGGCGAGACCAACGTCAAAATTTCCGAGTCTGTCCGGGATGAAGACGTCTTCATCATCCAATCCGGGTGTAGCGACGTAAACGACAACTTAATGGAGCTCCTCATTCTCATTTCCGCCTGCAAAACCGCCTCCGCTCGTAGGATCACTGCCGTCATCCCGTGCTTCCCGTACGCCCGCATGGACAAAAAGGATAAATCCCGCGCGCCTATCACGGCGAAGCTCGTTGCAAATATGCTCGTGGTGGCTGGATGTGATCATGTTATTACCATGGACCTCCACGCCAGCCAAATACAGGGCTTCTTTGATATCCCTGTGGATAACCTCTGGTCTGAACCGCTAATCATTGGTTACATCAAGCGACAAATTCCCGGTTGGGAAAATAGCATCATTGTCAGTCCAGATGCTGGTGGGGCCAAGCGGTGAGTCACATCTCTCCTTCAGTATGACGCGAAAACTTAGTCTACCTTAGCGTAACAGCTATTGCAGACAAACTCGGAGTCGAGTTTGCTTTGATCCACCGAAAAAAAGATGGGAAGTCCCTCACTGCTCCCGACAGGATGGAACTTCTTGTCGGAGATGTTAAGGACAAGGTAATTGTATTGCATCCTGATCCATCGTCCTTGACACTAACGACTCACCAGGTTGCGCTCTTAGTGGACGACATGATAGATTCGGGCACTACCCTAACTTTGGCGGCGCGCACACTCCAGGAGAAAGGTGCCAAAGCAATATACGCCCTAATTTCTCATGGTGATTATTCTCGTCTTTTTCGTATCGACTCAGTCATTGAGACAGCTATTTCAGGTCTCCTCTCAGAGACAAACGTGAGCCTGATTGATGAGCTCCCCATCGTTCAGCTGGTCGTCACCAATACGATCCCACAAACTCAACATCAGGCCCTTTGCAAAAAACTCGTCACAATTGACGTCAGCCCCATCATTGCGGAGAGCATTCGTCGGACGCACAATGGCGAAAGTATAAGTCTCCTATTTGGAGAATGGGCGGAGACGACGGGGGTGGAGGTACTTTAGACTGTGGAGAGCCGGTGATCGGAGGATAAAAATAAAAATAGAGATCTGGTAGGTCGACGCTGGGCTAACCAGACACCCAATCGGAGCATAATTTCATGGCTCGGATGTGGATATAATATAACAATATAGGTGGATACTGGATACCGCAATCCAATACATACACCAATGTAGCGACCAGTTCGTGCAAATATTATAGGTCCTATCGGAGCGTGTCTCACCAAATCGAGAGTTTTTGCCACCGTCAGTACTCCTTTGCTCGATCTTTGATGATGATACCTTTGTTGACATTAAACTTTCTAGATAGTTGATGCTTTCATTGCATTGTACACTCTGTTACTTGAAGAAACGAGAGAACCACGAGGGTTCATTCCCCTATCTGGCAGGAAACATTCACAATATCTTTTTGACACTACCCACCGAACATTCGGAGATCCACCTCAACGACTGCTGTGACGGAAATTGAATCGATCTTAGCCAGATTGCCAGAAAGAGACACTGGTTCTACATAAAATTGGAACAATGTAAAGGAACGCGTAAACCTCTACATTAGTACATACAGTTCAAAATTTAGGTGTTATGAAAAAGCTGGGAACAAAGTTTCCTCCCTTCGACAACTGCAAACGATGATTTCCATTCAAAAAGTAGCGATGATCTTGCACCCAATGTCTAACATTTCGCTGTGGTCCTCTGCTTCCCATGCTTCCAACGTAGAAGAAGGCAATGATATCGCATCTATGGGCAATCCGGCCGCGTTACTAGACCGAATTAAGTCACGGTAGGGTTCAAAGTGCCGCCATTCCCGAAGCTGGAAGGCTACATGATGTAGTTTTGGCCATAAATGCTCGTTTACCGCCGTTGACGGGAGTTCAAATGGTGGGGCGATGGATCCTTCCTTGTAACTGATCGATAGTTGTTCTACAAGCGAGGTTTTGTGAACAAAGCATTGGAAAGACTCTAGGTCAGATTCGAGGGGGAAATTGTTCAACGATAGGTTCCTCAAGGTTGGAAAGGGTTCTGGATCTCGAGGAAATAAAGTGAAGTTCGCGTGATGGAGGGTGAGGGTGTTCAGGGAAGGCGCGACGAGTTTTGTCAGGAGAGAATCTATAAATTCTTGGTCACGGCCAAGCTCAAGCTCTTCTAAATTGGACATAGCAATGGGGTAAGTCACATGGGGATCCCAATTTGAGCCGATCGTGTACCCGAGGATCGAAAGATGTGTTAGAGAGGGAATGGCCGCAATCTTGAGGAAAGCGTTCCAAGTGAACCACCCTCGAAAGACATGGGGACAATTGAAATGTAAAGTGGTGATGGAGTTGAGAGGCGGAAGGCATACGAGAGGGTTGATGTCATCCACATAAACGGAAGTGAGTTTGGGAGCTCCTCTTTTGAATATGGCAGGTTGGATGTCATCCAGCAGATCATCTTGAAAGAAGTCATATGGAGAGAGACAAAAGCACTCTAGGTTGGGAGCGGCCAATGATGTCAATTGGTTAATCCATTTTTCAAAGATGCTCTCCGACAATACCACAACGCTGATTTTTCGCCAGCGTTCAACATAGGGAATTGTGGCGTTAAGCAATGCCGCCCGTCCCGCCTCAGTGACGGAATCGACCTTGACCACGCCAGGGTAGGAGAAATCAAAGTTGAACTCAAGTAGATGGAGCGGGCCAGCCCTATGAAGGTATGTGTCGAATCTATCCCTGGCCGTGCGCCAATCATCTTTGTCATCAAATGTGAAGGTGGTCCAGAGGTTTGGGAGACGAATGGCAGTATCCCTCCAATTCTTGCAGACGTGCGATATTGCAAGAACTATTCGATCTCGCTGTTTGCCGGGGTAGTATTCGTCGTCTACAGACGACTGGAGATTGTCGACTGCTTCTAAAAATATGATGCAAAGGGTTTCGTTAGGAAGGGAGGAAATGGGGGGAATTGTGGCATTGTAGAGTGTTCCGTATTCGACCCGCACCCCGGCGATTTTTTCCGCAAGGGCATCCGCCTCAAGTAAGAGCTTATCTCGCTGGGTCTCTAGTATAACCCTCTTGCTTGCCAGTTTATGGAGAGACGACTGGACGTTGTCTTTGGTTCCAAGGATACCTGTCGTCTGTTGGCCATTTATCAGATGAACGCGTCTTGGACGGACAAGAAACTCACTTGATCACTGTTCATTCTAGTCCAGGGGATGATCGATCTAGTTACTGATCTTTTGCACAAGGTAAGATTGCAAGCCGTTCGAGCCCGCCGGTCTTTAAGTACACGGCAGCAAGCGTTGACCCTTACATGAGTAATCAATGACTCCGAGGCCACGTTTTCCACTAATCTGTTGAAAGGTCAATGGATCACAGCCAATGTTTAGACACGATTCCACTTACGAATTCAGGCTGTTAGCAGCTATGGACAGGTCAATCAGATGGACTTTGCATAAAACAATGTGCATCTAGAATTTATCCCGCTTATACGGAGTACACAATAGAAGGTGATCAAGAAACCGAAGGCGGGACGCGGATGGTGATGTTCTCTACGACATACTCTGAATCTGCATAACCAAGCACCTGAGAAAGATGTGAGCTGTAGATGTAATCAGATAGTCGGTCAATATTAGTTTTGATGTCAGTAGAATGTCAAATATGCACCTATTCAATCCTTTCACTCTGACAATCTGCGCCGAGTTGTAGTTTGCTAAACCCCTCCCAACCTCTAGTATGTCTTCCTCTACATGTGCGACCTCTTCCTCGCGTTGGGCAGGTGTCAAGTCATCTTCCGAAACCTCACTGCTCCATTGAGTGGGCGTATTCGGGCGGGTGATCTCAAGCGCCCGTGCGTATGCTTTCCTCTCATCTTCCTGCTGCCCTCCATGGCGACGAATGACAATTCTCACAGCCTGACCAGAAGCAAATGCGCCTACGACACCCACCACGCCTGCCGCGAGCAACCTGCCACCCGATTCACGTTTTGACAGGACGTAATGTGCACCTGCGTCGATGATCACGCTACCGGATGGGAACAGCGTGTGGCTAGTCCATGATTTTAGATCTCGCATGGGCGTTGGTGACGCCGTAAATAAAGTGTGTGGAGGACGTGGAAGGGGAGCAGGGGAAGAGGTGCCGCTAGATGGTGTGCTGGAGCTATATTGTTGGTGTTGGGGACCAGAGGTATCATGACCTGGCGAAGGGAGAGAAGCCGTTGAAGCAGAGAGTGGCCGTGTCATGGGAGAATATCGTGCGTGGTATTCGATGATGCTGAAGATATTTTCTGGTCTTTTGCTTGAGGTAATAATGGTCGTTACACCAGCTGCCGTGGCGATTTCAGCTGCAATGAGTTTTGTCTCCATCCCTCCAGTCCCAAGGCTGGAGCCGAGCGTCGTGGTACTAACTATTAAGAGCATGAGTATGGTCATCTTGGATGACGTAGAGATCCCACCTTCCAAACGTATGGCAGATATCGAATTCACTACCTCGATCTGCTTCGCAGAAGGATCTTTTCGTGGATTCGATGTATAGAGCCCGTCCACGTCCGTCAGAAGAAAGAGGTAGTCCGCATGAATCATTGAAGAGGTTATGGCAGAAAGGGTATCATTATCTCCAAATTTGATTTCCTGTGGAAACGTATGACCTTTCTGACAAAGGAAGCTAACTCTCGCCACTCACGCTGACGGAGACCGTGTCGTTCTCGTTAACGATTGGGACGACACCCATCGAGAGTAATTCTTTGAAGGTGTTGACGGCGTTGAGATACCGCGTTCGCTACTTGAGATGGTTAGGATGTAGCCGTAATGCGAGCAGAAAACAGAACATACATCCGAGATGTCGCCTCTCGTCAAGAGAACTTGTGCTATCGGCTGCTCCAATTGCCCGAAGAGGTTATCCCATAATGCGATTAATCTTCCTTGCCCAATCGCTGCCAATGCCTGCAATCCGCTCAATCAAAAGTTCATTGCCGGTCGAGGTCAAACAAACCTGCTTCCCAGAAAGACTCTTTGGTCGATTGAGCATGTCCATGCGCTTTAATCCGACCCCAATGGCGCCAGAGCTCACGAGGACGACTTTGTGCCCCTGTCTCTTGAGTTGCACAACAGTTTCCACGATGGAAGACAAGGTCGACAACAGTGGCTGATGTGTCGTTTCATGAACGATGGAAGAGGTTCCTAACTTGACAATTGAAGATAAACCAGCTGTATTTCATTGGCACCCACCAAGCTTGATCACGATGGTGCATGGTGGTCCTCCCATGCGTGAGCGAGTCATCGCTGTGTTAAGAGTCGAATCCTCTCGAAAACCTCAGGGGTAAGTATTGGAATGAGTTTCCGTTACTGTTCTACTTATGTCGGAAGCAAATAAAGATCTGTTGGAAGTGAGTTGAGGAAGAAAATTTACGCATGTTGATTATCGGGGCATCGTGGTTCTGGAGCCTGATCCCCACTTTTCACTGAACATTTCTTGATCTTGATGTCGTCCATTTGACTGTTGGTGCTGAGGAAGATGGTCGACGCCAATGGCGTTGTAGAAAGGTGCGCCATTTCCAAGTTGAAGTTCATATTCTTCTGATAAGCGTTTAGCTTCAGGCTCTAATCCCAGACGTCAGTCGTCCCGAAGCTATCGTTTCCGTTCATTGCATGTCAGACCCTCCGTAAAACCGCCAGCGCCGCGCTCCCCTTTCCGAAGACTCTGCGTTAAGGCTCCTGAACGACAATCTACACGCTCCAGCTTTTTTCTATGCCACCATGCCTCGTCCTTTCCAAATCCATCATTCCACCACTTATATGGCTATGACGAAACTAAGCAACACCCGACAGCCCGTCCCTTCCACCAAGCCGTGTTTATGAGTATCCTACACGGTGCTCTGTAACCGCTGGTGGTCGTGGACTCCTTAAAGGAAACAGGCTGGATGAAGGTCGTATAATTTGCAATCGGAGCCTATGACGATATCTCCATCTGTATAGTGCCAGGTATCGAGTATATGGTGGTGCTGCTTTGACGCACTTATACAAGGATTCAGAAGGGCGCCATGACAAAAATTTGGCCCTCCATCCCACATTTTCCAGGGTACGTACCAGCAGTGGTAAAATTTGAGCCAGGAGGAGACCGGATCCCAAACGAGCACTCTGCCAGTACCTTTCATGAGTGTTCTGTCGTTGAGGAGGTTGAAAGAAATATACACTACATAGTAGGTCCGCTAAGTACTAGTATGGATCTCTGCTACAAACTTCTCATCCTTACCTTGATTCTCAAAGCATTAGAAACATGCGATTGCTGCTCTTCCATTAATTCCAGGAAGAGAAAGACACCAGTCGACCTTTTGGGTCGCCTTCATCAATCTGCCATGACGAAATTTTCAATCTGCAATGTTGCCTACAAGTTCCTCATCGTACTATCATATGATGCCGGCGGAGACTTGATCAATCAGAGATCCTTCAAGTTGCACGAAATTCACAGCATATATGTCTAGAACTTTAACCAGCATTCGGCACCATACGCATTCCATACGGGACGGTTCACATCAACGATGAAACTCGGTGCTTCTGACCATTCTCAACCTCTCAACCATTCGACGCGGAATAACAATCCAACTTCATTCCAAATTACGGTACTGATGGTTTCGGTTTCCGAAGCTTTGTCGTCGCCGCAACGAAGCAAAGTTTCGGAGTGGGATCGTCCTAACCAGCTTATTCAGTGTTATTTAAATGCCGTGGGTTTTGCTCTCCAGGTGGGTCTGTCTGTTCTTGTTCTTCGCATATGCTCATTGGCGAGACAGCTGATGTGCTTTTTGCAATGTTGAGAAGGTTCAGTTTGAATGGATATTGCCCTTGAACCTGGGCCCATCGAGGCAATAATATGGTAAGTAACTCCCATGACACTTAGAATTGAAGGGATATTGATCAATTCAGATAGAAACAGTATATGGGTTGCGAATCATGTCAACGCAGCGTTTGACCGCGAAGTCTATGCAAACACGTCGCTCACGAACGCCTGTCCAACCTCTTGGAATAAATTATAGTGGTTCGTTTTGATGCTACTCAACCTCCGAGATACAGTGGCTAACAATCCCTCCAGATGATGCAAACCCCTCATCGCTTGCTGACTTCCTGCGAGTCCTACAATTAGAATCGCAAGAAAACCAGCAAGGGAAAAATTGGGCGTTGCACACGTGGTGAACGATTCCGAAGACGTATGACTACCCAGCCTCCTCACGGCGACATGGGCGCCATACGCTCAACGGCTACTGCCCTGGTGCACGGCCGAAACCGCCCCAGCTCCCCCGTGATAAGAGAAAAGAAAAAGAAAGAAAGAAAAAAAAAGAAAGAAATTTCCCGAAGGCGTGTGGCTGTCCAGCCTCCTCACGGTGACATGGATGCCAACGCTCAACGGCTACCGCCCTGGTTCACGGTGTCGGCACCGTCCCAGCCCCCCGTAGTAAGCCGCCTCTCGCCAAACGGACGCCTCCACTACTCCGCGAGATCAACCGCCCGCCTCGCCGGTCACGACAGAGCCGCTATGTCGCCCCAGCACCCCGTCCTCTCCGAAGACGTGCGACTGTCCAGCCTCCTCACGGTGACATGGATGCCCACGCTCAACGGCTACTGCCCTGGTTCACGGTGTCGGTACCGTCCCAGCCCCCCGTGGTAAGCCGCCTCTCGCCAAACGGACGCCTCCACTACTCCGCGAGATCAACCGCCCCCCTCGCCGGTCACGACAGAGCCGCTGTGTCGCCCCAGCACCGCACCCACCCCGTGCGCACCTCCACCTCCTCACCACGCCTAACGTACTCAGAAAAAGAAACATCATAGTTACCTCAATAATTCATGGCCAGCGATGTTAACCAGGATCCTGTTAGGCGAGTTAGTAACTTCGTTCCATTACCTTGAGCAGCTCGCCGTGGCCCATATCTTGCAAAGCCGGCGTGAAGATGTTGTGTGTCGAACCGTCGAAGATGGAGGAGAGGATGGAGAGGATGCCTAGTGGAGGGAGCGGAGTGTGGCTGCAAAGGCGGGTTTGAGTGAAGGTGGTGGTAGACCGAGGTCAAGTTGTGAAAGACATAGAACGCATCCTGGCGAGGTTTTTATACCTTTTTGGAATGGCTGACCATCGGGAAGTCCCTTGGGTGTTAAAAATAGAATGACTGTCATATGTACCATGGTTGAATTTCAGCTTTTTTTACGACTACGTTCAAGAAAATAACCATTTAGTAGGACGCCGAGCAAACTAGGGGTCTCCTACCCTAGGCGGTAAACTTTCTTGGCCTAAAGAAAAGAGCTTCAAAGTTAGGCATGGCTCTCAACATCGCGCTCGAGTCGTCGAACATGGCAGAACAAATATCTTTTCAACGCCTTTTACTATTTAATCCATGATTGGGTCACTGACACTGAATCAGGGTATCTATAATGAACTATACATAGTATGACTATTTTTTCCAAATCGTTCACCTCAACCGCAAACATGGTAGTTTTTACTTTGCTCGTTTTCTTGTGCCAGTCTTCATCGTACAATTGCCACGGAAACGACTACGACCAGTTGAAGAAAAAGGAGTTGATGGATGTTGCACCTTGGTTCGAAGCTGCTCAGAAGGATACTCTGACTCCTGGACCAGATGTGTATATTTATCTCGAATAACGAGGTGGCGACCGTGCACTGATCCTCCACCCAAAGATGCACTGTGTGACCAGCCAGCTAGTATGTTATTTCTGCGACGACATCGTGGCGCCTTCCGACCTACGTACCATTCCAACTCTTCTTTCTCGCCTCGGTCGTTTCACCGGGATATCGATATTCCTGGCGGGGGATGAGGGGGATTCGGAACAATTGGAGAAATGAATTCCTGTCTCCAGGTTATCTTTTGTCAGAATGCGGTGTTAAAAGTCGGCTGGCAGGGTAACATCCACAATGCTTTTGTTGACGCCGCTGAGTGGACGAAAAGCAAATGTATTCAGAGATCGGCGGGGCACTTTTTACGAGTCGGAGTCAAGAGAGAGTCTACGTGTCAATACCGAGGCGAAAGATTAGATATATTTGCGTTTGTGGATCATGAAAGTGTTGTGTATATATACGTTCGACAAGTGACGGTTTCTCTTTAAGACAAATTCTCCCGAGGAAAATCTCTTTTGAAGCACCAACAAGACTACCACGAAATAGAGTGAATTGTCCATAGTAAAAAGTCCAAGTCCATATGCAAGTGTCCTAAATGGAATATGAAAGCGAGGGATGAGCGAGTACTTCTAGAATAGTCGACGCCTTGGAAGTTGTGATACATATGTTCGTACATGTGACTATACATCTAGAAGGGGGGATATGAGTGTGAATACTGTCAGGTAGAGGACTCATTTGTGGTTAATCCTCGAGACCTCTCTTTCCGTTCCGATTCCATGATCAATAGGTGGTATATATGATGTGTCCACGCTTCGATGACAGCAGGAAGGCACCCTACACAACCCGACTTGAACTTTTCATCATAGCCAAGGAAGAGAAATCACTTACAATGAAGACAGTCTTGATTCGGTGTTTGATGCCCGTCAGGTCTTTGCAACATCTGATCCCAAAGATCCATGTAAAACCACTGAGCCCCAGTGCGCTTATACGGATTGACCCCTGACCCTTTCAGAATGGCCTCCCTCTCTCTTTGGAGTCGGGCAGTGGTTCGTCTCCAAACGTGGTTATGGACCTGGAACAAATCCCAGTCCCACTGCTTCCGGCCTACTCTTTCGTCCTCGTTTTCAAAAGGCTCAATGAGGCGCTCTACAACATCCTGTTCGGCCGCTTCAGCGTCTGCGGCGTTGATATATGGCTCAGTGTGGTCGCCACAGTTGGGATGTCCTGGAGAAGTCGAACGGTAATAGACGGACAGCCGAGAGATAGGTGATAGTCGGGAAGTAATCAGCCGAACCTACATTCAAAAGATGTTAGCTTTGACGAGTGTGAGATAAGTACGGGAATACCATTTGCCTATAAGATTCTGTGACCCTTGATTGTTCGTCAATGTCAGAAGACCGCGGTGGGAGCATGTTCAGTTCGTGCCTTGACCACTAGAGACGTATTGTTTTAGCTAGGAGTCCCCGTTGAATGAGCTTTATAAGGATACTTGCATGAGCACCAGCGTTCATGACGAGCACTGTATCTTCGGTCACAGTCTCTTCCTCTCCTCGTCTGGGAGTCGATGAATTCTTGACGAATGTCTCCCAATCTTCGACGCGTTGAAAGTCGTGATACCAGGTATACACTTTGGGTGCACCCAACCGTTCTGTTATCGTGCGAATATCCGCTTCGCCAATAAGCATGTGGTCTTCGAGCATGGTTATGACCGGACGTCTGAGACGCGACTCTGGGACCCCAGCTCGTTCCAAAATACGTTTCGTGCTCGGCGCGCCTGGTCTGAGAACGTGCTGGTGCACATTTTTGTGATTATACAGTGCCAGATAGGGTGGGTCAACGTCGAATTGAATATCAGCCATCCTCATTGAATAACCGAGGATATGAAAATGCTGTTGGGTTATCGAGTCTGAATTTGCTGTCAGCAGAAGAGCCCGATTAAGGATAAGCAAAAACACACCTCCGATGAGAATGACGCCCCCGGGGCTCCTCAAACACCGAACGAGAAACGCTTCTGGGTCCCATTGCTTCATCTTGCCAGAACTTGGGTTCCAAACCCAATTGTTCAAATCAACGATCCGTTTCTCTTCCGCACGCTGTTGTTCTTCCTCCGTCCTAATGACATCAGGAGGGGCCAGACTAGGACATCGCGACCACGTTCCATCCTGACGGTTTGCATATGCCGTTTGAAAGTCAGCCAAAGACGTGAATTGAGGGCTCCGAGGTTTCCAGGAGCCTCTTGAGCACTCATCACCTTCGCACCATGATGAAGTGGGTGTAGGTATTTTCTTTGGCGCGGTGTTGGCGTTTTCGATGTCGTTACTTGGTATTCTGCCGCTGTGGGTATCATGGTTAAGAATCGGTAGTTCAGGTGGCGTTGGACCCCAAACGAAGCAAACGAGAACGAGAACGGAAGCGACGACGGTGAATGCCAGCAAACGGCTTCGTCTGGTGTTACTCACTGCCATCACCGCAAACTTGTCATTGAGGGGAATGGCTGTGTTGATGCAATTGGTCATGGCGTCTTTTATTTTTAGCTCGTGGTTCAAAATAGGCAAGGGGGTGCCGGGATTTAAATCCCGGACCAGGGGCCGGTTGGTTGGTTCGGCCGCCAGGCCGCTAATTTTTTTTTTGACATACCAAAATTTCAGTGCAAAATGATGAGACAGTGCTCAGATAACTGCCAGAATGCATGAGCTTGAATATATTGGGTCTATCTGCATATAAAGAAGCAAAAAACTAGGTCTAAGATAAGATAGGACTTGGAATTGAGATCACATGTTGTGAAATACCTTTCTGTACAACAAACTTGAAGCTTGCTGCCCAAAAACAGCAGGCCCTTACAGTGACTTACTTTGATTCAGTAGCAGGCAGCTCAGTAGTTTGATTTCAACAGTGAATTGCTCAACGGGGAGCTCAAAAAATGGGTTTTCACGGCCTGCTGGGCATTGAGTGATGGAAAAGAGAAAAAGCCGGCACGTGGATGACATCATATTTCCTAAAATGGACGTGTGCCTGATTACGTTGGGTGGTTGGTTCAGCCCAAGTCTCGCTAAAAATAATTTCGACGTCCGGTCCTTATTTTAAATCCCGGCACCCCCTTGAAAATAGGTTTTGGTTCCGTTACAATTTGGATATGGTATCGAAAACATAAGAGAGAACAGTGAGTAAGATGGCCAGTGGATAGCTTCTAGTATTCTATGGTGAAGAAATCTTCCTCTGCCGGGACGTCGACACCTGGTGGCCACGAAACTATTGTCGGCTTGTCGGGAAGGCTTTCCAGGAGCACACACATCGATCTGAGTATTTGATAATTCTCATGGTCATCTTCATCGAAAGGCCATTCTCCGGTGTCAGTGCAAATCGTCAATTTCGGGTTCCCAATCATTCGAGCGAAGTCGATGTAGGGGGAAATAGGGTGGTCTTCGTCGAGCCGAGAGCTTGTTAGAAACTTGAGTTTCCGCCAAGACTTGATTCCATTCTCGAGGAATAGCCTAGTGACGCATTCGAGCATGCTTTCAGGTCCTGAATCATCCACAATTGTCAGGTGGGTGACATGTGGGGTAAGGGCTACGAGGAAGCTTATAAAGCTAGCGTCATAGTCCGAGCACTCAATTAGTTCCAAAGAATGCAGTTTGGAGAATGACCGCGTAACTTTAGGAAGAGGGTTAGGGATGGGCCGAAGTGTTACCCTTTTGATTATCAGCGTCTCGAGTAGTGGCGCGACCAAGAAAGGGAGGAAATATCCAACAAAATTATAGTCTTCACCGTAGCGGAGATGTTTCAGACTATTCATGGTGATTTTCAAAGTCTGAGGCGATTCAGGCTCCCAAAAGTGTTGACCGACAATGGACAGACTGGACAGTGACGGTAAAGCAAGGAGTTCGAGGAACATGCTAAAACTCCCAAACGTCCAGGCGTCTGTCTCATCCTCGAGTCGCAGTACTGTGACATTAGAGAAGGGTGGGGGGTAATTCCGAAACGAGGTTCCATCCAGCCGAACATAGAAAAGCTTTGGCGCACCACGCAAAAATACTGAAGGGGTCAACCTCTCGGAATCAGGGCCTCCCTCTGGATCACTGGAGCTGGCACACATCGTAAAATATTGGAGATTGGGAGCTTTCAACCATTGTAATCTGTCATTGAAGCCATGCATAGGGACGTCCACGCCGGAAAAGAGGGAGAATCGCCTCCAACGATCAACATGCGATATCGTTTTCCCAAGCATGGAATTGAACAATGGATGTGATGCCTCGCCCAAGGCGGATTCGGAAAATGAAAAGTGGAGGTCTAGAGGATGAGTACCCGACCGCTCCAAGTATGCAACGAGTCGGTCAATCGGAATCCGTTTCGGCAGTTGAGAAGCGTTGTACCGAAAGTTGGACCACAGCGATCGGAAGGACAAGGCAACAGCACGCCATTCCCTACAAACATGCGAGATGGTGACTTCTATGAGAGGGTTCCTTGGGATTCCTTCAATGAATGACGCGTCATGGGCCGCCTCGAACATGCGGCACATTAACTCGATGGGAAGGTTCAAGACGGGCGCTGTCTTGTTGTACAGCGCTCCATATTCGGCTTGGGTTTGGATAATTTTGTAGTCGAGTTCTTCCCTCTCCAATTGAAGTTTCTCTAATTTTTCTGCGAGCTCGCGAAGTTTCCTTTGCCTGGACATGTCGACAGTTGACGATAACTAACTAGATAGAAATTGAGTATGACGGGAATACGTTTGTTGTCGGAACGGATTGCATACCTACCAAACTCTCTGGGCAAGATACGTGACGTTGAAAGCAAGTTGGCGCGCCAACCTAAGGGTGCGGGCACTTTGCATGTATGTGTATGTTTTCCACTCTTTCAACCGCCTGCCTTCATCTCCATCTACAAGAAACTTGTATTTCATCCAATGGCAAACGACCAAGGCTTGCGACGGCTCTGTCCCACCCGATATTTCAATGAAGGCAGAAGCGATAATAATTCAATTATCACCAGTTCGAAGCTCAAGAAAAGCTCACTTCACGGAAATGGAGTCACGATGCATTGAGCCCCGAATGGCCCTCCCAGCCTCTCTGAGCCCTCTCCGCCAACCTAATTGTCGGGCCTACTTTTGACCTAGATCTCAGCGTCATCTGTAGACTAGGGAGTTTAGATATTACGTTCTCTCACGATAACTCATCCGTGTAGCTAATGACTCAATTTCAATCAGTGGCAGTCTCATCGCACAAGCAGCGTTCATTCGCCTTGATAACATTGCCAACACCTACCGGAAGCCTAGGCACTCTTTAAGACCGACCAGGAAGCTCGAGGTCATCGGCAACCTAAGGTGTGGGAACTGGGCGAAGACGATAATACTCTCTTTGCATTTCTGCATTTCTATTCAATCTTTCTTGGTTGGACAACCTCTACAGTCTTCCTTTCGATTCAGCGACCAATGATTAATGAAGTCCTGCTTAGACCTTTTATTTTTGTTTTGAAAATATGATCATCATTGTTCAGACTCATATCAACACATTGCAGGAGATGAACAACGCCAACTTGAACGTATGAAGAAACTGGGACATTCAACCATTGTAAAAGGGCACAGGCAGCTGCCTGTGATATGAAGGCTTATGAAGGAGAATTTGCAAGCGTTGTTCCAAATGTGTGCATCAGCAATGATGACCACTCGAAAGTGACCGTAAGCTCATCTGTATAATCGTCTGAATTCAACGTCAGCTGCAATGAGTGAACGTGTCGAACTATCCAATTCCAAGTTGCGCTGAAGACCCCTGAAATGAACTCGTTGTAGCAAAGTGGATCGTTCGATCTAACAAGTTGACTGTCGGCTGATTGACGTCAAATCGACGATACCGAACCACGCCTTATTGTTCAGCAATGGAGGAGGAGCAGGGTATAAGTCGGTATCCAGCGTGGCTCCAGACGCCTCAGGACACCTCAAGAATGTTCAACACGACAACTTGGAGTTGACTGCAAGCAGGTAGTCCAAAACTATGGTAAAGATGTGAGTCAACGAAGTTAGATCTTTCGAGGACAACAATGACAACGACCACGAAGTGAGGTAGCACGATGGGTATGTTGCATGACGTTGAACGCATCTTCATAACCAAGACGTACCAAAACGGATCGCTTCTTGATTGCAACAAAAGGTATGCCAGGGTTTTTTATAGCGCCTCTTTTCAGAGTGCGGAGGCCCAGATCGGAGGCGACAGATCAGACGGCTCAGCGACTTCGAGTGGGTCCGTTGCGATTTGGATAGGAATGGTATCGAAAACATCAGAAAGAACAGTGAGTAATTTTTCGCCAGTGGGTAACTTCTAAAATTCTATGGTGAAGAAATCTTCTTCTGCCGGAACATCGACACCTGGTGGCCACGAAACTATTTTCGGCTCGTTGGGAAGACTGTGGAGCGCGCAGATCGCATGGAGTGATTCGAGGTCATCGACAGCCCAATGTCCGGTGTCAGTGAAAATCGTTAAGTTCGGGTTCCCAACCATTCGAACAAAGTCGATGTATGGGTGGATACTAGGATGGACATCAAGCGTCAGAACCTTGACTTTTTGCCATGATTTGGTTCCATTCTCAAGGAATGGCCTAGTGAACCATTGGAGCATGCCTTCAGGTCCTAAATCATCCACAATTGCCAGGTGGGTGACGTGTGGCGTGAGGGTTACGAGGGTATCTATAAAGCCAGCGTCATATTCCGAGCACTCAATTAGTTCCAGAGAATGCAAATTGGAGAATGGCCGCGTAAATTTAGGAAGAGGGTTAGGGATGAGCCGAAGTGTTACCCTTTTGATTATCAGCGTCTCGAGTAGTGGCGCAACCAAGAATGGGAGGAAATGTCTAATAAGACTATAGTCTTCACCGTAGCGGAGATGTTTCAGATTATTCATGGTGATTTCAGAAGTGTGAGGCGATTCAGGCTCGCTGAAGTGTTCACCAACAATCGACAGACTGGACAATGACGGTAGAGCGAGGATTTCGAGGAATAAGCTAAAACTCCCAAACGTCCAGGCCTCTATCTCCTCCAGTCGGAGTACTGTGACATTAGAGAAGGGGGGGGGATACTTCTGAAAAGAGGTTCCATTCACCCGAACATAGAAAAGCTTTGGTGCACCACCCAAAAGTACCGAAGGGGTCAGCCGATCGGAATCAGGGCCTCCCTCTTGATCAGGTGAGCTGGGAAGGATCGTAAGATATTGGAGATTGGGAGCTTTCAACCATCGCAATCTGTCACTGAAGTCATGCATAGGAATATCCACGCCGGAAAAGAGGGAGAATCGCCTCCAACGGTGAACATGCGATATCGTATTCTCAAGCATGGAATTGAACAATGGGTATGATGCCTCGCCCAAGGCGAATGTGGAAAATGAAAAGCGGAGGTCTAGAGGATGAGGACCCGACCGCTCCAAGTATGCAACGAGCCGGTCAATCGGAATCCGTTTTGGCAGTTGAGAAGCTTTGTACCGAAAGTTGGACCACAGGGATCGGGAGGACAAGGCAATGGCACGCCATTGCCTACAAACATGTGAGATGGTGATTTCTATGAGAGGGTTATCCGGAATCCCCTCAATCAATGATGCGTCATGGGCCAACTCAAACATGCGGCAGATTATTTCGATAGGAAGGTTCAAGACGGGTGATGTCTTGTTGTACAGCGCTCCATATTCTGCTCGAGTTTGGATAATCTTGTAGTCGAGTTCTGCCCTCTCAAATTCCAGTTTCTCTAATTTTTCTGCGATCTTGCCAAGTTTCCTTTGCCTGGACAGGTCGACGGTTGCCATTGGGGCTGTGATAACCAATCAAATGGAAATTGAGTATGAGGGGAGTACATTTATGCCGGAACGGATCGCATACCTATTAGACACTGTGGACAATATTCAAGTTCAAAGCAAGTTGGCCCGCCAGGTGAGGGCACTTTCAAGTTGTATGTGTATGTTTTCCACCCTTTGCTTCCTGCCTACCTTCATCCCCATCTACCAGAAACTTGTATTTTATCCAAGGCTGACAAACGACCAAGGCTTGCGACGGCTCTCTCCCATTGGGTAATTCAGTTGAGGCAGAAGCAGCAACCATTCAATATTCAATATTCAAATATTACAGCCAGCACAACAACAGCACAAGGTCAACACTCGCTTAGAAAAGGTCGACATGTCACGGAACTGGAGTCATAATGAGTTGAGCCGCCAACGGCCTCTCCCAGCCTCTCTGAGCCCTCTTCACCAAACTAGGGCCTACCTTGGATCTATCTCAGCGTCGTCTGTAAAATTTTCCCGCAAATAAGGGTTGTGCACTCTCACGATGAGTCATCTGTGTAACTAATGACTCGATTTCGTACAGTGGCAGTCTGCGTTCCTCCTTCATGCCATCCCCAACATCTGCCGGAAGCCTAGACTACTCAATTCTTTAAGACCGCCCAAGGCGCTCGAGGTCATCGGCGCTTCGGCGACGTCCCCCCTCGGGTGTGGGATCTGGGCGAAGAGGATGGTCCTGTTTGCCATTCTGCTTTTCTCTTCATTCATTTTTGGTTGGCCAACGTCTGCAGTCTTCTTCCTTTCGATTCAGCGACCAACAAGAGACCTTTTATTTTCATTTTATTTTGGGACGAAAATATGATCATCAATGTTCAGACTCAAATCAACACATTGCAGGAGATGAAGGACGCCAACTTCAACGTACGAAGAAATCGGGACATTCAACAATTCAACCATTGCAAAAGGGTGCAGGCAGCGTGACATGAAGGACAAGAATTTGCAAGCGTTGTTCGAAGACCATACAAAATGTGTGCATACAGCAACGACGACCACTTGAAAATGACCGCAAGCTCATCTGTATAAACGTCCGAGTTCAACGTCAGCTGCAATGAGTGAACGTGCCGAACTATCCAATTCCCAGTTGCGCTGAAGACCGTCAAGATCTCGACCAAATTGGTTGTAGCAAGACGTATCGTCCATCTAACCAGCTGAGGGTCGGTTGATTGATGAGTGAGTGAGTGAGTATTCACGTCTATTGCAATATCCCCTTCGTCAAAACGACGATACCAAACTGCGTCTTAGTGTTCAGCAAACGAGAAGCAGGCTACAACGCGGCGCCCAGCGCGGCTCAAGACACCTCAACAATGCTCAACACAACAAGTTGCAGTTGATTACAAGCAGTACAGTCATCCACCTGCTAATGATACACCCAAAATGAGAAATTAGCTTCAACAGATTTGAGCACAACCTTTCTCTACAAAAACTACATGAAAATCTCAGATAAATTCCCGTCTATCACTGTACCAAATTTTAGAATGTTGACCCACATTTCACAAAGAAAAATTAAGATTATGGGTGTATCATTGAGGGGTGTGACTGTATTTGGCTATTTCTGAAAAACAGTCCATTTTGTATGCTCCACAGCTTTGCCAATTCTGCCTCAATTGCATCCAAATTATGTACGGTGGTAGATATGAGTTTGTACTACTTGTTACAACTTGTTTCATAAAAATCGGTCTAGTATTGAGTGAGATATTGGCTAGTCAAAAGTGTATCAAATGGGGGTGGCGTATCATTAAGGGGTGGATGACTGTAGTCCGAAAGTATTATAAAGACGTGAGTAAACGAACGTGAAGGTTAGATCTTTGAGGACAACGATGACAAAGTGAGATAGCAAGCAACAAGAATAAGAGAGCAAGATGTGGGGCACCCGTCCATGCTCAAGTTCAGGCGAACACCAAGACCAAGCCCCAAGTCCACCCCTGACTCATGCAAGAAGTTATTTGCGTCCCAAGCCCTTGATTTTGCAGAACACCTTCAAACGGTGCTGGAAAACGGTACGATGAGTATGTTATCGAACGCATCTTCATAGCCAAGACGTACCCAAAAGGACCGCTTCCTATCCGCCTTCTCTTCAAAAAGGGTCGCAGTGTCTTGCTCGTGCTGGATGAACGGCGAAGTAAGCACTCGAAGGTAGACAAGATCACGAGAAAACTGACTGAATATTCGCACTTGTAGACGATATAGCCCGTTGGTGTTCGCGCGTCGATGGTGTCCTGCAAGTAAAAGGCTCAGCATAAAGTTCGTTATACCTTCAAAAGTCGGAGCTTACCATGAGGCCGTCGTCGCGTGGGCCAAAAAGAGGGATCTGAATCTCGCGGCTTTGCGCCTGTTGGTAGTCTCTGAGGACAGTCGAGCCACTTTCCGAAGTCAGAACGACGGTGAGGGAAGGTAAAAGGAGCTGTGAGAGAGCCATTTCTGTTGTAGATATAGGATGTTTGTGTAGAAGAGGGTGGAGGAACGAGAGAAAAAAACTGGTAGTGGGGTGGGAGAGGAAGTGGGGAGAGGAAGTGGTGGTGGGGTTGTGATAAGAAACCGAAGTGCAACAAAGGTATGAAAGGGTTTTTTATACCGCCTCTTTTTAGAGTGCAGGCGCCCAGATCGGAGGCGATGATCAGACGGCCAACTCAAAAATTTGAGGCACTAATTGGAACTGTGACATTCAAAACTGTGTCCCTGGCGAGCCCTGACTCGTTAGCTTGGAAATTTGCCTCCGCCTGGCAATTCATTTCATCGAGACTGGAAATGGCGTACATAGGCCAGTGGTGAGCTGGGGAAGGATGCAGTTTGGATATATGTGGGTGGAGGGATGAGATGATGACTGGTCTTCCGGTGCTCAAGGCTGGCTAAGAAAGGCAGACACCTGAACGGCAAAGTTGTGTGAGAGAAAAAATCAACATTCGTCGGGATCAACATCAACTAACCTGCGAATGATCCAACATCCATAGGCCACAAGACCGCCAACATTTCAGGCCATCCAAACAGGGTTCAGAGGCAGGTGAGTGTAGAATCTACGAACAAGCTGATCAAAAGCGGGGATCCAGGATAACGTTCCAAACTTGCACGGCTCGAGGACTTTCCGCCGATTCTCGCCCTGAACGGCTAGCCAGGAAGCTTGCCGTTAACAAGACTGGATAGGGAAGCTTCCATGCATTGACCAATGCTACAGCCGTGCGTCGGTCGGGTTTCAAGGCAAGGCAGGAAAACAACGGTCGGGCGTCAACTGACATCTGCATGAATAGAGGACTTCCTTTCAGGACGTGGCTGACGACGCACTATCATCAAAGCAAGGCTGCAGGTCTCTCTTGACTATACCCATGCTCGGGACCATACCTCCGCCGCTCAGAACGTTTTGAGGAAAGGTAGCAGGCGAAGCCGATCATAAACGACAATCGGCCGACACTGATAATTCGCAATTCGCAGCCATAAAAAGGTTTCAAATTCAGATACCCCCTGGGAACCAAGCAATGAAACATAGCTCAGAGGCATCTGTTCGAGAGAGCAGAGACTCCTTGAGATCGCTTCCCCGATCGCGGGGTTGGTAGACAATATTTTCCGGGGGAAGACGCCCAAAGTCAAGCTGAGAATGGGACACGATTCCTGGATAAGCAAATCACCGCAAGAGGCCGTCTCAATGCCAAATAGGCATGGAGGATTCCAAAAAAAACAATTCTTGGCAAGAAAATCTGGGGAAACAGCTGCATGAGATCATGGCTTGCATCACTCCTTCAAATCTATTCCTTGAAAATTCAGGTAAACCGTGGTCTAGATGTGGATTCCGATCAATGACCAGGGATATAGCAGCCGCCCCCGTCGAAAGCAGCTCAAGACGTTGGACCCGTCGCATCGGGTGAATCGGATCGGGAGCCAAAGGCTGCTGTGATATTCAAGACTCCTGTCTATCCATTGGGTCCCCATGGACATGCGGGCGGCCTCAAACGACCTTCAAATAGCGGACGTGGATGCGGGGTCGAGTGAGAGTGAGATTACGGGCTACCAAAGTCGAAAGCAGATAGAAGCTTGGAAATTGGCATTGCGCTCGATCTCTGAGTAACTGCCAACGACACAAACGGAAAGATCGATGGCGCAAGTGTATGAATTTCCACCGCCAAGGCTGAGGCGAAGATTCGGACTTAGGTGGCCAACGATGTCCTCATCCGTTGGGTCCTCTGTAAGTTCCACAATCTTTTCTAGAGTTTCATGGAGCTGAGAAACGTGTAAGGCATTGAAAACGAGAGAGAAGACCAACCAACCTCGCCATTCCTTGACCCTTCCCCGATGCCACCCTCTTCTAAATTCTTCGACAACTTCTGCCAGGTTTTCCAAGATCTCCCTTGCCAACGTTCATCAACTTTTGAATATGAGGAAATTCAAACTGGGTACTGGAAATTTAAAATTGGCGGGTTTGACGCTATGTGTTGCGAGCGTTTGCCACATGATAAGGGCGTGAACAGAGTTTGTGTGAATGTTTGGCTGCTCGCACCTCCCTTCAACATTGCTTCAACGCGGCCTCCAAGCACCTTCCTGATATCCATGGTTGCATGTCGGACTTGTCCTCCAATATTATGGTCAGCCGGGGCGTGATTATAACTTCTTTCCCTGGGGTTGTGGCTTTGCAATTGCTTTCTGTAGAGCAGATGCCGACAACCTTTTCGACCTTCGTGCCTCGGAACATCCCAACTGCGCCCGTCTTTTGCCGCGTTACTTCGCATTCGTGAATCATTAACACGGTACAGTCCGTCTGCAGAATGTACACCTTCAGTCTGCTAATTATTATTCAGCTGGCCCAACCCTCGTCCCGTCGACCTCTGGTCAACATATTTTAGAAGTAATGGAAGATTTTTACACAGAGCAATCGTAAGTATATCCGGGTCGCACTCACTATCTCACCCAACAGTCGTCGTCAGTGGTCCCTTACGCTGGGTCCATATCCTTGGAAAATGTCAAGAAGGACCTGGGACCTTTCGGAGACGAACAAATCGACCGAGTTTCTTGGCCACCATACAAATGCAAGTTCAATCTTGACTGTGGCCGTCTGGTAAAGTTCTCCTCTGGCTGGGAGTCAAATGACATTCTCCTGGTATCTTCGGCTCTAAGGTGGATTTCTGCATTTTTCTGGATACTCCCAACACGGATGTTTTGCTTTGCCGTTCCTCCTACGTTAGTCGTAGTATCAAACTTGGATTTTAGCGGGGGTTAGAAACACTGTTGTTCCTAAGAGTTCCTCTACAACGACTTAGGACTATAATATGTATCCATGGATTGTTGAATCCCCTTAATTTCGCGATGCCAGTATAGATCTCTCTGGATTCAAATTTCCCTTGAGCTGTAGCATGTTCCAATAGGAACACTGACGCTTTTTGAATGTACGATACGCGAGAAGCTCAGGATTGAGGAAGGGCCGGACGAGGGGCTGCTTGACTGATTTTTCCCCCCAATTGGAGTGCAGTTAATCAAACATCTGTTTTATTCATTGTTTTTTATACCCGACACACCACTCTATTCACGTTCCAAGTTACATCAATCTAGTATCCGCCTCGGCCAATTTCTGGGGTGATAGTCAGGACCAACTGTTTAGAAAATGAAAACAAAGTCCTCACCGTTCCTGAATTATGAAGGTCAACATGAAGTCAGACGCCAAAGAGATCAAAAGCACGTACCTTTGCCTTGCCCTTTGCAAGTGGAAGAGGGCGACTTGCATATGCAGGTCTAGGGGCAGGCTGAATGTCACGCAAAGTTAAGTGCATGGGTCAGTGCAAGAGATCGTTTACACGCACCGCCTGGACGGGGTTTTGAACTGGAACAGGGGGCAAGGGCCGAGGGGGAGGAGGAGGAGGGGGAGGAACGGGCAATGGGCGTGGCTTAGGCTAAAATACGTCATTTACAAGGCCAACGAAGTTGAAGATTTCCTGTACCTTTTCGTCCTATATTTTAGTAAGGTGGAATTAGAATCAAGCTAACCATAATTGGGCAAAGAAACGAACCCCGCGTGCGATGAGCCAGAACTCCTCCAGCTCTCGTGTGTCCAAATCATCAGCACCACCACGAGGGTAAAAATCAACACTGGGAGCAACAGCCCGATTTACGACGGGCTCAGTCAAATCTCCGCGTTTCGCGATCAACTCATGTCTGTTCTGGATGGAAAATAGTTGAGCTTCATGAGATGGGGGTGGAAAGATCAGACGCGATACACCTACCGTTGGGAGTGCAGTTCCGAAGTACAACTGGGACAAAAACAGAACAAGTGCGGTGAAGTGGGTGGGACGCATGCTCTTGGATTTATCGCGGAAAGGTTCAGAAGGCGATCACGTAGTATTTGTGTAAGTCGGACAATCGAGAACTGAAATGGCAACAAAGACCAGCTTTATATGTCTGATAGAAAAACTGAGTGAGTTCCAGAGCAATCTGACCGGAATCGCGCTCACCACTTCGAAGATGGGATTTCAGCGCCAGGCTGGGGGGCAAGAGTGTTGTTCAGAGTTGACGCCCTTATATGCTTGTGGGCATTCGTGGGTAACTTCGTGCTTCATGTAAACGGCGTCTCGACCTGTCTTGACGGTGGTGATGGCAATCATCATCAAGAAGCACGTTCATTTGGCTGTGCTACTTGAAGCAGATGGTGTGGGCAGTGCCCCGCACGAACTAGGCCCAGTTGGAACTTTCAAGAGATCGGAAACCTACTTTCTGTTGCTCACCTTCGACATCTAAGGAATTCGAAGTCCTCACAAGACCGTGCACGCGTTCTTTCGCATCGAGTCTTTGGGAGGTGTTCAAGCCGAAGCGCTCGACAGACGTGGGCGGCATTCGTGGCTAAGCTCAGAGCCGCTAGGGAGAAAGTTGAGAGCAGCACTTGACCACCCCGCATTTGGCTCACGATCGGCTACAAGGGCTCCCGTAATGGGAGTAAATGACAGGCATGATTTCCCCCCGTTGCTATTCTTTTCTCCTCACTCTCATGGCGCCGTTTATTAGCACTGAACACCCACGTCGGACATTCTCGTTCCAGGGTAAACTTCCAAGGCTTCCAATTCCACCGCTTGAGGATACGTGTAGGAGGTATTTGAAGGCTCTGGAGGCGCTCCAGGATGAGAAGGAGCATGAGTTGACCGCAGCTGCTGTCAAGGAGTTCTTGGAGAAGGATGGCCCGGAAATTCAGAAGCGTTTGCGGGATTGGGCGAAGGATAAGGACAGGTACGATGCATCTTTAATCTTGAATAACCGATTGAAACTAATCAACGCAGTTATATTGAAGAGTTCTGGTACAACTAATTCTTCTTTGCTGGATGACTGCTTATGCTGTACTATAGGTATGAGTCATACCTATCGCATAGCGATCCAGTTGTTCTGGCGCTGAATCCCTTCTTCGTTCTTGAGTGAGTTTCATCGTCACTTAGACAATCGCGCCGATCTTACCGTTGCCCAAGGAATGACCCTACGCCGGATCGGGGCACCCAACTTCCTAGGGCAGCTTCCCTTATCGTATCTTCCCTAGGATTCATCCACGATTTACGTGCTGGCCTTCTTGAACCTGACACTGTTCGCGGAATACCACTTGACATGGATCAATATTCCCGATTATTTGGAACATCTAGGATACCCACAGATGTTTGTTGTGTCATCTCTTTCCGAAATTAGGCTGACATGAACTCTAGAGAGGGTGCAAAATGGAAGTTCATGCTGAGTCGAGACATATCGTCGTTCTTAGGCGGGGACAGTTCTGTTCGTCTTTTGACTCTCTAACCACAAAGCGTACTGAGGCTTCACCCAGACTGGTTTGACGTCCTTGACGACCACAACCTCCCTGTTCTAACCGAACGTGAAATTTTGCGCAACTTGCACGGCATCGTCACAGACGCAGACGTGACAGACCGATCCGAGGTCGCTCGGGGTTCGATCGGCGTCTTGTCAACTGAGAATCGCAAGATTTGGTCGGGTCTCCGCGTCATGCTGGGCAAGGACAGAAACAACAAAGCATGCCTTGATATTGTGGACAACGCGCTGTTTATCGTGTGCTTGGACGACACTGCTCCGGAGAACTTGGCCGACTTGTGCAGCAACTTTTTGTGTGGGACTTATAGTCTGCAGGAAGGAGAACAAGTGGGGACGTGTACTAACCGATGGTATGACAAGGTAAGTATTTCTTAGGACAAAAGAGCATGAACTGATTACTCCCAGCTTCAAATCATTGTATGTGCGGATGGTGCAGCCGGAATCAATTTTGAACATACAGGTGTAGACGGACACACCGTCCTGAGGTGTGTTTTCAAGTTCTATTCTATGAATGATTCTCTAAACGTACCGCAGATTCGCTGCAGACATATTCACGGAAGGACTCATGCTCCTCGCACGCTCCATCAACCCTTCAGCACCAACACTCTTCCATGCGAAGCTCTCACCTCATGCAAAGGCTTACAAAGCTCCACGCGGTTCCCAGAGCAAGTTCTTTCCCCTCCTACCAAAATTATAATTTTGATACCCCTCCCAGAGCCACCAAGCCCCGTCGACCGTATCGACACCACGCCTAAGAAGCTTGAATGGAGGCTTTCACCCGAATTGCGTGCAGGGGTTCGGTTCGCTGAAACCAGGATCAGCGACCTTATTTGCCAGAACGACTGTCAGGCACTGGAGTTCAAGGGGTACGGGAAGAACTTTATCACGAGCCACGGGTTCAGTCCCGATGCGTTTGTGCAGATGGCATTTCAAGCGGCGTACTTCGGTCTCTATGGTGAGTGTCATTGTGCGTCGTGGCTGGCTCTTGAGGGTTTGACTATGTGTGTGCATAGGGCGAATTGAGTGTGTTTACGAGCCTGCGATGACCAAAGCGTTCTTGCATGGGCGCACGGAGGCAATCAGGTCGGTTCAACCTGAGAGTGTTGAGTTCACGAAGGTCAGAGGTCTCCTGGTCCTTTGAGACTCCAGGCTGATGTGATCACGCTATGTAGATATTCTATTCTGAAGCGGAACCCGCGCAGAAGGTCTCTTCCCTCAAGAAGGCTTGCGAAAACCACGTTAGACTTACGAGAGAGTGTAGTCAGGGGCTGGGGCAGGATAGGTACGGCCATCATGTATCATTGTTGCCTATCTCCACTCACCCTCCTCTCCTAGGCACCTTTACGCATTGTACTGCCTCCTACAACGTCAGCTGGCTGGCAACCTCAATCCATCTCCAGACGATCCTGCTCCATGGCCTCCGAGCCAAAAGATGCCCGCCATATTCACCGACCCTGGCTGGGCTCTCCTCAGCACGTCGATTATTTCCACTTCAAACTGTGGAAACCCTGCATTGAGGTTGTTTGGGTTCGGTCCTGTCTCCGGCAATGGCTACGGTATAGGGTATATCATCAAAGAAGATGGAATCTCTGTGTATGATGCTGTTTCACCGTCTGAATGTGTTGTTACTGATGTTGGACGTTAGGTGTGCATCCTCGAAGCACCTGCAGACACGCCGCTTTTTGAATACGCTCCAAGGATACCTGTATGATATCCAGCGAATACTTATCCAGCTGCACCGGTCGGCGAATGAAAACCCAGCACCGTTCGTTGACCATTTGGGTATTTTGAGGGACTCGAAGACAGGGCGACCTATCAATGGTGTAGACCTTTCTTCTGATGAAGATGATGTGGCTTTGCGTAAGTGATTGGTTCTAGATTCTTGGTATCAAGGCTGATTGATGCTTCTTGTCGATTCTAGCTGGGTATTCATTCTTTGACAGTGGGGACATTGAAAGACTGGGGCGTAAGAAACCATCGCCGTTCTCTGACATCGGTAAGTGCAAAGTTTTTATTGCCGATAATAGGTTGGATGTTTTATGACCATTGTCGCAGGGAAAGTCATACCTCTTGCGGAATATTGAGGGATGTGTTATGATATGCAGTTCATGCTTCTCATTCATCTGTTGTATGTATAGTAGAATGTATACCTATGTGTAACTCATTATTCGCCTGTAATCCTCATCTGAAACATTATTTGAACCTACAGAAATTTACACACATATAGTCCAGAAAAGCGCCTAGGGTCAAAACATTCTCAAATTCCAATCGAATACAAGCGCTGCTGAAGAGGCTGTTGACGACTGTCTGATCAGAAAGTGCTCTCCTGTGATAAATTCAGAAAAATCGGGTTTATAACCGTAGTCCAGTCCGCCGACCCGAAAGTCCTTTGAGCCTGTTAAAAGTTGACGGAGACGAATCTCTGCCACACGTCCCCAACGAAAGAGATTCCCCTTTATCGACGACTGCCTGGGGCGACAAAGCATGAAAAGTAAGTCAAGTTTACCTGAATTCATTCAGTGCTTGGAGGGTGTCAGATTTCGGGGTTGACATACTGATTACTTGGATAGAAGGACGTGTTTCGTTTTCCCAGATTGTGCTCTGGTTCGAGTGAAAGGTAAAAGTCTGCGGCGGAGGCATAATACTTCACGCCCGAGTGGTCAATGATTTCCAATCTCGTGTCTTTCCAAAACCACCATGGGTCACCCTTGGTAGTTATCTATGGGAGCAGAGGAGATGAGCATCAACCAAAAAGAAATGAGCAGATATACCCAGTAATATCCCACTCTGAGATCAAGAGGAAGTCAGTTCAAATCAAGCCCATCCTCCACCATCGCACGTTCTGTGCTGATTCTGTTCCTGGGAATAACGGCTGTGAAGTTGCGCGCAACATAATGGTGGGTAAGTTGTTTTTTAACCAGGTGATCAAGCACAGCAGCAAGGCAAAAAGACTAACCATATAACTTCAAAAAGTTCAATGAGATTAATGGCAAGGATAGAATGGGATGGAGGGTTATGTAGAAATATTTCATGACATCTCAACCGGTCAACCATGCCCATCTACTTACAAGGAACTGGGGCCACAACATTGGCAATATATGCCAGGTTGTGCCCGGCACAAAATTGAATCTATGCAACTTCCAGAATTGAACCCAGACAACTGCAGCTGCGACACCCGTCACTACTTTCCACCCTGTCTTATGAATGTGAATCATGCCATATAGTAGAACAACCCAACCGGCAAAGATAAAAAGAAGGCCAAGATATCTCATCGTGACTTTGGCAGCAGGCGCTAAGTGGGCTGGAAAAATTGTTGATAGCAAGTTAGAGAGGAAATAGCAAAAAGATCGGCTCTGAGCTACTTACTGAAGAGCTCTATGCGGATATGACGTCCTCGAATCTCATCATGGCAATACATCAATTGCCACTGATCTGGTGTGAGCTTATGTCTGTGCCTAAGCTTCTGGAGCTTCCCATCGACTTGGATCTACCAGTCATGTAAGTCGTGCTGGAGATAAATCTTTCGATGATTTACTTACATAGGCTGACCGTGCAACCTCTCCCCTCTCAACAACATAATTTTGTCGAGGATAAGCCGGAGAACTTGATGGGATGACAGGTTCATCATCAACGGGGATTCGCGAGGAAACATTTTGAAACAGGAAGAAAAAGACAGGTCTGCAAACAACATCAAAAAGACGTCAGAGTTGCTGAGGAAGGTGCTCACAGAGGCTTGATATTCACAGCGGAAGTAAGAGAGTATGTGTCTTGGGATTGCTGCGAGGGATCATGAAATTGCAGAGGGCCTGGCAACGTTGGGTATTCTTCGTTATCTAATGAGTAAAGATCAGTGCTGGAGGCGATGTCTCTGGTATAAGGGGAGGGGGCGTAAGGGGAGTCCTCAGGTCGATCATGAAGATTGGTGCTGGAGGCGATGTCTCTGGTATCAGAGGAGGGGGCGTAAGGGGAGCTGGAATAAGGGTTGATGTTTGGTGACGCTACAAAGTTCTTAGGGTGAAAGATCCAGTGGTCGGGAGGAAGCTGATTTTCGGGGCTAGCAATGGTTGTTCTGAGGGCCACCATTAGTTAGCGTTAGCGACAAGAATAGCAGGAAGGGAACACACAGGGGCTTTGCATCGGCTCTGTCTCCCTGGGCATGAGGGGGGGAGCCTGATGCTCGAGAGGGCGCAGGCCTCTCTCCACCTTTCTGGGAAGGAGCAGGAGACTGTGGGATCCTCAGCGGTGGGAAAAAAAAGACAGGTCTGTGAACAACATCAAAATGATGTCATGGTTGCTGGGGAAGGTACTCACGGAGGCCTGATATTGACAGCGGAAGTAAGAGAGTATGTGTCTTGAGATCGCTGTGATGGAGAGCGAGATTCCAGAGTGCTTGGCGCCGTTTGGTATGCCTCGTTATCTGATGAGTCCTCAGGCCAATCATGAAGATTGGTGCTGGAGGCGATGTCTCTGGTATAAGAGGAGAGGGCGTAAGGGGAGCCGGTATAAGGGAGGCCAGTATAAGGGTTGATGTCGGAACTAGCGATGGTCGTTCTGAGGATGCCATTAGTTAGTGTTAGCGCTGAGTTAAGACAAAAATAGCAGGAAGGGAACATACGGGGGCTTTGCGTCACCTCCATCTCGCTGACCAAGAGGGGGGGAGCTTAATGCTGGATCTTCGTAGGTCGCAGGCTTCTCTCCACCTTTCTGGAAAGGAGCAGGAGATTGTGGGATCCTCAACGGCGAGAGACGCGACTCAGACGAGTGATCCTGGGGCAGTTGGCTAGATCGCCTAGCCGTCATTAGCACTGGGATATGTACTGAAAAGGGGGAACATGAAGCGTACGTCATCAGAAATGGGGTAGCACACAGGTGAATTTCGTCTACTATTGCTGAGCCCAACCTTTCAATGGGAGAAAGATCTGATTGAAAGAAAGATATGAATGTTAACTGGTAACAAGGAGTGGGGATCTTACGAGGCTAACAAGCTCCTTTTCAACATCCATGCTTCGGTCGTCATTGAAATGGACTGGAACAGAATTTTCAAATTAGACGCGACTTCGGCGACTTTTGAAATATCTGCAAGGCGCGTCGCAGGGACAATGGGTATACAAGAATACGCCATGGTGGGAGTCCAAATGTACTCGAATCGTCCGAGATGCTGGTCAGGGAGCTAGTGAAAGAGAGCGTAAGGGGGCTGGGGCGAAACCTCGGTTCGATACGACCTTGCTGAACTGGAATCATCCGAAATGCTGGTCAGGGAGCTAGAGCTGCTAAAAGAGAACGATTTATCTTGCGTAAGAGGGCTGAGGCGGAAGCAGACACAAAAGAGCGGTTGGAGGAAAGAGTGGAAAGCAAAGGATGCGAAGGAGATGATGCGCAAGAGAAAGAATGGGAGAAGGAAGGGAAGGGAAAGGACTTGCAAAGGCAGCGAAAGAAAAGAGGGCGTGTTGAAAGCATGGAAAGGGGAAAAGAAAATAGAAAGGAGGGCGCAAAGGACCAAAACCAAAAGACTTGAAGGGAGATGTAAAAGAACCAAAGGATTCGCAAGTCCAAACCAAAGTGCAGAAAAAAACAAGAAAAGAAACACTCAACTCATCCCTCATATATATCATATCCCAAACCGGTACCCCACAATGTGGCTGCGGGAACATCACACAATACGCCGCTCCGAGGCGTACCGTTTATCGTTTTGATTTTTGAAGGGGTTGTTTCTTTTGGTCTTGGAAGGATTTGGTGGACTTGATTTGAGGATGAGGATCAGAGGGCTTGGAATCGGAAGACTTGGTGGGTATGTGGGTCGAAGCCTCGGTGTTGGATCCAAGACCTCGAAGTATTGGGACATAGCCCAACCAACGGTTTCGTCTTTCCACCTTTTGTCTTTGCGCTGTTCGTTGAAAGATGGCGTTGAGCTGCTTGTTCTTCGTCGACGGCGGGAAGTGGGGGAGGGCCTTCAGAAGTTCAGATCTCAGAGCTGGTTCAGAGGCTTCAAAGCTTCGGAAAGTCACATGTTTCTCACAACATGGAGTCAACGGCTTCAAAGTTCAAACGTTCTCACTGACGACCCACCATCTTACTTATGGCCGAGATACATCTTGGTGAGTTTACTTTCTTTTAGCCTCACGGTATTCCTTCCAAAAGACGCGTTGTGGATCCTCGTGGCACGGGAGTCCGAACGCGTCTGGTTGGGAGTACGCGTGGCCACAAAAATTAACACTGATACTGACGACTTTATCTGCAGAGCCCATCACAGCTGATTCGAGTCGCCAGGTGAGTCTTCGCCTACCCTCTCTATATCAAACTAATAACTTTCGCGATTTAGATTCAGACGCGCCCTGGAATCACGTTCTCCTCCTGGACAACCCCTGCGAACCCTGCTTTCAAATTTCAAGAGCTCATGGATGCCGCCGTCGCTGATGAAGCTGATGACCCGCCTATCCCTGAAGACGACACGGCTTCTCCTTTGTCCTCTCCTTTGACCTCTCCTCCGACCTCTCTTTCTCCCCTTTTTTCGTCCCCAATCCCAGCTCCACCACGCGATCTCTCACCTGATCTGCCCTCAGCCACGAAACCCCCTACTCACATCCCCACTAAGAGTCAAGCGGCACACACCAACTTAGCGGCAGATGAAATCTCCAAAGCCTCGTTCAGGATGAAGAAAAGGTCACACAAGAATCGGACAAAGCGTCGGCAAGCCGAGGCACACGAGATGGGCCACGCACTACACAGGAAATCTGTTAAGAGGGCCCTCCATAAACACGTCATGCCCTCCAACCCCATTAACACCAACCACTCGATCAAGAAAACCGACATAGCATCGACTGCGTATGTCGGCGTCAGGGAACAGAAGCCGAAGATTGTACACTGGAGGAGCTGGTAGGTAAGGACTCAAAGTTTGGCTTCCGCCTAGTCGAGTGGGATGTAAGTTACTTTACGTTCCTGTTCGCCCCTGGCTCACGGTTACATCAGAACGCCCACCCCCATCCTTGATAAACTGGCCCGGGTCATCGCTGTTTTAGCCGGTTGACCAAGCCACAACTCGTGGGACACCGTTAATGACAAAATTAGGCAGGCGATTGAGCAGGCGCACTCCGAATGCAAATTTTAAAAGAAGGCGAGGAAACATCGCCGGGGAAACTTCCCAGCAATGGCGATTGAGATCTCTTATGGCGGAGGCCAGACGGTACTACATACCCAGTTAACTCCCAGTAGAAACCCGGGAACCTTTGTCACAACGATGCCAATGCCGCCGCCTTGTCAAAACTTATTTCCAACGAATCTGTTCAGAAAGTCGCAGGCTTCGCTTCGAGTACGCCCCATTCTTTCATTACTGCCACTACCCCGATTAAATATAAACTAGGTGCGTTTGCTACGTGGATGCCGAAGTTACACGGATACTACGTGGACCATCTCGACGCTCTGTTGCAACACGACTGTAATCTTCGGCGAAACTTCCACAACAGCGTTTGGCCATCCACGACCGTAAACTTTGGCTCCAGGACTTGTTGCAAACAACACAAGGACTTCAACGACCTTCCTTTTGGAATGTGCTCCATCTATGGGGCAGGCAGGTATGATTCGAAAGAGGGTGGCCACCTTGTTCTCTGGGAAGCAGGGCTGGTAATCGAATTTCCTCCTGGCTCAACAATCCTGATCCCCTCCGCCATTCTCACGCATTCAAATGTCCCTGTTCCTAAGGGTTCCACCCGCTACTCTGTTACGCAGTACACTGCAGGGGGTCTCTTTCGGTGGGTAGATCATGGGTTTCAGAGTGAGGAATCATACTGGAGATCTTTGACGGACGAAGGATGTGCGGAAGAAACTCAACGGATGGAAGGACGTGCAACTATAGGAATGGGACTATTCTCTACAAAGGAGGGATTGTTAGCTTAAATTTTTGTTGTCTTTACATATTGACTATCAAATGAAATTCACCATGATCATGACGGTGCATTTGCTTAGTCTCTCGTAGACAGACTTCGATATTATGTGAAGTCGTACCTTTGTTCACGATAATATGAAGCATTTGCTTGAGTATTGTTCAAATTATGTTAAAGGGGCCCGACAGAATAAAAACAATTGACTGCTTGTTTTTTGTGAGATTGACCTCGGGAATGGTCACAACATCAAATCGACCATTCTCCGTTCACGATCCTTCCCTTCATCCGTCTACCAACCCTGCCGCCGAATACTCACACATTTTCCACACTGATCTTCCAACGTTTAGCTTGCAGTGCCGGTAAATACCCATTCACACCCAGCTCAGTGGATTCGACCATCGCCACCAGAGAGGCTCTTGATTCTTGTGTTTTGGTTGAGCTGAGCTGAGGGATCCAACCGTGACCGTCGTCTATTTCATGGATATCAACTATCACACCAAATCTATTCGTGATGATTTGGGTCTCAAGCTGACCAGAAAACAAAGTCGCACGTATGTATTTCGCGTGCTTATCCCATGTCGTTTGAAAAATTTGCACTCCTCACTTCCAAAGATGCGAAGAAGTTTTTCACAGGTTGGAAGGAATGTTTTGAATGTAAATGACGATTCTTTTGATTCTCTACATATTTTGTTTACCTGATTTCAGGCCACTACTACGCGCTCTGGAAACAAGGAATCGAAACCGGTGATATCAGCCTTCGGAACCTAATGTTGGATCCCGTCCTCGGCGTTGGGGTTCTGCATGTCTTTGATCTCGTTAATATCACTGGCTCGGAGGCGAGAGGCGGACGACGGACTGGGACAATCACTTCTATGGCTCTTGATCTTCTAACAGACCATCGCTTCACTCAGTTATATCGCCATGACATTGTTGATCTGGCTATTGGTCTGGCTTTGTCTAATCCTTGAAGCAAACAAGAAGCAAATGGCGATATACCCGAAGGCATGCCACAAGGTACGATGTCCGAACAAATCCTTTGGCTTCCAGCTAACTACATAACTGTAGACCGTTGTCAAAATGACCTTGTTTGCACAAAATAGCGATAATAGGTAGAAGAACCCGTTATGGGAGCAACGCTGATCAATAGACAGCAACTGCATCACCCGAAGGCTTGTAGAACCAAAATGGCTGGTTAAGGTTCAAACAAGGGCGCTCGAACGAAGTTTCGAGCTGTCATAAACAGAAGGTGCCTTCCACATTTGAACTTAAGTTTTTTGACCCGAGTCATGCCACGTATCGCAGAGGGTGCCTTTGAGGAACCATCCGAGGAAAACATCTATCAAGAGATTGTTACAATCGTAGAATCATACGAAGCAGGTTCCTTCACTTATCTAGTGGCGTACTAGCGACTCCTATGATACAACTCGTTATTGAATCCAACCTCCCACATTTGGACTCTTAGACGTCTTAATGTGACTCCTTTCTGGACTCCACATCGCAGCAGTTAGGGAAAAGTCTTAGCTTATCTATTGTACAATCCACCATGGCACCCATCACGTTAGTCCCAGCATTTGATACAAGAGATTCAAGTTTGACTTCATTGTAGGGTGAAAATCCGCCATTTAAACAGTAAATATGGCGGAGGGATGAAATGGGTATCGTCCAAGTTATACACCTTCGAATTTCGGGATGGGATCGATATGAATCAACTTCCTCTTGATTTCAACGATCTGAGGGATGTCTGGGTATATCTGCTCAATACTTCATGCTGGTTAACGCTCATCCCTTATAGATAGTAACCAAGGGCGACTGGCAGCGTAGCTGGCGCAACGTCAGGAGACTCGAAGCTGTTGGCCGCGACATAATATACGCTGCCCCCGGTCTTAATTTCTATCATACAACGGATCGCTTTTTATCAATGAAGAAAATCTTGCAACAAAAGTTGATAACCTGGGAAGTTGGACAGGAACCTTCCCTCCAAGTCATCCGTAAGTCGTCCTCGAATGTGGACGTCTCATGCGACTCAGCAAAGTTAGGTTCATTCGACTTACTTGCACTGCTCTGTGACCACCGACGTAGTTCGATATTGCCTTGGGACATATTCTCGCCGTGGGTGGTACGGTTCCGCCTCCATCGATTTGTCACGAGGGCAAAGGGTCCAGTCCAGCTCGGTGGGATGACCTACGGATATGAACCCGATTTCTCCCAGTACATGAAGTCACAAACAGAGGGTTATTCACTTCCTCCACAGCCCCCGTCTCCCTAGCCGTCGCGTGGCGGTTCTGACCCTACATGGCACTTGTGTCTTTACGCCATGCTTGGGCGAGAATGATGAATATATTACTAGGTTGTTTCCCCCATTGCCTTGGCATGTTAAGTTATGGCTAGCTAGGATAGCCGATCCTGGATTTGATTGATGACGATAGAAAAAATAACAATGTTACGATTCCAAGGATAAAATGAACCACTCCAGGTATGTGTCGTGCTAATTTTCTAATGTGGCCGTCAACTCACCTTGCTACAGAGAAAGTGCCAGCGGGGTGCTGATGAACCCATGACGTGTGTTTGCTGTTTCTCCCCTCCTTTAACTAACAGCCGTCTAATGTGTATTATAAACAGCCGTTATCACCCTCTCATACTGACACATAGCTGATATGCTCCCAGATGGAAAATTTCATAAACTCATGGCCAAGATCGAAAACGGGTGAATGATACCAAGGACACGAAGCTAGATGAAGTTCATCCCTGTCCCCCCCAATCTAAGGATTTCCCTCTCCAGCTGTCAAAGTCTTGCCTCCTTCCGAATCGTTGCCTTGACCTCTCAAATGGTGGAAGTTCCTTCCTCTCCAGTTCCCATCGACGTCTTATGCCATTCGATCCTCGTCACTGGAACGCGCCTGTTTCGGACTGCTGCTCCGCAGCCGCGAGAGAGTTGTGGAAGTTTTCTGCTCTGGTCTTGTTATCATCTGCCTTTCTCTCTTCTGAGGCTATTTCCTACACGAATTCAAACGATCAATCAAGTGAAAGTAAAACGAACCTGCGTGGGGCCACTTACCTAACTCCCCGCTGACGATGCTCTCTCGTAGACTCGGATTAAACACGGAGGTAACCAGAGGGGCGCGACGAACCTCTGACGGACTCCTCGTACCCTCAAGCCCTTCCAAAGCAATCGCGCGTCGGTTGAGGGCCTTGACGTAGTTGGCATCAACTTTGAGTGCCTCGTCGCACTCCAGCACAACCAAGTCGTGTTTTGGAGGTGACATGTTCACGTAGCCTATACAGAACGGAGATGTCAAAAGCGGACAAACACACATGCCGCACGATTACTATAGAAAACGGGTTCGGGTTTTGGCGACACCTCTATAGCTCGAGTATACAGAGCGGCTGCTTGCTTAAAGTTGCGATTTTGGTAGGCAGTGTTGCCTTTTGACTTTATGTAACGACGCTGTCATTTTTGTGCGCTCCTGAAGAAAATATGCCATAAGTTCAATGACGCAACTCTTTTGAGCAGGAGTCTGACCTGGATTTGCTCAGCCGTCAATGACCCCTCTATTCGCACGTAAATACTTGGTAAATACTAACGGGAGACCCTACAAAACGACGGAACGAACCTGACACCTCTTCAACGTTCAACGTTCAACGTTCGGCTGAGGGGCCCTCTCCTCCAACATTGGTCCATCCTGGCCTTTCACGCCTTTCTTCTTCTTCCCATGACTTGACTTGCCTTCTTCTCCATCACATCCAAGCTTACTCATCACGAGATATGTAGGGCTAAATAGGCATCAACATAGTTTCTGCGAAATAATATTATTACAGTGCCTTGCATAATGCTTTGCAGCGTGAATTTTTTTGAATTGTATTTGGCTGTGTTGAAACTGGACCTGACTCAGGCCTATTTCGGACAGGGATCATTTCCCATCCTCATCGGATGGTAGGACCTGGTAGGATTGGTTGTGACATTTC